ATATGACTGGAGTGAAGGACGTAACACTCTTTGGCGCCTATCAGTCACATGACATGTTGAACTCATTTCAACTTCCACACAATGCCCACTACTGTACTATTACAACCAAGTGTTCAGGTTATAGGTCACAATGGCGTCTTGGCTAAATTTTTGATGTGCTCAAAATTTGCGATAAATCAAAACAAAAATCTTTGGTTCCAGAATTTCGAAAATTTTTGAACACTTGGTCATAATATGTAGTACAGTACCTCACTAGCATTGTAATCATATTTTCAAGCCGCATGTGGCTTCACACGGCTCACCACAACCTGTCTATTGACATCACTGAACATTGGACTTGGTCAGTAGGACATTACTAGTATTGGATTCATGCTGGCTGACATGCAGGAGTTCCTCGCACATTTCACTCAAGAGTCCCATCATCCGAATCAGTTTTGATGGATTGCATGTGACCGTCAGATCGTCGCAGTCACGATGGGTGATATCGGATCGAGGATTGGTCATCGGACCATTGATGCGATGGCTATCCTCAATCACTATGAAGCAAGTCGCAGTTTTCCATCCCCCTTTTGAAACCGAACAAAGCTCGACATGGGGCAACGCCTAGCGGTAAATAATTGGCCTGATCTTTTCATGCTGTAATGATAAACACGAGAGACGTCAAACCTTTGCGCCACGACCCTTTAACCCATCGTTCCGGGTTTTGCTGATCACGTAGATTTCTTGAGACTCGTTCTTGGGCTGGATCATGCATCTTGTCAGAAGCGACATTCCTATTGGATTTGGACTTGAACCGGATGATACCAAGTCTCGTCATGGGGCCTTTGCCTGGCCTTGTGAGTAAGTACCTGGGTTCGCTGGTCCAGACCATCGGGGGGACTCATGGGCGCAGATATTCACTGACCCAGGCTCGTAACCCCTCGCAGGACCCTGCTTAGGATTCAATCCTCCGGGCTCCAGGCGCTCTGAACGCTTCGCTTGTCTCGTGCTCGGAACCGCATAATGACGCGGAATTTCTACTCACCCGTATTTTCCCACGTTGACAGGCAGAAAGAGAAGTCTCCGTGCCATCTGGTGGAGCTCCGCTGATAAGCCAACCGGCGATGCGAGCTTTCGATTCCGCGGGTATGTCTTGTCGACATCCTTGCCATTCTTGAGCTGAGAGCATCGTCAGCTGGTTCTCTGAATTTTCCCAACATGTCAGCACAGTTGTACTCGGGGTTCGCTTTCTATGACGCTAGGCAGATCAATGTGCATGAGCTTTGACAAAGCGAATGGTGACAGGAATGCGAAGCTTACAGCACCCTGTCAAGCCAATTCATCACGCAAAGCCCGGGTCGAGGTATGTTCCACCGTGCGCTGCATGTTTTTCCCCGTCGCTGGCACTCGATGACGCACAGCGGCGACAACCCATTTTCCGAGACTCCTATGACACACAGTTGTGACGGCCCAGTGTCCGGTAATTCCAGTTTAAAAGGGTGAGCTGCGAGTCCGTCTTTTTCCTCACCAGCCGCCTTCAAGCAGCCTCTGCCCGAGAAACATGCTCGCCCTTCGCCACTTCACTTCGCTCTTGCTCCTCGTCTCCACCGCGTTCGTGGCTGCCAGCCCCGCTCCTCTCCCCGAGGTCGGTGCGGTTGCCGCCGTCGAGGAGCGCGGCTCCGGTGTCGATGTCGTCGGAATCATCGTCACTCTTCAGGCCTCGGTCGCTGTTGTGCTGCCGCAGATCGGTCAGTTGGCGGTTTCTGCAGTCGACCATGCGGTCATCCGGGCTGACCACGCATCTAGACAATCTCTGCACCAGTGGCCAAGCCACCGACCTCACCATCGCCCCACTCATCGTCGAGTTAGAAGCGGCCATCGAGATCGCCGTCGTTGCTCTCGGCACTGTTCCGCTCTCCGGCATCGGCTCTCCGTCCCAGTGCGCGGGTCTGATCGCTGAGATTATCGAGGTGCTTTCGATTTCTCCTTCGCGAAGGACGTGGTCGCTCAGCGTTTTGTCAGGATATCACCCACACGATTGAAGGTTGCCAGGGCGTAGGCACCATCCTCACGCTTGGGACTCTCGTGGCTGGGCTCGACCAAGCGATCCAGGGACTGCTGCTCACGGTCGAGACTGTCCTCGCGGGTGTGCTTGTTCTCGTGGCGGGACTGTATGTCTTTTGTTTCCCGTGCCGGCGGCGGACTGTGCTGACTGCTCGTTTGCAGAATTGTTGATGTCGTTGCGCTGCTGAAGTCGCTTCTGTTCGGCCTGACCCTGGGCTGCCTCGGACTCTGATCGCATTAGCGGCTGCAACGTTTGGAAATCTGAGTCGCGTAAGTATCTCCCGTTCAATCGTTCTACACTCGAAATTTTGTTCGTCAATCTGTGAATCTTCGTTATAAAACTTGTTTTTCCGTCGTCCCATTCTCGAACATACATCCGCTCAGAACCGCCAATACTACAGAAGTTGACAGCAGCCCTCGCTTCTGCACCCTCTCATCTCGTATTTACTATACGTGAAGCGTCGCCGGTCTCGTCGTGGACCTGCGCTGACGCGAAGAACCACCCAAATATCGTCCGTTTGATCCTCAATTTCGATTCTCCGGATCTCCCGTTCACGTTCAATGGAAAAGACAGTGCAACTGGCCTCGAACATCGGTACGTTCTCGTATCTCTACCCTTGGCCCCGTATGCGGGCCTCATCACAATGTGCCCTCGCTTTATTTACCTTCGAGACCCAACGAAAATGAGCGCAGTTTCACCTCATGTATATTGGCTGTCCATAATCGCTCCCACCGTTGCTGTAGCACTGAAGAGGGCCCGCACCATCTACCACTTGATGTGGTGATCGCTGTGCACGTCATCACTGTAGGTCGACGAATCAACACCATCGAGTCGTCGGGTTACTACGAAACTCACCGCGAATCCGTTTTGCAAGCCAGAGTGCGTTTTGAATTTTGTCTGATCCACTCAAGCCCCGGGGAGAGAACGTACTTGATTGAACCGACCAACACTACTCAAGACATTGAAGGATTTCCCGGCTCGAAATGAGACTATGGGATAAACAGACGAAACTTGTGTCTAATGGCATAGTGCATCACTGCCTGCTATCATCCAAATATCCAAATTTAAATGACAAATCACATCCCAGCCAACTTCGTTACAGACAATTGATTCCAATTGGCCTTCTGCGATTTTGACACACCGGCGCGACTCCGAGCCCATATCTCGAACGTTTGCATGTCCGGGTAGGCTTTCTTCGCCAACGCTGTTTGCTCAGCAACTTCGGGGCAGAGACCCTCGATGCGAGCTGCGTGCACTCGCTCGATGTCAGCGATGAGGCCCTTAGTATCCGAGTTCAAGGAAATCAGCGCTTTCGCGACGAAGCCTGCAACGGAGGGAAGGTTCTTTCTTGTTGCTTTTTTGTACGACTCCAGTTGTTGGGAGATTGTTGCCGCTGTATTAAAACGTATGGGTGAAAGTTTTTGCAGATGCGGGAGGCGAACCTTCTCCCGAGACAACGAGGATCTTTGATCGATACTCTGAAGGGTTCTACGGTAAAAGCATCAGCGAGGTCAATATAACTGAATCTGATAATGGGGGTTACCTTGAACACAGCTGCCGCGACACGTCCGATATCTTCCACGGCCTTGACAGGTGTAAGTCGTCGTGGGAGTATCCATGCCAGGACAAGACTAACCACAAGCTGGTTCGTTGTGTCCGGCTTCAAACCCTTCTTCATCACCCCGACAGCGATCGAGCCGATGGTTCCGTCATAGTTTTCCATGAAGAAACCTGGTCGCAAGATTCTAAGTCCACAGGCTGAGCCTCCTGCCACGCAACCCAAGATGATTTGACTCACGTCCAAGGCAAGTCTTTCGAATTGCCGAGCTGCTTTATGTGCCTTTCGATCATGACTTTTGCTCTTCGATCGAGGACAGCGTTATCATCATTGTATTCTCCGCCTCGTTCCACAGACGAGAATACAAAGCAGGACACCTGGTACTCGGCAGAAAGATCCGCCAATGTCTGTATGGGCACGGGAGGAAGCGGGGAACAATCAGTGAATCGGAGGAGCGGGCGGAGGTCAGATTAAAATGCGGAAGCACACACCTTCCCTTGCCGCTCCTCCCCGTCCGCGTTAGCCCCGAGTCCTGGGAACGCCAGCACGACGAAAACACCCCACAGCCCACCGAACTCACTCGCTTTCGCGTCGTCGAAGATTTTGCGGATTGAGTCGGCTGTGTCGAGATTGCCGTGCACGACAGTCACATGCGGAGAGGCCGTCTTGAGTTGGGTCACCGTCGGGGACGTGGGTGCGCGTGTCAGGGCCCAAACATGAAATTCTGGGTCCGAGGAGAGAGCGCGGATGAGCGCCTGGCCTTGTTTTCCTGTCGCGCCCGTGACAAGGACGAGCTTCTTGGGCATGTCTTGAGACTCGGGATTCGTTCTATCCGAACTAGTCGATCGTTTAAGCAGGGAGAGACCCTGGGTCGACAGCGGCAAGTTTGAGATGGGATTAGTCGTGACAACTATCGGTGCCGACGCTGTGCGTGATGTGATGCGTTCGATCCGGATCTTTATTCTTCTGACATTCTCGGTGTCTGTCCATCTCTGCTTCCGGGGGCGTCGGTTCGCCGCTTGTCTGGGTGGCCCTGGCGTCAAAGGTCAGCGTCCTCATTGGCCCTGTTTCAGCACGCCTCCCTTCTTCTCCCCGTCCTCGTTTGAGGTGACGACAACCGTAGTCCCCCTGGATTCTGGCCTTCAATACCTTTTCCATCATAAGTCATCATTGAATGGGGATTTCTGATTGGCACGAATGTTAGCTCCAGCCTCCCGCGGTGGCAATCATCTCCCGGCTCTAATTGCATCGGCCTCCATAAGAATCGGGGCGGTGGTGTCCAGGGGTCCCCAACGCGTTCCCCTCAACAGCTCCCTCCGTTTTGAAACCGCATCTCATGTCCGTCGCAGCTGCTATGACTCCCATCCATAAACAAAACACCCACTGACTTGCATGAAGCGCGACCAACATCTGGACCCCGTGCCCCTTTCCCTCCCTCCCTCCCTCTTTTATCATACCGACTTGGATGGCCGACAGCGGGCTGGGCGCTCTTGAGCAGGAGATTACCGCCCTCCACGATTATGCCGCTGTGCGCTACACAAACGGTACATCATCAACATATCCGTTGCCTGAACATGCGCTGATCATTGCGGATTGAATCTTCATCCAGTCGCGTTCGTTGTGAGTCGCGTCTGGACGCGTGTTGCCTCCAAGTGCCCATCTTACTCAGGCGCTGATCTTGTACGACTACGTCATCACGATTGATACGGAGGTGTCCCGAATTTGGAGGTGTGTTCAGGCGAACTGTCATCCCCAGATGTGCTCAGCGGTCTTGGCCTAGTTTGAAATGGCGCTTGCCCAAGATTCTGTATCTGATCAATCGCTATATCGTGCCACCCATGCTCATGTGAGGTGGACATTACGACTCCTTGTCTCTGGTAGCCAATATTCGACAGATTTGACGCGATCGTACCCGCAATTTACAATCTGCCGGAATCAATGTTGGTCGTCTTAGTTTTAACCGATCTCACAGCGGCTGATGATCAGCCCAGGTGCGACTTCATCGCAAAGTGGACGCCGTGGTCAGTCTCAGTCTTCGGGTTGAAGCATTCAACGTTCGACCGTGAACAGGCCAACGATCATCTCGCTTACGACGTCTGAGATGATCCTGATGCTGCGTGTGTTTGCTGTCGGTAAGCGCCGGAAATTTTTGTATTGTGATGCTCGTCCTGACATTCATATCCCTCGACAGCCGGTGATCGAAAGGCCTGACTTTCTTCAAGTCTGTCCACTTCTATTTTCTCACTGGGTATTCAGGGTGTTCGATACTTTCTATGGGGTCTTTTCCTTTGTGAGTTGGTTATAATCTCCCGGATCGAAGAGACAAACGTTGATCGTCCACGACAGGCGAACTCGCTGGTTGGATTGCACTAAGCAGTATCGTAACGAAAAATACTGTTGGATCTCCCGGTGGCATGTTGTTCCCGGGCTGTTTGTTCTCCGCACCCACTTACTTCTACACTGCATGGTAAATGCTTGTCTACTTCGGTGCATGGCCGGTTGATACATCTGGAACTATTCTCCAGGATCCCACCCGTCATCTTTGAAAGTAAGCGTCCCCTTCGAGTTTTCAAGGGCTGAGCTGAACAGTGTCGCATAGGTATTCTAATCATTGTGACGGGATATTATGCGAGTGCGTATCATTGGACCAAGAAAGGATCTTCCCAAACGTGAGCAGTCTCATGCTCCTTAAAGATTACACTCTCGGACACATTCTAGTATCCAGATCCTCGCTCGCGATTCAATTCTTTACTTTCTCATAATTTTTTGTGATATTTCCTGGATGCCTTTTCGGCAGCTCTGCGCTCATTCCACTCCAGCGGTTCTTCTCAGTAACCTGCTAATCGCGAGGTTTGGCCGAGACTTCCTTGGCTCGCTTTTCATCGCGTGAGTGATTCCTCGCTGGACGCACTCAGTGGGTGACACCCAGTTAGGCCCTCGAGCGTGATTGCATGTCTCGGCGTAAGCGAATCTCGCGCCCCTCAGTCTAATTCCATTGATCGAGTGAACTTTCCAGGCATCGCGGCTAATGATTAACTTGGGCAGCATTGCAGCCAGTGACACAGGGCCAACCACTGAGGACTTCGTGATGGGTCTCAGCACAGGAACCGCGAGCCACGATATTACATTCGAGACAAGGTCAAGAGCCAGTTGACACACTCCCCGTGTTGCCTCGCGCGAAACAATTCGGGAGCTCGTAGTTCTTGAATGTGCCGCATCCAGATATATAAATTTTGTAGGAAATCTGCACTGTATACGCTCCGATACTATAAAATTCTGCCACTGGTGCACTACAAGAGGTCAAGGTCAAACAAATTGATCTCTCCGAAACAACTAGAACTCGAATTACGTTTAGGTCAGTTCATCATCCCCCGGCCGTCCTCTGGATTTTCGATCTCCGCTCTGCATTGTTCGGTGCGCGAGCCTAGCAATAGGCCAAAGCGCAGAATTGTGATGTGGCTTGATCAGCCACGAGGCGCAACAAGCCATGCTTACGCATGGAACCATCTTCTACAAAGATTCTCAGCGATAAAACGTATTGCGCATTGTCCTCTCGCTGCATCGATCGTCTTGAACAGCTCCTTGCCCCAAGGCTACCCCCACTCCTGCCCCCACTAGTGCCACCCCAGTAGTTCCATGCCCTTGGACTCCGCGATGCCTCGCTTTCCAGAACGCAAACGGAAAGAGAGAGATGCAGTTTTGCGCTCATCCCCAACAGCAGAAGAATGCCACCGACCCACAAAGCGTCATCGACACATGCCTCTCGTCGAGTCCACTTCTGAGGCTCAGGACGAGATATCCCCATGGACTCCTCAGTCCGAACTCGACCAACAGGCCGCGCAGGGTAGCACAATGAATCCGCCCAAAGATCTGACTGAGGAGCCGGACGATGATGCTGATGGTGATGTCGGCGCCGCGAGCGATTCGGCGTCAGGAGAGGGAGAGTCCCGCGAGTCCCGGGCAGCTACCGACGACAAACCGTACGCTCTCGCTGCAACACCGGAGAGGGAGGACGGAGTCGAGCAAGCTCAAAGGGAGCAAGTCTCTGAGAGCGAGAACGAAGACGATGAGGGAAAGATGCCGGAGCACCACAAATACCAAGCGCCGGCGAATAGTGTCGAGGGCTCTAAGGACGAGGAAGAGGTGACGTTACAGGTGGCCACCGAAAAGGCAGCGCCGCCGTCGGACAACGACGACCACGCAGTAGGGGGGAGTTCGAGCACCATAGAACTCGGCAAGACTTCCGGAACGTTTGTCCGCGACCCAGAGTTCTTCAGAGATGATGGGAACTGCGTCGTATGTGTCGGTAACACGTTGTTCAAGGTATGTTCCACATGCCGGTCCCGGAAGCACGCATGCTGATAGGGTATGCTAGATCCATCGAGGGTACTTGGCTCCCCCACAAGCGGACAACATCTTGACATGTTTGGAGGAGGCGGAGGGCGTGGCAACTCTGGAGAACCCAGTGCACTTGGAACATGTCCACATCAGCCAGTTACGAGCCTTTCTGGCATTAGCCTACACGGAGTGAGTACTGAAACCGGCAAGAGATGAAAACAACTGACCTCAAAACTGCAGCCGGAAAGAGCTCTGTTCGCTGGAGAACATCGACGTGCTCCAACTCATTGACGCGGCCATGTTTGCCAGTTCCTTCGGACTCGACATCTTCTGCCAGTGGAGCAAGGGTGCCTTGTTCGAGCTGATTGAGAGTCGTAAGATCCTGGCGTCCTGCGCCTCGGAAGTGTATCTGGCTCTCATACTCTTGCACCGCCGACTGCCTCTCCCCATCGTAGACATCGAGACCAAGATCACCACGACCTGGTTGGGACGCCTCGAAACACGCGAGCTGATCAACGTGGAGGCGATGGAGACCGGCGAATTTCTGCACATGAACAAGTTCCTTGGGAGGGTCTACTACGAGACGCTAATCCAGGTGGACCACGACGCCACGCAACAAACGGAACTCCAAGGTCTTGGTCCGCTGAAGTCCATCTGCGAGGAATTCGATCCCGAGCACGAGTTACCCGAACCACACCGGACGCGGCTACTCGTGGGATCGCGCTCGCTGTGCATGGCATGGTATCGCATCATGAGCAAGGTGCCCCAGCTGCCGCCTCCATACTGCGGCTCGGTGCCCCTCTCAGAAGACGACCCGGATCTGCACAAGGTGGCGGAGAAATGTGACTGCCCCGAAGCGTGGAAGGCGCGCTGGAAGTGGGCGGTGAAGGAGACGGTGCGCGAAACGGGGATGGGAGTCGACGTCCTCACTCGCATTCGGATCTTCAAGCGCCATCTGGTCAAGTGGTTTTCGGAGCCGACGGGGGGACCGGGTACCCTGGATGAGCAGAGACGCGTCAACAGAACGCAGTGCAGCACTGCGTTGCGTGCGGCAGATGGAATCGTGCAAGAGATTGAGGATCAATTCCTGGATGGATTAGAGCTGCATTTCAGATTAGGGAGCGGCACGGGATGGCAGGAGAGGGAGAGCGAACAGGAGCAGAGTGCGCTGGAATGACATTTTGGGCCTTACGCATTGGCCTGCCGGCCACACAGACTCAGGTAGCTATTGAGATAGGGCCATCACAGAAAAGAAGGTGAATATGCATAAATGTGACACAATCTTGGGGGGGGGGGGCAGAGCCTTCAATAGAGCAGAAGTGGACTGAGAATGAGGCTGGATGACAATCGTCGTGACACCCTATGTGATGGGGACGAGAAAACTGCAGATGATGTCAGATAGTTAGTTCGCTTGGTCATCAGTCTCACCGACACTCACGCTCCCAGTATAAACGCGCCTCTTCACTTCGATCCTTCTCCAACTAACATGCCCCCGACCAGGATCCTTTTGACCGGCGCGACCGGTTACATCGGCGGCACGGTTCTCGCGCGGTTTCTGGCTGACCCCAACGCACATTCACGCTTCGCTTTTACGACCATCATCCGCGACCCAAAGAAGGCAGAAACCCTCAAGAGTTTCGGTGTCACGCCTATAGTCGGCAGCCACTCCGACCCCCGGCTGGTTGAGCAGTTGGCAAGTGAGGCGGATGTGGTTATCGCAGCAGTGAGTCAGCCTTTCGAGACGTTTAGTCAATTGATGCACATCTCAATGCTCCAGGCGGATTGCGATGATCTTGTCGCTGCGACCGCCACCCTGGCTGGTCTGAAGAAGCGGTTTGAAGCCAGAGGTAAAGCACCTATCTTCATCAACACCGTGCGTGGCTCCCTATCTTCCTGTGTGGTCTTCCAACGACCGGTGAATCTTCCCCAGTCCGGCACTGGCCAGCTATGCGACACTGCAGCAGGCATGCACGCCAATGCGCCCATCTACGACGACTCGGACACGGCGCAGATGTCCGCCATACCTCCCATCGCACCTCACCGGCACGTCGACAACGCGATTCTCGCAGCCGACGCGTCCGGATTCGTCCGCACGTACATCATTCTACCGTCCACGGTCTGGGGCATTGCACACACGCCGTTCACGGAGGAGGGGCTGCAAAACCCCCACTCGCAGCAGATACCACGGCAAATCATGATTGGGATGTTACGCAAAAGGGCGGGTGTCGTAGGAGCTGGGAAGAACGTGTGGCCCAACGTTGAGGTGCATGAGTGTGCGTCCCTTCACTACATGCGTATCAGCATACTCACACGGATAGCGCAGTGAGCGAACTGTACTATACGCTCTACAACAAGATTATGTCTGGCGAGAATGTTGGGCACGGCTACAACGGCTTTTTCTTCGGAGCGAACGGGGAATACTCTTTACTTGCTCTCAACCGAGAGATCGGGAAGGCACTCGTCGCGTCTGGTCGCGCAAAGAAGCCCGAGCCTACCACATTCACTCAAGAAGAGCTCGATAAGTTCTTCAATGTACTTGCCGAATCTGTCCGCCTGCTCCGTTGCTGACGACTCATGCAGGGCTCGACTTCAGCAGGGTCAAACTCGCGCTGCAGAGCGACTCATTCGCTGAGAATAGGCTGGGCACCTTCCAAGAGTACGCTGGAAATGTTCGCTAGCATTCCTGAGGAAATGGAGACGCTGAGCAAGGCGGGGCTTGCGTGAAAACGAGCCCGGCTAAGCCGCATGTTCGTTACTGGTGTGTAAGCTGAGCATTTAGGGGCCGGAGTCGCGATGCGTCATGGATTCCACCAGATTCCGAGTCACTGGGGCCGCAGGGCAGCTAACCTCTAGTTGTGCGGAAAGGGATCTTCTGAGCCGGCATGCGGACCAGCTGCTGTGGATGAGCTGAAGTGGGTTCAGAGAACGCACTGGCGTTGAGTTCGGCAGATGGCATGGGCGGGGAGATTGAGGATCAATCTCTGCATGGATTGGATTGGCCTTTCAGATTAGACAGGGAGATGGAAGAGATGGAGACTGGGATCGAACAGGAGGGGCAACTAATTCAGAACGGCATTCGACGAGAATGGTCCCTCGAGCCGCACTGATGTTCACAAGGCCAGCAGCAGACTGAGTACAAGAGACTCCGTTCTTGAAAGAATCAGTGGCTTCATTCAAACAGAAATGGGTGGGAACTAGCGTCGACGATCATAGTCGGGTGATGATTCATTACCTGTCAAAGACACGAGTCGAGGGAAATTGATGCAGGACATACGCTTGCTTACCGTTACTTATCACCAACCCCAAGGTCATAGTCGATTGACATACCTCTCCGTTTGAAGTTCACGGAGATTCTCTCGACCAGCACGCAAGTTGAATTCGTGGCAAGGTGCTCGCTCAGCTCCTCAGGCAGTCCCCGTCCTCCCTCCCCATCGTGCACCGCTGTCTTCCTCGTCGTCGGCGAGCCGAAGCAGATAGAACAGCTCGTCATCACGCCTGTTGTTGGGCACTGCTCCCAAAGCCCTGATAGTGATTAGTCGCCGTATGAGACGACTGTGTCTTCTTTGCGGCATGGGCCTTCAAGACGTCCAGTGGGGTTTCGCTCATCGCGGAGACCGACAGACTGCGATGACTTGGCAGCAGTGCCCGCAACCCTGGCCACGCTGAAGAGGTGGTCAAATGTTACTAGCAGAGCGATCATCTTCATCGTCAAGGTGCGTCTTTTGTCCCTCATGCAGTGCGGTCTCTCAGCGAACGGTGTTCTCGCCCCCAGTCCAGCGCTGGCTGATTTGGCTATGCATGCCGATATCCTCTTCTGCGGCTCCTCGAACTGGACTGAGGTACCTATTGCTCCCACCGCAGCGCACGAGCGCTCTTGAGCACCGCCAATCTTGCGGTGGACGGGTCCAGGATCGGTGCGCATGCACACCGTTCTCGTCTCCAGTCGGGGGCATGGCTTGCGCGTCATTCGTAGGGGTTACCACCTTCAGCTCGCAGCAGATATCCGCGCTTTGTCGATAGCAGTTTGCCCTGCAGCTTTTGCGCTGACCGCGCGAAGTGGTCTCCCCTCTGTCAAACTTGGGCTCCGAACTGGTTGCTGGGATGGGACCTGAGAAAATCGTGTCTCGTAGTTTCTGATATAGGTTGCCGTGAAGCCCCACCACGCAGGCTGGCCACTCCTTGAGGGCTGAACAACCCTTGGATCCTGAGGTCAGTCATGCAGACGAGATTTCGCTCCAATGGGTTTTAGAGGGTAAATCTCCTACCTTTTTCATTCGCGATTTTCGAGGTATTGGCCACTAGCTTCGTTGACAGCGCTTGGAATAATAATACGTACAGTAAGTTCGGCTGACACATAATCATGTATACTCTTATCATCGGTGTCATGACACGTACGTAAGCAGTAAGATACCAAAAAATCAGGCGCATGCTTCCCACTACTGGGCTTCCACGCCCTCGCTGGCAAAGACCACTTTCCGGGCTCCATTCCCCGTTTTTGTCGGCGCTTGTGGGAACAGGGAACCCCTTGGACTCTTCTCCACAGTGTACGTTGATTCTGCTACTGGTCGATAAATTTGAAATCTACGCACCACGTCGATCCGATCAATCGATGCAGAACATGGCAGCAGGGAGCAGAACAGTGCATCGCATCGGAAAGTATGATTGGAGCCTGTCGGTGAAAAGACGATCCTTCCGGTCACAAGACTGATGATTCAGCAGACATCCACTCACTCTTTGTCTTGTAAATCGATGGGAACCGGCAAAATTTCTGGGTGGTTGGATAGAATCTATCGGTCTTACAAGAGATGTTGACAACATGCTGGAGCTCAATCTTGAAATCCGTTCACTGCCGAGTACGAGCTATTTACAGAATCAAACTCTTACTCACGCATGCCAAGGAAACGCCAAGGTTTCACAGCTTCATAACCCAAGGTCCGCTCGCTTTTTTCCAATGACCGTCATTGGACCCGGATCTCTCCGTCGATTACGGCAATTGTTCACTCACGGCGACTGACGTTCTATGGCTTTTTTCATCTTATCAGTTCGTGACGTGTTGAAAATGATATTCGCGCGAGAATACCCGGAGGACCAGTCCTCTGAGCCCCCGACGACGGGGTGCTTCAGCTGCGAGATTCCGTAATTCGCGGAGTGTGTAGAGTCCATGTGCCACGCTGACAGCTTCGTTGTCAGTCCTAAAGCGTCGATTCAGTAATGCTACCACTGGCAACTCCGCGAGATCGGCGATTCTCCAAATGAGCAAATGCGAATAGAGTCCTGATTGGCTCGGGGGTAATGAGAGAGCTGATCTGCTTCATTGAACGGAATGTATATAACGGGCGATAGATGCAAATCCTGGAGAACAGACATTCGCAAACCATGGGGGGGTTCAGTTACGCGTTCTGGTTCCAAGAGCATCATAATCAAGAAGAAAACGAAGACTGGAGTACGCCCCAGAATGGCGAGGATTGAGCCCAGGCTGACCCTTATGATTCAGGTCATAGCCCTGCGGTTGACACTCCTTGCACCCCGCTCACACTTTCATCATTTTCCTCTCTTCAATCAAGCCAGATTCCCTCATCATCGCTATTGAATCCATTCGAGGCTTCTCCGTTCTGTGTGGAGGAATCGGAATGGGCACCCCCTTCAACCCCTGCTCTGACCCTGCCAGAGCTCTCTCCTGAGATGCTGCCGTCACCAGAGGAACTCCCAGCGCGGCGATGCTCACACTGCGGGACGATGACAACGTCAATATGGGTGCAAAATGTCGCAACCTCTTTTCCTCTGTGCCGTGCATGCGGACTATATCTGCCCGAACACGACCAACATCGTCCGCAGCGTATCGCTGAGCATGGGATGGCCAAACTGCAACAAAAGGAAATCCCGCGAGATGCTTCATCTCCAGAGTTCGAGAGACCATGCTTCCATTGTGGCACATGGAGGTCGAGCGCTCAGCATGCAGATCTGGAGGGAGTGATAGTGTGCAGCGCGTGTGGGATGTATCAGCGATTGCGTGAGCGGGAGAGGCTGTCCGAGTTCAGGAGTGATCTTCCTGGGCCGATGAGCGGAGATGGTGACCAGTGGGGTGGGTATATCCTGTCACCCCAGCACCATATGCTTCAATGATGACTGTCTCTTGTCATACGTGCATGTAGTGAGACTTGAGACTGCTTAGGCCATCCCCTCAGTTGCTTAACCCGGTCCATGCGAGCGCGCAAAGATCTCAGCGCGACGGATTGGCGATACAGCCATGCTCCTCCGGCGCAATCACTCGGACATGAATTAGAAATAACCCGGATATGAATACTTCTCAATTTGGGATAAAGCAATCTTAGCGCAGAAACTCGCCTCGTGGTCTCTGTCCTTGCTTCTGCGAGCGTTTGCAATACCTTACTGCTGTACTGTAGATATTTTCTCAGATGTTGATCCGAAATAAACAGCGAGCCCCAGTCTGTCAATCTAGGCAATGAGTTCCCTAGAAATTCTTTCTACTTGACGTGCGTCACGTTCATTCTCATACCCGCGACACAGAGACAGTCGCCGTATACTGAATCCCATCCCCGCATTGAATACCCATTGCGACGGAAGATTTGCAAGTGTGGCCTTGTTCGCAGTGTAGGCTTGAAAGCTCGCCAGCGGGACACGAGACCCTGCTTCATTCAGCGGCCGCGAGCCGAGGTCGACTGGCACTGGTTCCCCACGCAGGGTAAACGCGCCGGACGTTCAAGGGAAAGTCTTCGGTGGCTTCAGCGCCATCTGATGTCGGCATGATAGTCCTGCCTCCGTAGCGAGAAGGTACAGTCGAGTAGCTTGAGATCAACCAGGAGTACCATATCAACACACCGTGGTTAGCACCAGCCACGATGTGAGACTGGATCGTACATGTCATCAACGGATAGGAAATGTGTGAGTAAGACTCCGAGTCGTCGTTGGTAATCCGGAGCAAGTGACTTTGGGGACCTGGCTCAAGCCTCGATCGGTGAATTCACGTCAAGTCGGCCTCGTAATCCGTGGTTACAGCGTGGTATGGTTGGTTGATGATTGGCGAAGGACGACGAGCTAGTAATCAGCATGACGTGGAGCCCATGCCTCGAACTCTGGTCCGGACTGTGCATCACGTCGAAGATCCTTCGTTCAGACAGGCCGGATTCGTCAAGCCACTCCACATGCGCCTGTCTAATATCTATGTAAGAAGCGTCACGAAGACGCAGGTTTGTCACTTTGATCTGACAGGCACAGCCTTGTTTGTCTCATCAGTGCAGAGGTTATTATGGTGGGGGACATGACTTGATGTCACATCGCAATTTTGGGAATTTCGGGTCGAAACCTAGCCAGATCTTCATAAAATACCCAAGAGTGGGCCGAATCCGAAGTTTTAGATCGCGGGAAAAAGTTCTCGGCTAAATGGCCAAATTCGCGCCCAAGACTCGACCTTTTATAGGTAATTGGAGGGCGGTGTGTTAATGTGTGAAGTGTCCGGCAGTATCTTGGGCACGGCGGGTGCCTCTATTTTGGGGTGCCATGGTAGTGGAATGAGTTTCGGAAGATCCCAGAAGGGCCTTGGTCACTGCCGAGCACAGCGATCACGCAATTTCCTTTTTGGGACGGCCAAATCTGAGGCCAAATTTTGCCAGGTCATAATTTTGAAAATCTAATCCATGGGATTGAAAGTACATCTCAATAGCTATCTATTTACAAGGTTTGAAGGAAATTCATGTTGACTGAGGGTCACTATATGCACGGCGAGGATTGATGGAATCACTTGTCACGAAGTGATGTCCCCCACCATAGTATCCATGGATGATGATGTGATGTGAATTCACATCGTGTTTGCTAGGTCATCCTTTGAAGCTTAACGAAAGCGATCTATCGATCTGAACTGATTCTTCAACGTCTCTTTGTTCCATCCGTCTGCCATCATGAATCTAATCTATTCTCGGGATTTTTCATGGGAGCTTTCTTGCGAACTTGTGTGTCTCTAACATCCTTTCATACCCAATATACGGGGTGGGACCTTTCCCAAGAGCAAATAGTACCGGGATCTCCGAGCACATCCTTGCGCACACAGACACACGCTTTACTTGTCCCTGCGTCCTGGTTGGTCCCTTGCCTCAGAGGAAGAGGGCCCATGAGATACAGGCTATAGAAAATCGCTACACTCAAATTACAGGGATGCCGGTCAAGGTTGAATCACTGAACTCCGTCGGCGAAAAGTCCGGCTCAAGTCACATCCAGTGAGTTGGTCACTTGCCCAGATTTCTCATCATTGCGGTCATGCGACTCGGCCGGGTGTGTTTTTACTCGACTAGAGAGTCGAAAAGTTTGGGGGGAGATTGAATCGAGCAATCATCACCTTTTCGCGGGATGCTGCCATCTGTCTGCGACTTTTCCGTAGCCCACGTTCACCCTATAGGGATCACATCTAAACCGTATGATGGTCGTGTCAGACTAATCTTTTTGCTTCCACGTGTTGCTCTATTCTGTTTGCGGAAATTGCCGCGCCTTTCACCCCATCGTTATTCCAACACCGCCACTACGGCGCTCGTCGGCCAAGTCAGCGCCCCTTTGGAGAGTTCCCGGGGATTAATGTGCATGACGCGCCTATTTCAGCGAACGCGGGTAACACGCCTCGGACGCACCATCCTGGATCTGTAACAAATCAAGTTAATTCCATCGGCATGGTCCTTCCCAGCATCCTCCATGAATGGAAATCAACCTTGTTGACTGTTGGGCCAATTACATGACCACCGACTTTGGGGGCGTTCACCAACTCCGCTCAGTTGTCGGACCACACCGGACTTCACTCGATCAAGTGCGGCCAATCCACGCCTGTATCATCTCGTAATATGGACTCAGCTGTGATTATCCCACGCCGGCTCAGTGCCGCTCTCGATCAATTTTGTCATGATCTGGGTCCGAAGCCAGTCAGAAAACAAGCTGACAACCGGAAAGACTCGTGGATGGATCTGGGTTTAGAACTGGAGGCTCTCGGCCCACTGGTGTATCATGTTGTCCCTGTTTTGGACTTTTTTTATGGAATTCTCTCTGCTCGTCCAGTCTCAAAATCTTTCCTCTCCCCGATTCGAGCTGAATTTGGACGAGGTTGGACAAATCGATCCTAATCAGGTCAAAGTTGGACAAACAAAATTTGGCGAACCTCTTCCCGGCAATCAGAACGTCTGTCATAAGAGCAGACGAGGCATCGGCTATAAGGCCCACCGAGCGACCACTTCGAGAAGAATCTGACTCCAGCTTGAATTCTAAGTACTTACTTACTCATCGCGGCATCTCTGAACTTCGAGGCTGCCGCGGGCCGGTAGCCCGCGTTCTTCCAAATACGAGGCGTCACTGAGTTGACTCAGACGGCGTGGCTCCGAAGACGGCCCTAGTTCGTCACCTTCACATTGTCAAAGTCTGCTTTTTGGACTCACCGTGGGCCGAACGCAGAGACAGATGTCTACTTCTGCTTGATATATAACCTCCCCTGTTTTCACGCCTGGCCTCCTGCACGAACAACCTGATGTCATCCATTGCTAGCGAGCATACTCTGCCCGTCGAAGAACATGCCATTTCGACTCCGCAGACTGCCGAGCAAGATCAATCTGGGTTGGCGGAGAAACCCTTGGACATGAAAAAGTCTGTTCACGGTGCCACTGCGAGGGCTCCAGAGCCGGGAGTGAATGATGCGGAGTATCCATCTGGTGTAAAGCTCGTTCTGATGACGATAGCATTGTGCTTGAGTGTGTTCCTGGTCGCTTTGGTGCGCATTCCTCATCTTACAGACGGATGCGTCCTTACCACCTCTTGCAGGACAACACGATCATAGCGACCGCAATTCCCAAGATCACGGACCAATTCAATTCTTTGGAAGATGTGGGATGGTATGGCTCTGCGTACGTGCTCGTTCCAGTTCTTCTGCATTTTGGAAACCGATGGATGTTGCACACAGGTATCTGCTGGTACGTATACGTCATTTGCTCCCGTCGTTCCTGGACCCTGACGGATTTGTTAGACGACCGCCGCCACGCAATTGCTCTTCGGAAAGTTCTACACGTTCATGCCCGTCAAATGGGTATTCATAACTGCCATCGTCATATTTGAAATCGGTACTTCTATCTTTCCGTATACTATCTTGTTCCGAAGATTAACATGTCCCCGACAGGATCTGCCATCTGCGGTGCTGCCCCCAATTCCAAAGCGCTCATCATCGGCCGTGCTATTGCCGGTTTAGGCTCTGCGGGCATCTTTTCTGGCGCCATGATCATCATCGCCAACACAGTCCCGCTCGCGAGAAGGCCGATATACAGTGGAATCATTGGCGCGACGTTCGGTATTGCCAGCGTTGCAGGCCCATTGATGGGGGGTGTTTTCACGGACAGATTGAGTTGGCGCTGGTGCTTCTACATTGTGCGCCGTCCCTCAATGCATAAAACGAGACTGAGTGACGTATCCAGAATCTCCCCCGGGCGCATTCACCCTTGCTTTCCTCGTCTTCTTGTTCAAGATGCCAGCCAAGGCCTCAGTCAAAAACGAAAAGACCTTTAAGGAGAAGCTCATGCAGTTTGATCCTTTCGGCACAGTCCTCTTCATTCCAGCCATCATCTGCCTGCTGCTTGTTCTGCAGTGGGGCGGATCCAAGTACCCATGGAAGAGCGGCCGTGTTATTGCGCTCTTCATCGTCTTCGGCCTTCTCATCGCTGTGTTTATCGTTCTCCAGCTCCGACAAGGTGACCGGGCGACCATCCCTCCGCGCATCATTAAGCAGCGCAGCATCTGGAGCGGGGCATGGTACGCGTTCTCTGTTGGTGCAGCGTTCTTCCTCCTCTCGTTCTACGTGTGTTTCGTGTCTCCGGGTGTGAATTACTTTCTGACCCGCGTACAGCTCCCGATTTACTTCCAGTCGATCCACAATGTCTCCGCAGTCAAATCTGGGATATCAACGTTGCCCATGATCCTTTCTCTGATCATTTCCTCCATTTTGGTTGGCCTGCTCGTCGCCCAGGTGGGATACTACGTGCCGTTTATGATCGCCTCGACCATCATTGCCAGCATCGGCGCTGGACTGATCACCACGCTCGGAGTATCTTCAGGCCACGCAAAGTGGATTCCGTACCAGTTCATCTACGGCTTAGGTCTTGGTCTGGGCCAGAATCAGCCCGCGCTGGCTGCACAGGCCGTGCTCGACATCGAAGACGTCCCATCTGGCACTACCATCGTCATGTTTGCACAAACGTTGGGCGGTGCCTTGTTCATCTCCGTCGGTCAGAACGTCTTCACCAACAAGCTCGAGAGTGGATTGGCCAAATACGCTGCGGGCCTTGACCCCAACCTTGTTCTCTCTGCCGGCGCAACGACCCTGCGGTCTGTTGTGCCTGCTGACAAGCTCGCTGGCGTGTTGCTTGCATATTCCTACGTGCGTCGCCCCTCTTTGACATGGCTGTGCCTCACCCCAACATCATTCAGGCACTGCAATCAGCGTACTACGTCGCCGTGGCCATGTCAGCTCTGTCCGTCTTCGGCTGCATAGCTATCGAGTGGAAGAACATCAAGGGCAAGGACATCGAGATCGCCATGGGTTAGATAGGCCCATTCTCTCGCTCATTATTTCACGCATCACAGGACTATCCGAGTCCCTACGCTCGTGTCTGTATTCACGTCTATTTACAACATGACTAATTGGACATAATCTTTGTCCCTAATTCTATTTCATTTCTAGCTAAGACTCTCCGGCTATGTCACGTCTCCATGTTCGATCTTGCACATCCACAACTGCGATGTTATCTGCCCCCACTTCCGTGCTGGATTACATGAGCATAGTACGTGAAAGATATATTTCGCCGACCTTCGGGCAAGAGCATCGCCTCCACCGACCGCATTACATCAAACTCGACAGGCGAGACAGATCTAGAGAGCAAAACTCGGTATCTTGAGATTCAGTGAAAGGCCGTGTGCCCAGTCTAAGCCATCCAAAACTGCGTTGCGAGTGGGATTCGGACAGTGAAAGCAGTGACCCAGAAGTGGAAAAAGGGGGGCAGAGGAGCAGAACATCGGCAAAATCGAGATTCCACAAGAAGCGCACAAATGTCGAAAAGCTTCTGCAGACGCAACATGAGACTTGCAGACCCGCCTGAGGCTGATTCGCGCTCGGAACGCGGAAATTTCGGGCAGCCATCTTGTGCTTGGGGACAGACCTCTCCGGTTCGGACGATTGTTGCTTTCGGAACCTGTTCGGGTGTACCCTTACGATGAGTTCTCTGATTCCATCTGCTTTGGGGTGTAAGATGTCCTTCGTTGACTGGCGCTTGAAACACACTGCGGTGCTTTAGTCCGGTCCGGGGTTGTGTGCGTAAAGACGTGGGTGAAACCGAGGGCGAAATCGGCGCACCTTCTGCATCTGTCTTCTGTCTCAGTCTGGCCTCTGTTTTTGCGTCCATGCTTTGACTAGGATAGAGCACACGTCATGGACTGATGATCCGAAATCAAGGTTGAATTGATGCAGCGGTACGAGTCGGTCAGCTTGAAATCATTATCACGGTGGCTCGTAATCCGATGCTAAAATCCAGAAATCTGAAAGCCGTTTAGCTTATCTCTCAGCAAGAATCACAAACGGATCCTCTTCTGTTGATACGGAGGCCTCCTTTGATCTGAGTCACATCTCTAGGAGAATGGGTATCCCAACTCTCCGCCACCTGACGCTCCCAAGCGATCGGACGAACCAGAGCGTCGACCGATTTTTCTCATGGGAGCTTTCATTTTCTGCTTTATCAAAACTTGCTGTGGACACATTCGTCTCACGAAATATCCATTGAGGTGCCGAACTTCCTCGGCTTCCACCCCGCTCTTCAGCTCATTAATAAGGAGGCGATTAAGCGATTCCATCTGACTTGTAGCAAGCGACCGCGCATATGGCCCGAATGCTAATCATCAGCCTCAGCCGCATTGCGAATTGAATGATTTCCGCCGAACCCCGGTTCATCAACGACGCTGACTCATGATGTATAAGCATGTTGAGCAAAACCCCGGCACTCCAAGGATTATATCGATATCTTTAATGCTCACACTAGAGAGACTTGCAGGTCTGGCGTCTTCTAGGTATCCAGACTGTATTTTCGGTCATATATCGGAGCTACTGGTGTCCCGAAGCGAAGGCGCGCGCACGGCCAAGTGCGGTCAATCCGTGAGGGTGACGAGCAGCGAGTGACACATCTCAGATTCTTCTTTTTCGTGATGTTTGCTGACCATTCCCTTGCAAGTATAAAGGATATAGTATCCAAGTCCTGGGTTATTTCACTCTCTGATATCGTTCCATGCCTTCTCGACATGTCTTGACACTTCTTGCCCCGTCTTGGGGCCATACGCTGCCGTACATTCACCTGACCACTCGCATGTTGGCCTCGGATCCCGAGTTGGTCATTACGATCGTGCAACACAACCTCGTCGGTGTGTATCTGCGATATAATTTGGATGTTGTGATCCGAACCAAGATGTGTAGTGCACAAGATGATTGAAGAACTGAGCTCTTGCTCTTACGACACGAGCAGACTGAAGATTGAGGGTGTGGGTGACAACGAGTGAGCCTCCTCATCTGTTTCTGGTTCGACTCATCGTATTGGAAACAGAATTCACTACTCACCCCTGATCGTCGAAACAATGCTCAAGCAGCTTACGGCCGGATGGATTAAGGTTCTCGCAAAGGCGGCCACCGAAGAGACCGCATGGCCTAAGCCAAGGACGCTGCATGTATGGCAGCTCTCCATTCCCTGTGAGAGGCTTATTTCCCGCTACAGATGGACTTCTTTGGAGGAGGGTTCGTTGCCAAGGAATCGAGGGCCTTCCTGGGACCAGAAGGCAAGATTCTTGTCTGGTTCTCCTCTGCGGCCACGGCTTGCGTGGACACTTGCAGCGAATACGACTTCCCGAAAGTCGCCCAAGAGATATACGCTGATCAGAGCAGAAGAGCAGGAAGAACGATGCAAGAAATTTTCGGTGATGTGTGTACTACATTTCATTTTCAATCGGGTCATTTCATTCGCATGTGTGCAGGTTCTATGCGCTGGTAATGGTAGCGACAAACTAGATGGGCGCGTGCTCGAGATTGTTGGTGGAGTGAGGATGTACGACCATGAACACACGGCCCAGGGCGCTGGACCACCACGCCCACTGGCCCCCGTCTTGATATCCGCACAGGAATTGGCTAGTCTTGCGGATGGATTCTTTTGCCCGACTGGAACTCCTTTGGAGCCAGTCACAGCTCCCCTCTGTCGCGAGTACTACAAGAAGCGCGGGCAAGAACTCTTCCTTGTCGGTCCTCAAATGCACGATGTTGAATGGGAGGCGCCATTGGCGGGTGCGGGTCCTAGTGATGAGAGAGTGAAATCTTTCTTGGACGATGCGCGCGAGAAATTCGGGCCGAAATCTGTGTTGTACATCTCTTTTGGGTACGGCAAAATTCTTCCTCTCATTCTCAAAATCGCAAACTGAACTTCAACAAGTTCGCTCTTTTTCCCTGTGGAGACACCCCAGCTGGTCGAGGCGATGGTTGATGTGCTGTTGAGTCTCGATGCAGCGATCCCCTTCATTTTTGTGCTAGCGGGAAAGATGGCGGCCCTGCCCAAAGAGACCATTGATCGCATCCACGCGAGTGGCAGAGGAATTGTATGTGCTCACTGGGTTGATCAGAAAGCCGTCTTGAAGAGTGGCACCATCGGCTGGTTTTTGACCCACGGTGGCTACAAGTCTGTTCAACTCCTTATCCCACTGCTAGGATCGAATTGCTTATTCATTTTAGCTCGTTGACGGAAGCGCTGAGCCAGGGTATTCCCCTCATCTTCTGGCCGATTGGAGCAGAGCAAGCTGTAAATGCAGCGACACTCTCGACTGGTCCCCATCCCATAGGAATTGAACTTTTCCAGATGAACACTCCGATGAAGTCCTTCAGTGCGCTGTCTTGCTCATCAACATGCACAGATTCGAACAGGTACTCAGCTAGGACCTTCTCTTCGTCCAGAGGCACCTAATATCACGGGAACAATCGAGGACGCAAAGGCCGAGTTCCTTCAAGTGTTCATGGATGTAAAAGAATCTAGAGGTGAAACACTGAAACGACACGCCACTCAGATCGGAGATGCGTGGCGTGAAGAAAGAAAGAATGGGGAGCCCGTAAAAGAGATAGCCCGACTGACAAGATTTTGAGAAATCTACTGACTGTGGGACAGAGATGTTGGGATAGACTTATCAGCGAGAGCTCGTGACTGTACAGGAGCAGTGGCATGTTAAATATTTTTTGAGTGTAAAACATGCTCCTTGATCGCTGTAGACTGACATTATATTCTATAAGAATATCTCGGAACAATCTGCTTCTATCAATGGAACACATAAGCAGCCCATGTAATTACTGTTGATGTTGTGCCTGCATCACACCCGGATGGTGGTATATATATAGAGAGAGAGAGAGACAAGGACAAGAGTTCCGCAATCAATGTACAAATGAATGTACAAATATTCATCGAACCTATCTTAACCACCCAGGGACCTCCAATCATTACGTAAAATGGCTTCGAGACCCCCTCCGGAGGCCATCAAACCACCCCCTACCCCCCCTGATTGGAGGCCATCCTGGAGGCGCCTTCCTAATTGGGGCGCTGCCTGGCCATTTGTCCACTGCTTGCATGGTATGCCAGGGATTGGCCTGAGTGTTGATATATGCTGTAGTAGTCAGTATGAAGCCTCAGACAATGTCTTACCTCTCAAAAGCATGTATTTCTTGCTTGCAAATGGCAGACCACTGGGTGCACAAAATTTGGGATCTGAGTACGTGAGCACTCCTCAGGTTCAGAGAGCAACAGTATATGTATGAATTCAAGATTGAGCATGAGGTAGCTGTGCCCACACACAAAAATGAGATGTTGCTGAAGGGATGGTTTATGGCCTCCACGACCTCCCAGGGGCAGAAAAAAAGGTGTTGGGTAGCCCACAGGCCCTTGAATTCTGCTTCAATAGCACAATTTGACACTTATGCTTTGTCAAAACAACAGCTCAGCATATAAATTGGATGTTGGAGCAGTGGCAGAACAAGCCTCCACCGCCTCCAGGGCTGGGGATCAAAAGCAGTTACTGTAGATTCAGCCACACAAACTGTGTTCATGACATGATTTATCTTCATTGAGATGCACAGGATCCTTTAGAGCGGTAGCTCAACATGTGAATTGGATGCTAGAGCAGATTACAGAAAGGCTCTCCACAGCCTCCACAGCCGGGGACTAAAAGCAGTTTCTTTGGATTTAGCAGCAGAAACTATGTGTTCAATGTCAGGTGTCTTATTTGAATGCCAAGGGTCCTCTATGGAGACAGCTCAGCATATGAATCAGATGCTGGAGCAAATGGCAGAACTGGCCTCCACCGCCTCCACAGGTTATTACTTGAAGAGTTGGGATGAGATGACAATGTAACGGATAGATATTCTTCTGGCTGACCACATTCTGTCATTTCCCCCTCTAAATGCAAGTTTAATTGCTGCAGAATGTTAAAATGAGAGAATGGGGGACCCTGGAGGCGCTGGAGGCACATGCAAGATCCAATCAATATCATCAATATCATCAATGCTATCAATAGCATCAATAGCATCACCGATCATTGGTAGATTGATCAGCCAATCAGATGATGAATAAACATTGAACATCTAGTATATTCATTCCTGAGAGACACAGACTATATGTATGCTCATACTGAAAGTGGATTAGTGGTCCCAGGACATGCCCCAATGACATATTACATCCTTGTCTCAAGAACATATCATTGAAATTCAGAGTTTGCAAATGAACTGAAAGTACTTCACTGTACCACTCATCTTACAGTCTGGGTTAGGGGTATAGGGGGTCATCTTTATTGATTTGAGGCTGCACAACATATGCTCCGGAAGGATCTAATACAACCCATGACCAGAGCACCATGCGGTACATAGCCTTATGACTCATTAGTTGTAGATATGACTCAGACTGGAGTTGGGTATAAATACTGTAGCTACTTGGTTGCATTCTCCAGTCTTCAAATTGACTTCTCTTTTCAACATTGTTTCTTGTTGATTGTCACATAATTCAAAGACTCCCCTCATACCCTCCTACCTCATACCTCTTACCACTGCATTCCTTGCTGCTACGCCCGCTATATCCTCTTCACCCTTATCATCTCACTCAGCCTTTTACCAAATCATCTAGTTGCTCGCTGCAATCGCAGTGAAGGGTTCATATTGAGCAAACAGCACCAGGCCACAGGTAATGTTGAGCCCGACCCAAGCATTACGGTAGCTACAAGGAGTGCTGCAGAGACCTTTGGGAAAATGCACCTCAGGATCATTGGGCATGTGAAGAGCTAGGCCCGGGGTCTTTTTGCTAGCAAAAGAACCCTCCCTCGAGTGCTTGTACAGCACACGAATCCACCATTTTGTTCCAATTCCCATCGTCGTCTGGGAGTCCGTCTCCTCCTCCCATCCTACCATCGTTGCCCGATCTGGCGTATCAAAACCAACCGGGGCCCTCCAATCCCTACCTTGCTCTCCCGCCGCCTGAAGACGAGATCCCCAACCTCGACGAGTTGCCCTCTGAACAACCGCTGTCACCCCCACCTACCACGCCTGCTCCTACCATGTTAGGACAGCACCGCATCACCCTCGCCGCCACCCCCCCTATTTCGATGGGGACAAGACCAAATACATGGGCTTCGTGGACTCGTGCACCACCTACATTGGTGCCTACCAGTCGGAATTCTCGCTGGATGAAACCAAAATCCTCTTCATCCTCTCCTACCTCCGCAACGAGGCTGGCACAAGCTGCGCTGCCTCAAGATGGGTAATGAACTGGAAGCAGCGCAACTTTGAGAGACTTAATGGAATAAAGGCTGGGGTCACCTTGGCAACCTTCTTGGAGGAGCTTCAAAGGGCTTTTGGGGACTCCAACACGGAGCAAGTTGCCGCCGCTGGGCTCATGGCCCTGCGCCAGAATAGACGATCCTTTGCGGATTAGCTCTCCGACTTCGAGATGCTGGCTGCGGACGCGCAGTACAACGTGGTCACCTTCACCGACAGCAAGGGCGAGTACATGAAGGGGGATCAAGACAACATCCTCATCGAGTTCCTCGAGCGTGGACTGAGCAGCGAGATCGCAAGCCGCCTCTACAACACAGGTGTCCCCTTGCCCAAGGCGTATGGTGCCTTCAAGGACTGGTGAGTCAACATCGAGGCAAACGCTCTACGCGATCAGATACGCAAAGCATCGTATGGGCACTCTATGTCATGACCACCTCCCCAGTTCCACCCCCAGGCGACACCAGCCGTGCCCACACCTGCTCTGACCTGACCTGCCGCCAACAAACCGGTTCTGATGGAAATTGATTGCACGCACACCCGCGGCCGCAATATCATCTGCTACAACTGTCAGCAGCCTGGGCACATTGCGCGGAACTGCCCAGAACCAAGGAAGAAGCGCACGTTCTTCAATCGGGCCACAATGCTTGTGGAGATCGAGAACAGGGACAAGGACAACGAGTTCCTCAAGGAGATTGTTGAGAAGCTGCGCGAAAAGGGTTTTTGAAGCGCTCCACTCCTCTAGCCAAGGAGGTGGAGCGTCCGGACTATGGACAATTTTCTGTACTTGTTTCGATTAAAGATATGAACGATATTCCCCACCATACATACACGCTCCCCGACTCACTACGTACAAATATTCACAAGTTTCTTGTTGCCGAGATGGAAAAAGAACGTAAGGAAAAAATAGCTGTAAATAGAAAATATCTACAAGATAAAAAGGATCAGAAGATAGCGGCTGCGGATAAATTATTTTTGGAATCCTACGTATTTATGGCTTGTGGAAAAGAAACCACGTCAACAAAGACCAAAAAGGGGAGCATCGCTCCAGAGGCTCAATCCTTGGAAAAGGAGGAAGCGCCTAAGGAATCTGCCGAAATCGAGGTTCCAGAAGCACCCAAACGCACCAGGGTGCCAGATGCCGTCCAGAGGAAATTGGCGGCCGAGAAACAGAAGGGCCCCCAGCCCAGCAGATTGGCGCAGGAATTGCGCAGTTACCAGGCCGAAAGAAAGAGGCATTCGATGGACGTATATGTCCAGATCACGGGTCTGGACTCAGGAAAAACGCGCGGAGTCAAGGCTCTACTCGATAGTGGTTGTAGTACCTGTTGCATTGATACCGACTATGCACGGGCAGAAAAACTGGATATCCAAGAACTTCCCCAACCCATAGTGGCTGGTAACGCCGACAACACCAAGAACATCAGCGGTCGGATCACGCATTACATTGACCTGAGGATGAGAATTGGCCCTCATGTGGAGACACGCACGTTCCTTCTGACGTGTTTGGGAAAAGCTCGGATCTTCATTGGTCTTGATTGGCTGACAGAACACAACCCCGAGGTGGATTGGCAGGAGCAGACAATGAGATTCAGCCAATGCCCAGAACGGTGTCACATGAGGGGTCACGAGGAGCACCAAGCAATGATTGACATGGACGCAATCAACTTGGGAACGGTGAAATGCTGAGGGCGTGCTCACAGGTGAATCTACTATGGAAGTAAACCCAAATATAAACACGTTCACACTCCTCGTAATCAGCTTCTCAGTGTGTGAAAAATGCGAGGGCTTCGGGGTGGACAGAACACCAGTATCACAACTCTCAATAGACGCAGATCCAATAGTCGTGGAAGACCAAGTCGACGACAAGAATATATATATAGTAAACAATGGTGTCTCAACCAATATCTTCTATACGAACACAACCAACACTAATCCAATCACAACCAACGATATAACAAGTCAGAGCTTAATACGAAGTATCAAGATCCCCTTGTAGCGACAGCGTCCAGATGGTGACGCAAAGCCCAAGTATCAACTCAATGCACTGCCAACCAATACAATCAAAGTACTGAGTCGACGCACTGCCAACTAGTAAACCAAAATGCCGCGTCGATGCACTGCCAACTAACAGCCAATATCCAATGTCCAAAACCTGAGCACAACTTGTTGACGCACTGCCAAGCAAGAAGTGTGGAACCAAAGTTCTCAAGTCGACGCACTGCCAACTGACCAAAACAACCCAAGCACAACTAGTCGACGCACTGCCAAGCTAGAGGTGTGGAAACGATCTCAACAAAGCCCAAAGGCGACGACACTAAATGCCGTGACTAAACCAGATGCGGCGAATCCGACTTTCTGATATCTCAACTCAAACTCAAATCACAGTAGCTACAAGTGCTCAGGGAGAAACTCGTTGCGACCGGGCTGGGGTAGCAGAACTTCTTAGGGTGGAATCACGCGGCACGCAAATTGTACAAAACAATCTGATATGGGTATGATTCACAGTCCGGGAGAAAGCTCCCTAATACAAAGAAACAACACGCTACTTATACTGTCTACAACAATGCTTAGTAAAGTCCTGTACAACTGCATAGTAGCTACGCTATCTAAGATTGGTTGCTTTTTATGGTAATGAAAAAGTTGAATGATCGGACAGGTCCTGACTGATCAGGACCCCGCCCCATAGTCCATATGGTACTTTTGATGTGGGTCCACCCACCGCGTCATACTTTTGGAATATGACGTGCTGGATTGGCCAACTGGCATGTCTTGGCAAGTGAGTCCAACGTGGGTGCCCCAAGAAGCCGTATGGTCCCAGGCACGCCAGGCGTTCCTCACATGGTTTGGTTCACGGACCTCGCCCGTGTCAATTTTAGTGTGTTTGGGTATGGACGCGACTCGCCGTGACACTTGGAAGTGTCACCGCGACGCGTCCACAATGTCCCGTGATTGAATGGATCCTGACATGTGACAAGTTGTTGCTGTGGCATGATCTGAGGAAACGTCCAACCCAAAACTGGGAGTTGCCGCGACAAGATTGGTTCAATCTTGTAACGCCAAGTCCTGTCCAGTAGTAGTTGTAATATTGAGAACGTTGGGCATTGCTCAGCCCTTCAGCCCAAGTTCCCATCTGCAGAGAATGACCCTTTTCGAGAAGTCGCCGCAACAAAGATCCCTTTTTGGGGAATTGTTGTGGTCCAAGCGTTCGTCACTAATGGCCCTGAGCCTGGTATAGACTCATAAGACCAGTTCCACAGTAGTGGTCTGACTGCCTTGCTATTGTCGACACTATCCACAGTCGTCAACTGGGCAGTAGACCCTTAAGTCCTACTGAGCGCAACACTGGTAACCGCGACACAATACACCAAGTGGTTCGAGAGTGAACTCTGTAAAAAGCGCAAAAATACGCCCTTACAGAGCTGGTGCAGAGCATGTCTGGTAGCCAGCCTATCAACGGACGCACCAGATCTGGAAGAGGGAGAATCAATCCTGTTGGTTGACTTTGGGAAGGAAGTGGATCTATGGCTGAAAGAAACGCCGGCACAGAAATTTGCAGAAGAAGTGGAAAAAGAGAAGGAGAGAATGACTGAGGGAAAGATCCCAGATCAATACCGGGAATTCGTCAAAGTGTTTGCCAAGGAATCATTCGACTCACTGCCGAACCAACGAACATGGGACCATGCGATTGAGCTCAAACCTGGTTCCAAAGCAGTGGACTGCAAGGTGTACCTGTTATCGCCAAACAAGCAGGTCAAACTGGACGAGTTCTTGCAAGAGAACCTGGCCAGTGGACAGATCAGGCCATCAAAATCACCTATGGCATCAGCATTCTTCTTTGTCAAGAAGAAGGATGGCTTGCTACGCCCCGTTCAAGATTATCGGAAGCTGAATGAAATGACGATCCGAAATTGATACCCACTGCCGCTGATCTCCAAACTAGTCCATAATCTATGTGGCGCCAAGTTCTTCACAAAGCTTGACATCCGGTGGGGATACAACAACGTACGGATCAGAGAGGGCAATGAGTGGAAGGCTGCGTTCTGCACGAACCGCGGACTGTACGAGCCCTTAGTCATGTTCTTTGGCCTCACAAATTCCCCGGCAACCTTTCAAAATATGATGAATGACATACTCCGAGAACTGATCAACAAGGGTCACGTGGTAGTCTATCTTGATGATATTCTGATCTTCACAGAGGACTTGGATGAACATCGGCGGATCACAAAACAAGTACTCAAATTGCTCCAAAAACACAAGCTATACCTGAAGCCCAAAAAGTGCGAGTTCGAACGCACAGAAATCGAATATTTGGGTGTAATTATTGGACACAATTTGATGCGGATGGACCCAGTCAAGATAAAGGGCATGATGGAATGGCCAGAACCAAAGAGCGTCAAACAGGTCCAAGCTTTCCTCGGATTCACAAACTTCTATTGATGCTTCGTCCGGTGATAGGCTGGCTATCAGGCGCGCTCTGCACCAGCTCTATAAGGGTGTATTTTTTGCGCTTTTTACAGAGTTCACTCTCGAACCACTTGGTGTATTGTGTCGCGGTTACCAGTGTTGCGCTCAGTAGGACTTAAGGGTCTACTGCCCAGTTGACGACTGTGGATAGTGTCGACAATAGCAAGGCAGTCAGACCACTACTGTGGAACTGGTCTTATGAGTCTATACCAGGCTCAGGGCCATTAGTGACGAACGCTTGGACCACAACAATTCCCCAAAAAGGGATCTTTGTTGCGGCGACTTCTCGAAAAGGGTCATTCTCTGCAGATGGGAACTTGGGCTGAAGGGCTGAGCAATGCCCAACGTTCTCAATATTACAACTACTACTGGACAGGACTTGGCGTTACAAGATTGAACCAATCTTGTCGCGGCAACTCCCAGTTTTGGGTTGGACGTTTCCTCAGATCATGCCACAGCAACAACTTGTCACATGTCAGGATCCATTCAATCACGGGACATTGTGGACGCGTCGCGGTGACACTTCCAAGTGTCACGGCGAGTCGCGTCCATACCCAAACACACTAAAATTGACACGGGCGAGGTCCGTGAACCAAACCATGTGAGGAACGCCTGGCGTGCCTGGGACCATACGGCTTCTTGGGGCACCCACGTTGGACTCACTTGCCAAGACATGCCAGTTGGCCAATCCAGCACGTCATATTCCAAAAGTATGACGCGGTGGGTGGACCCACATCAAAAGTACCATATGGACTATGGGGCGGGGTCCTGATCAGTCAGGACCTGTCCGATCATTCAACTTTTTCATTACCATAAAAAGCAACCAATCTTAGATAGCGTAGCTACTATGCAGTTGTACAGGACTTTACTAAGCATTGTTGTAGACAGTATAAGTAGCGTGTTGTTTCTTTGTATTAGGGAGCTTTCTCCCGGACTGTGAATCATACCCATATCAGATTGTTTTGTACAATTTGCGTGCCGCGTGATTCCACCCTAAGAAGTTCTGCTACCCCAGCCCGGTCGCAACGAGTTTCTCCCTGAGCACTTGTAGCTACTGTGATTTGAGTTTGAGTTGAGATATCAGAAAGTCGGATTCGCCGCATCTGGTTTAGTCACGGCATTTAGTGTCGTCGCCTTTGGGCTTTGTTGAGATCGTTTCCACACCTCTAGCTTGGCAGTGCGTCGACTAGTTGTGCTTGGGTTGTTTTGGTCAGTTGGCAGTGCGTCGACTTGAGAACTTTGGTTCCACACTTCTTGCTTGGCAGTGCGTCAACAAGTTGTGCTCAGGTTTTGGACATTGGATATTGGCTGTTAGTTGGCAGTGCATCGACGCGGCATTTTGGTTTACTAGTTGGCAGTGCGTCGACTCAGTACTTTGATTGTATTGGTTGGCAGTGCATTGAGTTGATACTTGGGCTTTGCGTCACCATCTGGACGCTGTCGCTACAAGGGGATCTTGATACTTCGTATTAAGCTCTGACTTGTTATATCGTTGGTTGTGATTGGATTAGTGTTGGTTGTGTTCGTATAGAAGATATTGGTTGAGACACCATTGTTTACTATATATATATTCTTGTCGTCGACTTGGTCTTCCACGACTATTGGATCTGCGTCTATTGAGAGTTGTGATACTGGTGTTCTGTCCACCCCGAAGCCCTCGCATTTTTCACACACTGAGAAGCTGATTACGAGGAGTGTGAACGTGTTTATACTTGAGTTTACTTTCATAGTAGATTCACCTGTCAGCGCGCCCTCAGCATTTCACCGGGGATGGGCAGAGGTAGCAAAGCTGTTGACACAGCTGACAGGGAAGGCAGGATGGTCATGGGGTACGGATGAGCGTGTGGCATATGATGGATTAAAGAAGAGAATTGCGGAGGATGCGGTCTTAGCACTGCCGAATGACACCGGCCAATATTGTCTGGAAGCCAATGCTTCGGAAGGGGCAACATTGCTCAACAAATGGAGGCAGCTACTCCTGGGAGCCACGGAAACATTCAAGATCTTCACTGATCATCAGAACCTTGAGTACTTCCGGAAGCCACAAAAGCTCAACCGATGGCAAGCACAATGGATCACAGAATTGGCGGATTTTGATTTCACCTTACGACACTGGCCCGGCGCACTCAACCGCAAGGCAGATCTCTTATCACGACGTGCAGATCATGATCAGGGCAAGAACAAGAACAAGGATGTCACGCTACTGAAGCCCGAGTTCTTCCGATCACAAGAAGTCATATTTGAGGGACAAGATCAGCAGCTGATCAATGAGATCAAAGCCATTCAATCGGTTAATGGAAGCATCAAGGCAGCCTTGGAGAAGTCACTCATTGGATGGGAAAAGGAAGATGGACTCATCACGTACCCTGGAAAGCTCTATGTACCAAGAGATGAGGAGCTACAGGACAAGATCATTGGGCTACACCACGACACCCATTTGGTCGGCCGCGCTGGGATCAACCAAACACAGGAGATGGTGGAAAGGAATTACTAGTGGCCTAGGATGGGAAACCGAATTCGGAAATACATCCAGACATGCAAGGCGTACCAATGGACCAAGACCAGGAGAGCAAGGACGGGAACTCTGCACCTGCATGCAGTCCCAAATGCCCCGTGTGAAATCATCTCCATGGATCAAATCGGACCCTTACCGGTCAGTAATGGGTATGACGCAATTCATGTGTAGTGTAACACCTTCACCAAAATGATCCATGTTGAACCCATTAGTACTGACATCAGCAGCAAAGGAGTAGCATGGTTGACAAGGAACCGGGTCTTCTGCTATCACGGGATCCCTCGCAAGATCATTACCAATAGGGACGCACAATACATCAATGGCTTCATGAAGGAGATGAACCAGATGTTGGGCGTGGAAATGAATCTGGGGACCGCATATCACCCAATCACGGATGGACAAACAGAGCACATGAATCAGGAGATTGAGCATTATCTCCGCATCTACGTCAATTATCATCAGACGGACTGGTCGGAGTGGCTGGGAATGGCGGAGTTTGCATATAACAACAAAATGAACACATCTACCAAAATATCACCATTCTACGCGAATCACAGATATCACCCATGGAAGGGAGTGGAGCAGCGGATGGAATCAAGAAACAAGTCAGCAGAGGAGTTTGTAAAAAGAATCAAAGAAATACAAGATGAAACAAAAGCAGCACTGAAAAAGCAAATGAAAAAATGAAAAAATACTATGATAAACAAAGAAAAGAAGTTCCAGAGTTGAAGGTTGGGATGAAGGTGTACATAGAAGGGGACAATATCGAGACGGACAGGCCTTTAAGGAAGATGAGCAACAAGAGATTGGGGCCATACAAGATACTGGAGAAGGTTGGAGCGGCCGCATGGAAGCTGGATTTGCCAGACACGGACCAAAGACACCCGGTGTTCAACGAGTCACTGTTGACACCCTATCATGAACCACCCCCCCCATTGCCAAGAGAAGAGACCCTTAGCCAAGATGACCGGAGGAGCAGAGGAGTGGGAAGTCGAAGAAATCGTGAAAGAGCGAAAAGTCGGCCGAGGAAAACAGTACTTGGTCAAATGGAAGGGATGGCCACATAGCAAAAATACCTGGGAGCCATCACGTCATCTTACCCACGCAAAGAAGGTCCTGAGAGATTGGCAGAGGAAACAATCCAACTCAGACACACGCATTCGCCTCCTGCCAATGCTTGAAGCTGGACACTGGGACTATCTCATTCACCGCTACAAACCCAGAGATGAGCGCCTTCCATATCCCCAACGACAACTCTTCAACCCGATCAAAAACGTCTTCACACCCATTGGCCCAGTCAATGAGGACATCGCCCCTAGAGAGGGGGTAATGTCATAATTTGGCCCCTTTCTCATCTTATCATCGACGATCTTATCTTATCTCGGCATGGATTATCTTATCACAGATCACAGCATCTGACAGTCTGGGCTAGGGGTCTGGGGGATTATCTTTATCCATCCAAGGCTGTGCAACATATGCTCCAGAAGGATCTAATACAACCCATGACCAGTGCTCCATGTGGTACATAGCCTTATGACTCATTAGTTGTAGATATGACTCAGACTGGATTTGGGTATAAATACTGTAGCTACTTGGTTGTATTCTCCAGTCTTTGAATTCACTTCTCTTTTTGACATTATTTCTTGTTGATTGTCACAACACCTGCCAGAATAATACCAACCAAATCAAGGTGTGGCGAGCATTATCTGGTTTGACACATATCTCTGAGCTTGCTACATTCACTGCCACTCTCCTGTCCATTGTTGCTCCAGAAATCTGACCACCGCAGTCGTTTTGCACTTGAAAAACTGGAGCAAAGAATCAAGGTCAGCGCTCTTGTCAGTCCCTTGTATGTTACTCGGACTCATTATCTATCAGGTTTATGTGCAATTGCAGTTCAATCAACAACTGAAGAGCAAGCTGAAGATTCAGCAAGCTCAGAAGAACCACAAGGTTCCTGAGATGCTACTTTAAGTCCCTTGGTATAGTGCCTTGCTTGATGACAATCAGGACCTTGATCCAAGTTCTCAGCAACAGAGCATCTTGTTGAATGGATCCAACTGGCAAGCAGAGATGGCTAAGTGGTTCAGTGATACGCAGACAACCAATGGAGAGTCAGAAGATGAGGGTGCTGGGGACGAGGAGGAGAGGGTTTGTTTGCCTTCCATGGCCCGCAGCCTTCCTGCCTGGAAACCAATGACTCCCAAGACATTGTTTGGTGAGGCTACTAAACCACGCCTCCAAAAACCTTCAAAGCATGTGATAGAGGAAGAGGAGCAACTTATGGAACAGCTTGCTAATGCAGTGGAAGCACCATACCCAATGATGGAGCCATCAACATTGATTTGGAGGAGGAGTATCAACCATATGGAGTATCAACCATATATAGTGTTGAAGCTTGTTTGTATTAGTGACTATCACAGTATGTAAGCATGACATCATATGTAGTATTCTTAGATTACTTTGGCTTGCTCCACAATGACCTCATACCTGACCTCATCATTGTGTCATCCATTACTCATCTATCATATCACTATTCCACTATGACATCATGATATCTGCTCCAGACTGGTATACAAAACATAGTACTATTGTGACAATCAACCCAAAAATCAAGTCAAAAAGAGGAGTGAATTCGAAGACTGGAGAATACAACCAAGTAGCTACAGTATTTATACCCAAATCCAGTCTGAGTCATGTCTGCGACTAATGAGTTATAAGACTATGTACCGCATGAAACACTGGTCATGAGTTGTAGTGGAACCTTCTGGAGCATGTGTCATGCAGCCTTGAATCAATAGAGATATCCCCCTGGGCCCCTAGTCTGGACCATGTGATGCTGTGATCTGTGATAAGATAACCCATGTCAAGATAAGATAAGATCATTGATGATAAGATGAAAAAGTGGCTGAACTATGACATTCCTGAGAAGTATGTAAATTACTAAGAGTCTTCAGTAGTCAAACTACTAACTCTTGCTGAACATTAACACACTTGTTTGCTGGACTTAGTCACTAAGAACAACACTCAAAGAACTTACACGCGCCTCATTGACACTTGATTAGACTGTCAGACCCGCTTCATTAACAAACATGCAATCAGAAAACTGATGAGAGGTCCACGAGCGATTGGACCTAGCACGAGACAACAGCTGAACACCCACAAACTGTGATCTCATGATCTCAACACCCTCTAGTAATGGCTAGTAATGGCGAAAAATATCTAATAATGCTGTATTCATACCCGGAGATGGTCCTCAGGCTTCTGTATTGTTTAGCAGAGTATAGAGAGGGTATGTTCAGGCATTACTGGTTCATTATCAGGCATTAATAGTGCATTACTAGGATTTACTAGAGGGTATTGGAGAACTATCAAGTATAAGTAGTCATATTTAAGCATTACTAAAAGGTAATCCTGGAATGTCCCAAAATGGGCTATTTTCGCGGCAAAAACTCAATTTTTTCCTGGTTAACCAAAGCCTAAATTTTGCCGCCCCCCGCTCATCCGCCCACGACCATTTCCGTAGGTTTTGGGGGCAAAAGAACACTGCCTGAATGCCAGGATTCGGGGGTGACTGGGCGCAAACTGCCACGAAGACTCCTCTTTTGACACCGGGTTCGTCAAGCAAAACTAGGATATAATGTGACGTGTTGTGACGAACCGTTCGGCAAGTTCCCGACCGAGCGGTTCTTCTTATTGCTTGTGCGCGCCAACAATACTTGTTCCAAAATTCTGAGAGGACCAGTATTCTAATTTGGGATCTTTCACTGTTCACCCCAGCTCTGGGGTGCTAGAATACAACAGGTTCCACGTGCTACCATCAGATTTCCTCGCCTCGTCTTTTCGAACGGCACCCCATCTGAGAAGTAACCACCAGCTTCTGATTTTACGTGGCTACGGGAAGTTACCGGTGCCGATAAATGATTCCAAAACACCTCTATGGCCGTGGGACCCATCTACTTAGCTCATCATCGATCGGCTGTTGTCCTACCCACATGCAATGTCTACGGGATGCGCAAGGATACAGCATAGAATTTCTTCCCAATCCACACCCTCTTGATTGTTCGTGCGGGGGCGATCTCGATGATGGGGAACCGCGGTGCCCCCTCGAGAAACGGCGATTAGATCGGTCCCCAGCTGAGAAGTTCGAGGAGGGCGCGATACTGCAACTCGCGGACGACATCAGTTCCCGAACTAGTTGACTCTCGAAGGAAGATAGGCCACGGTTGATGTAGCGCTTTCCACGACGGCGCCCACGTCACTGTCCCGCCGCCTGATGAACTGTGGTCAGCGCTGAAAGGATGACGCGCATCGGGTGGGCACACGCACCAGAGTCGCTTTGGACCCGACCGTTGGCCCCCGAAGCTCGCATGCGATTTCAAAGATCTTCATAAGGATTCGGGCTCAGCTCTCATCCGTGCTGTCTCCCCAGGCTTGTTGGTGGACTCGGTCAACGTTGATATTGGGATCAAGGAATTGGGATCAGGTGGACAGTGGTTGGATGTGAAGACGAATAAAAGCTGGGCTTGTGAAACAACGCGTATGAAACCCTCTGAGACCTGCATTCGACACCGTCGAATCCGGCTTCCTTAGCATCGAATGTCGCAATGCCGTGCAATTCGACATCGTTTATGCGTTCATTGAGTCCAGGAGCTCCGTCAACTGTGGAGCAGGATGAGCCCATACACGTCTTCAGAGAATTTATGCAAGGGACTGACGGTAGCCAAGTTCGACAAGCGAGGCGGGGACCATAGAGTGTTCCGCTGCATCGCGGACAGACGGGGAGGCCTAAATAGGCTGGGTACAGGGTTGAGTATGGCGACTGGATCCTCCAATACGTGCACGCACCTCCCATCAAGCGATCTGAGGTGTTGAGTCGGGATGACATTCACTTCCAGCTGTGGCCAATTGTCAGTCTGGTCCGCTGACTGCGGCATCCGCAGCGAGAGCGTACCGCGCATGAACTGGAAATATATTCGGCCACCCTCCTTGTGGGCCGAGCTCATGATCTCATCCTCCACTGCTGTCTGCTTGCTGCCCCGTATTCTAGGTGAGTCGGAACACTCTGGCCTAGGGCACGGCTAGCAGCTGAATGGAACCCTTCCCGAAATTCAGAGACCAATGTCCAGAGCTGGTGCGTGCTGCAGGCTGTATTTCTGCATATTATCGTCCGGGGTCGTTTTTGTCGTATGGTTACGTGCCATGGCTGCCATGAGTAGTCGCCACTGTCAGTGCTGCTGAGTCGACATTGAAAGCGCAGATGATGCTCACAGATTCGTCGGGACATGTTGACGCTCGCTGCTCTGCGGGATTTCAAAGAGCGGATGAGTATTCGAAGGAGCAGCGTCGAAGGGGATCTGCACAGGATATGAGACGGTGAAGGGTTTTCGCCTCTGATCATAAGCGCCGTGTCTTCCATGGGTGGTCACAGCGACTCCGGGAAGCGCCTGGCTCGCGTAGGGCAGCGCAAGAAAAGCTGACTGAGACGAGGAGCAACGTGGTAGAGTCGTAATGTGTGTGTGTAAAGTGCGATGTTTTCTCTCCTAGCGCTGGAGTCAATCAATCTCAGCTCTCGTCACCGTCACTCCTTTTGGCATGATGACACATTGATCATGATGCGAATTCATCCGTCGTCTCATCATCAAGACTAATAGCTTTCTCACAGACAGCACCTCTGACATCAGCAAAAAGGGAGGGAGAACCCCGACCATACCCACGAGGCTGATCCACCTTCATTCGGGTGAAGCACTGACACAGCCGACTGCGTGTCGAGTGGTTTGACTAATATATCTGCTCGAACGTAGGAACTGCAAGTCATCCTGATTTGCAGCTGCTTTCCACAATCCCCGGCTGCCGTTTGCATCGCTCGAGACGACTTGACATGTGGAGTCAAAGCGACCCTGAACTCACGCTGAGCGCTGCATCTTGTCTCGGTGCGACGGACAACGGGAAAATCTGACGGTTATTCCAGAATGTCTCAGGGCCCGCAATACAATATCAAGATACGTTCGATGTGCTCGTCACATTTTTTTTCGCTCTGTAAGCGGGGGCGGACCCTCGCGTTGTGCAGGTCTGGGATACCACACTGTGCACCAGATAGCACAGAAGCCTTACACGCTTGTGTTACCTCGGCGCGTGGTGAATCTCTGCTGCGGAGGAAGCCATCACCAGCTTTGCGTCGGATATCCACCCCACGTCGCTTGACGTCCCTGTGTCTATGGACCTCAAAGACGCCTGCCTGGAGACTTCCGCGCTGATCTCTGATCGTCCACTGACCACGAATTCTAGCGCGGAGATCGCTACCGGTCCAGGCCTGTCAATCTTCGCGACTGACAGGGCCGACACACACACGGTGAAGAGAATATTCCGGCCTTTTACTGAAACATGGAAACACGATTGTCAATGTGCATCTGTTCTGGACTTACAAGCATCGAGCGAGGCGCGGCCGCCCGCCCGATGGCGAACTTCGAGACGTACCCTGCCAGCACGGACGCACTGAGAGATCTTACAATCAAAGGGGATTTGAGCGCCCAGCGCAGTCGGGGATCTACCACAGAGCAACTCTGTCCGAGTGCGTGTCTCCTATGTGGCATACATCTCAATTCGCTTGTTTCAGCAGGGCCTCGCAGTAGGGGGTGCGATTGTGCTATAGTAAAGGAAGATTCCTAGCTTTTCGTCGACCCGGTGAGCGCACACGGGAGAATGTTTGTGTCCAGTACGCTCACGGTGTGTAGAGAGCCCTGAATCTGAAAGTCTAATTTAATATACATCGGCCTGCACGACGATGGATACATCGATCGAGTAGCAAGAACCTAAATGAAGCACACCGTGTCGTTTAGGTAGACTTGACTCCGTCTGCGTTGTTGTATCACTATTTTTCGAAATCCTCTTGGAAGTAGAAAATGCAAGCCAGTGAGAGCATGCCATGGCAAGACGGGTATTATGAGGCGCTGCGAGGACCACAATCGACGTCATCTGAGGGAAATGCGCGTGCGACGACGCCGCGGCTCCGTGTGAAGGCGACCCGATCCTAACTCATTCAGGATGTGAAGACGCATGTGCCAGCTGAGGCAAGGATCTCAACGATCGCAACGCGCGGGCAGAGTTTACTCACTGTATTCCTCGTAATCCCACTATCGTCGCCCTCCTCCCATCCCTCTGTCACTCGATTCGTGCGATCTTGCCCCCGTACTTGCACATACATCCCGCATGCATCGCAAACCATCATCTCCTCCAAATTCTCCTCCGAAGGGCTTGTCCTCTTTGTACCGCAATGTGGGCATTGGATCGTGCCCTCCAGCGACACCCCGTCCTCCGACGACCCGTTTCGCCGCGTTTCTGCCAGCAAGAGATCGACGAGGCGCTGCTTGGAGCGTTGAGAAAGATACACTGCGCATGCATCGCACAACGGAACATGCGTGATAGGATGTTGTTGCCAGACCAACGTGGTCGTCCCACAATGAGAGCACTGCCGAGCGGTTAGGGCTTGCGGTGAGGGCATCATCTGAGGGGTAAGTTCTGGTATAAGAGGATTGGCTCGAGGAGGTTCAGATTCTTCCATGCAGAACGGGCTAGGCTCGAGGGAATTAGGGGGTAGCGAGGGAGAGAAGCGATCCTGTGCATGGAAGGGAAATGCTGAGGGGGAGATGGTGGGGGGAATCTGGGATTGGACAGCCCCAAGGCTAGGCTCTAGAGATAAATAGTCAGTCGAGGTTTGGTCTCAGCCAACGGAGCCTACCCAAAACTTGTTCATTTTCTTCCTGGTTGCGAGAATCATCAAACCAGAAAGCGTAACTAAAGCCACTCATGATTTGTGAATGTTTGCGTCTGGAGAGGAGTTGCGCAGATCACGCCGTTATATACACTGCAAGGCGTCAAAGATCTAGATCGGGAATGCAAGTGATGGCAATATCCCACAGCCACCGTCCAAGCCAGCGGTTCCCCTGCTTTTCACGGTACATGTCCTGTCCCTCGAAGACAATCTTGCTCGGGAAAAAAATCGGATGCTTCTTTCTGAACAATATTCAGTGCTTAATGATAACGCCCTCAGTTGCTCAAAACTTGTTATTGACGAGTTTAGACTTTCATCATTTTGACTGACACCAGTCCGCATGTGTGGTTTCTATATTCAAAAGATATAACGCGAAGACCAAAGTTATCCAAACGAGCATTTTTCTGGGTTAGAGCATCTCTCTGGGTTCTTTTGTGCCGCATTGAGTGTTAATGTCCTGGCAAGGCATGTGTACCCGATCCCGATCGTTACCGCCTCGTGATAAACACTTGTGCTTGATCGACGCCATCAGGCACTCACGGTGGGACGCTCATTGAGCCCGAGCCAACGAGAACGCAACGTGGAATCACCCGTTTAGCGCATTACTCATTCATCGCATTGGGACGACAATTACGACCGGGGATCAAGGGCCCGAATCCCGCATCAGCAGAGCAGGTCCGCAATTGCCGAAGTGAAATATCGGAGCAAGACCATGCCGACGACGGTGTTTCTGAGAGAATTCGACCTGGCTTGCCTACCGTTCACGAGCCAATAACAGTCGCTAAACGACTCAAAGTCATACGGTTCTTCAACCGACATTCTGCCGCTAGGAACAGCAACAGCATGCGGAGTGTGCCACGGAGAAACATCCGAGAGACGCCGCGGCAAGATCCCATTTGCCTGACGGACAGAAGCGCTGTTCAGCTGAGCGGTCACTCCTGGGCCCGGGAGTTTCGACAATGACTTACAGGTACCGTGCCAGGCTATGCGATTCCGGGGGAAATAGCCAATTGCCTCATAGCCCAGCAACGTGACAGTTCAAATATCCAGCTTCAGCCCATGTTCCTGTCTTATCTTGCCAAATCGACTCAGTGTTTTCAAGCTTTGCAGTCCCAGCTGGGCTAGGGGCCTTGTCCGATTGGGAAGGGAAAGAATCCTTCTGATACATGATTGCGTGATGAGGAGTGACGGACTGCGGAAGTGTCAAAGCATTGAAATTGTTTCATGCTGCTACGTAGTGATTGTGACGATTCGGATTCAGATAAGATAAATGATAACTCAATCGACATCCGTAGAAAGGCAGTAGGGCTTCCGGTTTGAACATTTCAGAATAATCTGAAAGCCAGAGTTCTTTGGCTGCAACCAAGTAGTAATTGGAATTTTCGACCAGTTTCTTCTATTGTCAAGCAGAATAATATATTGCTTCTGAAGTCTGACAACATGAAGCAAGTACGCAATGACTACCTATCTACCCAAGCACAAAAGGGTGGCACTGGTTGATCTTAATTGGCTTGACAACACTGCAAATCTTGTCAATGAGGAGCAGCTTATTAAGAAGCTGGAGAATGCCTCAGCCTGCAAACACGTTGTTACTTGGTTGTCATAGTTCGACCCTTTTTCATCTTATCATCAATGATCTTATCTTATCATGGATCACAGCATCACACGGTCCGGGTTAGGGGTATAGGGGGTCATCTTTATTGATTTGAGGCTGCACAACATATGTTCCGGGATGTTCTACTACAACCCATGACCAGCACACCATTCGGTGAAATGCTGAGGACACGCTCACAGGTGAATCTACTATGAAAGTAAACCCAAGTATAAACACATTCACACTCCTCGTAATCAGCTTCTCAATGTGTGAAAGCTGCGAGGACTTTGAGGTGGACAGAACACCAGTATCACAACTCTCAATAGACGCAGATCAATAGTCGCAGAGGACAAAGTCAACGACAATAATTTATACATAGCAAACAATGGTGTCTCAACCAATATCTTCTATACAGTCAAAACCAACACTAATCCAACCACAACCAACAATATCAGAAGTCAGAGCTTAATATGAATTGTTAAGATCCCTTGTAGCGACAGCGTCCAGATGGTGACGCAAAGCCCAAAATGTCAAGTCGACGCACTACCAACTGACACAACCAAAGTACTGAGTCGACGCACTGCCAACTAGTAAAACCAAAATGCCGCGTCGACGCACTGCCAACTAACAGCCAATATCCAATGTCCAAAACCCAAGCACAACTTGTTGACGCTGATAGGCTGGCTACCAGATGCGCTCTGCACAAGCTCTATAAGGGCATATTTTTGCGCTTTTACAGAGTTTACTCTTGAACCACTTGGTGTATCGTGTCGCAGTTGACAGCGTTGCGCTCAGTAGGACTTAAGAGTCTACTGCCCAGTCGACGACTGTGGATAGTGTCGATGATAGCAAGGCAGTCAGACCACTCCTGTGGAATTGGTCTTATGAGTCTACACCAGGCCCAGGGCTATTAGTGACAGACACTTGGACCGCAACAATTCCCCCAAAGGAATACTTTGTTGCGGCGACTCCTCAAAGGGGTCATTCTCTGCAGATGGGACTCGGACTGAAGGGCTTAGCAATGCGCGACGTTCTAAACATTACAACTACTACTAGACAGGACTTGGCATTACGAGATTGAACCAATCTTGTCGCGGCAACTCCTGGTTTTGGGTTAGACATTTCCTCAGATCATGCCACGGCGACGACTTGTCACATGTCAGGATCCACTCGATCACGGGACATTGTGGACGCGTCGCGGTGACACTTCCAAGTGTCATGGTAAGTCGTGCCCATACCCAAACACACTAGAATTGACACGGGCTAGATCCGTGAACCAAACCATGTGAGGAACGACTGGCATGCCTAGGGCCGTACAGCTTCTTGGGGCACCCACGTTGGACTCACTCGCCAAGACATACCAACTGGCCAATCTAACACGTCGTATTCCAAAGGTAGGATGCAATGGGTTGACCCACATCAAAAGCACCATATGGACTATGGGGCGGGGTCCTGATCACTCAGGACCTGTCCGATCGTTCAGCTTTCTCATTACCATAAAAAGCAACTGATCTTAGATAGCGTAGCTACTATGCAGTTGTGCAGGACTTTACTAAGCATTGTCGTAGACAGTATAAGTAGTGCGTCATTTCTTTGTATTGGGGAGCTTTCCCCCGGACTGTGAATCATACCCATATCAGATTGTTTTGTGCAATTTGTGTGCCGTGTGATTCCACCCTAAGAAGTTCTGTTACTGTCATAGTTCGGCCACTTTTTCATCTTATCACCAACAACCTCATCTTATCTTGGCATGACTTATCTTATCACAGATCACAGCATCAGACGGTCCAGGCTAGGGGTTCCAGGGATTATCCTTATCGATCCAAGGCTGCGTGACATATGCTCTGGAAGGTTCTCCGCTCGACTCATGACTCTGTGCCAGAATAGGCGATCCTTTGCGGATTATATCTCCGACTTTGAGATGCTGGCTGCAGACGCGGGCTACAATGTGGTCACCTCCACTGATTCAAAGGGCGAGTACAAGAAGGGGGATCAGGACAACATCCTCATCAAGTTCCTTGAGCGAGGGTTGAGCAGCGAGATTGCAAGTCGCCTCTACAACACGGGTGTCCCCTTGCCCAAGGCGTATAGTGCCTTCAAGGACTGGTGTGTCAACACCAAGGCAAACACTCTGCGCAATCAGCTGCGCAAAGCATTGCATAGGCACTCCGCACCACGACCGCCTCCCCAATTCCACCCACAAGTAGCCCCAATGATGCCTGCACCCGCCCCGGCCCGACCCTCTGCCAACAAACTGGTTCCGATGGAAATCGATTGCACCCACGCCCATGGCCGCAATATCATCTGCTACGACTGTGAGCAGCCTGGGCACATTGCGCGGAACTGCCCGGAACCAAGGAAGAAGCGCACGTTCTTCAGTCGGGCCACAATGCTTGAAGAAATCAAGAACGGGGACAAGGACAACGAGTTCCTCAAGGAGATTGCCGAGAAGCTGCACAAGAAGGGTTTTTGAAGCGCTCCACTCCTCTAGCCAAGGAGGTGGAGCGTCCGGACTATGGACAATTTTCTGTACTTGTTTTGATTAAAGACATGAACAATTCTGCACATACATACACAATCTCGGACTCACTACGTACCAATATTCACGATTTTCTCATTGCCGATATGGAAACAGAACGCCAAAGAAAAATAGCTGTAAATAGAGACTATTTACAGAGTAAAAAGGATCAGAAAGCCGCAGATAAATTAATTTTGGACTCCTACGTATTTATGGCTCATGGAGAAGGAACCACGTCAACAAAAACCGAAAAGGGGAGCATCGCTCCAGAGGCTCAATCCTTGGAAAAGAAGGAAGCGCCTAAGGAATCTGCCGAAATCAAGGTTCCAGAAGCACCCAAACGCACGAGGGTGCCTGATGCCGTCCAGAGGAAATTGGCAGCCGAGAAACAGAAGGGCCCCTAGCCCAGCAGATTGGTGCAGGAATTGCGCAGTTACCAGGCCGAAAGAAAGAGGCATTCGATGGACGTATATGTTCAGATCACGGGTTTGGACTCAGGGAAAACGTGCAGAGTCAAGGCGCTGCTTGATAGTGGCTGCAGTACTTGCTGCATTGATACCGACTATGTGTGGGCAGAGAAGCTGGATATCCAAGAGCTTCCGCAACCCATTGCGGCTTGTGACGCTGACAACACCGAGAACATCAGCGGTCGGATCACGCATTACGTTGACCTAAGAATGAGAATCGGTCCTCATGTGGAGACACACACGTTGATAGGCTGGCTACCAGACGCGCTCTGCACCAGCTCTGTAAGGGCGTATTTTCGCGCTTTTTACAGAGTTTACTCTCGAACCATTCGGTGTATCGTGTCGCGGTTGACAGTGTTACATTCAGTAGGGCTTAAGGGTCTACTGCCCAGTCGACGACTGTGGATAGTGTCGACGATAGCAAGGCAGTCTGACCACTACTGTGGAACTGGTCTTATGAGTCTATACCAGGCCCAGGGCCATTAGTGACAAACGCTTGGACCGCGACAATTCCCCAAAAAGGGATCTTTTGTTGCGGCGACTTCTCAAAAGGGTCATTCTCTGCAGATTGAACTTGGGCTGAAGGGCTGAGCAATGTGCGACGTTCTCAATAATGCAACTACTACTGGAAAGGACTTGGTGTTACGAGATTGAACCAATCTTGTTGCGGCACCTCCCGGTTTTGAGTTGGACGTTTCCTCAGATCATGCTACGGCAACGACTTGTCACATGTCAGGATCCACTCGATCACGGGACATTGTGGACGCGTCGCGGTGACACTTCCAAGTGTCACGGCAAGTCGCGCCCACACCCAAATACACTAAGACCGACATGGCTAGATCTGTGAACCGAACCATGTGAGGAACGACTGGCGTGCCTAGGACCACACGGCTTCTTGGGGCACCCACGTTGGACTCACTTGCCAAGACATACCCATCGGCCAATCCAACACGTTGTATTCCAAAAGTATGACGCGGCGGGTTGACCCACATCAAAAGTATCATATGGACTATGGGGTGGGGTCCTGATCACTCAGGACCTGTCCGATCGTCCAACTTTCAATTACCCTAAAAGGCAACCAATCTTAGATAGCGTAGCTACTATGCAGTTGTACAGGACTTTACTAAGCATTGTCGTAGACAGTATAAGGCCGCGTGATTCCACCCTAAGAAGTTCTGCCACCCCTGCCCAGTCGCGACGAGTTGCTCCCTGAGCACTTGTAGCTACTGTGATTTGAGTTTGAGTTGAGATATCAGAAAGTCGGATTCGCCGCATCTGGTTTAGTCGCGGCATTTAGTGTCGTCGCCTTCGGGCTTTGTTGAGATCGTTTTCCACACCTCTAGCTTGGCAGTGCGTCAACTAGTTGTGCTCGGGTTGTTTTGGTCAGTTGGCAGTGCATCAACTTGAGAACTTTGGTTCCACACTTCTTGCCTGGCAGTGCGTCGACAAGTTGTGCTCGGGTTTTGGACATTGGATATTGGCTGTTAGTTGGCAGTGCGTCGACGCGGCATTTTGGTTTACTAGTTGGCAGTGCGTCGACTCAGTACTTTTGGGTTGAGACACCATTGTTTACTATATATATATTCTTGCCGTCGACTTCGTCTTCCGCGACTATTGGATCTGCGTCTATTGAGAGTTGTGATACTGGTGTTCTGTCCACCCCGAAGCCCTCGCATCTTTCACACACTGAGAAGCTGATTACGAGGAGTGTGAACGTGTTTATATTTGGGTTTTCTTTCATAGTAGATTCACCTGTGAGCACGCCCTCAGCATTTCAACGTTCCTTCTGACGTGCCTAGGGAAGGCCCGGATCTTCATTGGTCTTGATTGGCTGATGGAACACAATCCCAAGGTGGATTGGCAGCAGCAGACAATGAGATTCAGCCGATGCCAAGAGCGGTGTCACATGAGGGGTCACGAGGCGCATCAAGCAATGATCGACATGGATGCAATCGACCTGGACACAGGTGCACCGGATCTGGAAGAGGGAGGATCAATCCTGTTGGTCCACTTTGGAAAGGAGGTGGACCTAGGGCTGAAGGAAACGCCGGCACAGAAATTTGCAGAAGAAGCAGAAAAAGAGAAGGAGAGGATAACCAAGGGGAAGATTCTGGATCAATATCGGGAATTCATCAAGGTATTTGCCAAGGAATCGTTCGACTCGCTACCGGACCAACAGGCATGGGATCATGCGATTGAGCTCAAACCTGGTTCCAAAGCAGTGGACTGCAAGGTGTACCCGTTATCACGCAACAAACAAGTCAAACTCGACGAGTTCTTACAAGAGAACCTGGCCAGTGGACGGATCAGGCCATCAAAATCACCCATGGCACCAGCATTCTTCTTTGTCAAGAAGAAGGATGGCTCCCTACGACCTGTCCAAGATTATCGGAAGCTGAATGAGATGACGATCCGAAATCGATACCCGCTGCCGCTGATATCCGAACTGGTCCATAATCTGTGCGGCGCCAAGTTCTCCACAAAGCTTGACATCCGGTGGGGATACAACAACGTACAAATCAAAGAGGGCAACGAGTGGAAGGCTGCGTTCGGACGAACCGCGGACTGTACGAGCCCTTAGTCATGTTCTTTGGCCTCACCAATTCCCCGGCAACCTTACAAAACATGATGAACAACATACTCCAAGAACTGATCAACAAGGGTCATGTGGTAGTTTATCTTGATGATATATTGATCTTCACAGAAACCTTGGACAAACATTGGCGGATCACAAAGCGAGTACTCGAATTGCTCCAGAAACACAAGCTGTACCTGAAACCCGAAAAGTGCGAGTTCGAACGCACGGAAATCGAATATTTGGGTGTAATTATTGGGCACAATTCGATGCGTATGGACCCGGTCAAGATCAAGGGCGTGATGGAATGGCCAGAACCAAAGAGCGTCAAACAGGTCCAAGCATTCCTGGGGTTCACCAATTTCTAACAACGCTTTGTCCGGGGATACGCAGAGGTTGCCAAGCCGTTGACACGGCTGACAGGGAAGGCAGGATGGTCATGGGGTACGGATGAGCATGTGGCATTCGACAGGTTGAAGAAGAGAATTGTGGAGGATGCGGTTGTAGCACTGCCAAATGACACCGGCCAATATCATCTGGAAGCCGATGCTTCAGAAGGGGCAACGGGGTCCGTTTTGAGCCAAAATCAAGATGGCATTTGGCGCCCAATCACATTTATTTTGCACGCATTGACCAAAACCAAGCAAAATTACGAGATCTACGACAAGGAAATGCTCGCGATCATGCTATCATTGGACAAATGGAGGCAGTTACTGCTAGGAGCCACAGAAATGTTCAAGATCTTCACCAATCATCAAAATCTTGAGTACTTCCGGAAACCGCAGAAGCTCAACCGATGGCAAGCACAATGGATCACGGAGTTGGCAGAGTTTGATTTCACCTTACGACACCGGCCCGGTGCACTCAACCGCAAGGCAAATCTCTTATCTCAACGAGCGGATCACGATTAGGGCAAGAATGACAACAAGGACGTCACACTACTAAAGCCCGAGTTCTTCCGATCACAAGAAGTCACATTCGAGGGGCAAGATCAGCAGCTAGTTGATGAGATCAAGGCCACTCAATCAATTGATGGAAGCGTCAAGGCAGCCTTGGAGAAGTCACTCGCTGGATAGAAAAAGGAAGATGGGCTCATCACGTACCATGGGAAGCTCTACATACCGAGGGACAAGGAACTGCGAGACAAGATCATCGGGCTACACCATGACACACCTTTGGTCGGACACACTGAGATCAACCGAACGCAGGAGATGGTGGAAAGGAATTACCGGTGGCCAAGGATGGGAAACCAGATTTGGAAATACATCCAGACATGCGAGGCATGCCAACGGACCAAGACCAGGAGAGCAAGGACGGGGACTCTGCACCCGCATACAGTCCCAAATGTGCCATGGGAAATCATCTCAATGGATCAAATCGGACCCTTACCAGTCAGTAACGGGTATGACACAATTCATGTGGAGTCTTCCGCTATCACGGGATCCCTCGCAAGATCATCACCGACAGGGACTCACGATACATCAAGGGCTTCATGAAGGAGACAAATTGGATGTTAGGCATAGAAATGAATCCAGGGACCGCGTATCACCCAATCACGGATGGACAAACGGAACGCATGAATCAAGAGATTGAGCACTATTCACACGTGATTGTCACCATTAGCGAGATCTTTTTAGGTCATATTGCGGTCAAACGTGTCCTTCCTCATATTGCTCCTTTTCTGCTCCAAATAAGCATCCTTGATCTGTGGCAAAAAAAGCTACATAAATGAGTAGTCTAATTAGAGTCCTGATATGTCATTTTTCTAAAGCTACATTTTATGCTCTGATAGGTGATTGAACAGGGGCTCTTTAGGTATGCATTGTCTTTCAACTATTGGAGTAGGGGTCATGTGACGAGCAGACATAGTCGACACACATGTACATACATCACCATCCCATCACTACAGACAACCACGAGGAGGCCCACTCCACTATTGATTCGACTATTGTAGGACTTTTTTTGTACTCCAATACGGTCCAATTTCGACCAACTATTCAGGTCACAGGTCCCAACAGCCTCTTGGCTAATTTTTTGATGTGCCAAAATTCGCAACAAATCAAAACAAAAATCTTTGGTTCCAAAATTTGGAAATTTTTTAACACTTGGTCAAAATGGGACAGTATCTCAACTATAAATGAAGCTTTATGGCTCCTGTTATTTGGCATCCGCCGGTGTGTGATGCCTATCTTACCCTGCTTGGGGGCTAGCAGGCACTACTTGACTCACCCCCAGCAGGGTCTAGCCTGCCTGGGAATGCAGTGAATCTCAATAATTTCCAAATGAGCTGTAAGGCATGGTGCAATTTTTGCCAGAATACTGACCGACTGCAGCTCCGTGATGTTTCGATCACCAGAGCGATAAGATAGGATCTGCTTGTCCATCGGCTGACAAATCATTCGATTCCCACGCCCACTCTTCCCGTATTCATCACGAGTATTCTTACAGTCGTTCATCTACACCCGTGCTCTCCAAACCACCATGCTTCCTTCTTCCCCTTCGCGTACTATTAACGGCGCCCGGGTCACATATCATTCCGCGCGGATAGGCTGACAGTACGATGACGACATCCACTGGTAAGCAGTGAATTGCTTCGGTCCATGGCAAAAATGAGCGAATAAGTTGTTCACCAAGTATTACAGCCAGTATATAAGCCCTGCGGCTCAGCCACTCTCACTTCCATACTCATAACCCACCACTCTCTGTCACTGGAACCACTGTGGAAACTCATGACATCCGGAACTGGCAAAGACAGTCAGACAATGCGCGCAGTGGTGTACGACAAGGCGTTCGAGGTGAACGTTAAGGATGTGAAGAAGCCCACGATTGAGCATCCCGAAGACGTCATCGTGAAAAGTGCGTCGCCCGGGTGGATAGTGCAACGACAGCTGACTGGGTGCAGTTACGACGACGTGTATCTGCGGCAGGTACGGCACTCTGAGTCTTCACATGTGTAAATCACTCCACTCACGTTGGCCGTAGTGACCTGCACATGTACGAGGGACGCACCGCCGCGGAGGCAGGGATGATCTTGGGACACGAGAAGTGTGTGGTGGTCCCTCCGTTCTGCTTCAGAGTCCTAATCCATCGCAGCCTCGGTATCGTTGATGTCCGTATCACTTATCGCAACCCCATCGGTCCCTTTTACTGACAACCTAGTCTCTCAGCAAGTCGGCAGTGCAGTCACAGTCAGCCCCTTGACCATACGTGGTTATCGGCTAGCTAACGCTCCCCTCCCAGCTGCTCAAGGAAGGTGATCGGGTCGTGCTTCCCTTCAACATCGGGTGTGGCCGCTGCCTCAACTGCGAAGAGGGGAAGACAGGCTTCTGCACGACTGTAAACCCCGGAGCGGTGAGTCTGCTGTATCTTTACACTGTGAGTTAGTAACTGATTCACATGCAATAGGCTGGAGGGTGCGTGTTTCCTTTTCAGTCTGGAATAGATGATGAGGAGATCTAACCTTCGTCTCCTAGCGTCTATGGGTACGTGGAAGCGCTCATCCCCTCTCCGGCTGCTCACATCGCGCGCCAGATACGTTGCCATGGGTCCGTTCTCCGGTGGCCAGGCGGTAGGATCAGGACAAACTACGGACTCTCCCATTCTTACTGCTCCTCAGGAATACCTTCGTGTACCATTCGCCGACTTCAACGCCTTGCAGCTCCCGCAAGGCTCCGAGCACGAAGACGACTTTGTTCTGCTCGCTGACGTCTGGCCCACCGTGCGTTCTGTATACAACACTTTCAGCTTCCCTGTTGACTTGATGCTGCTAGGGCTGGCACGGTGTGGAGCTCTCCGGCTTCAAGTCTGGCGAATCGATTGCCGTCTTCGGGGCCGGTGCAGTGGGTCTGATGGCTGCGTACTCAGCCCTGCTGCGCGGCGCGTCGGCAGTTTATGTCGTTGATCGCGTCCCCGCCCGGTTGCATATAGCTCAAGAGATGGGATGCGTCCCGATCGACTTCACGGCTGGGGATCCTGCCGATCAGATTGTAAAGCTGCGCAAGGGGTGAGTGCGAATGCGCATCCTCGTCACTGCCTGGGATACTGAGGCAACCGGATAGGAAGATGGTCGATCGTGGTGTCGATGGTGAGTTTCGATTGTGTCTCGCTCATGACAGATCTCATCCTAGTGCGTAGCTGTTGGGTATCAGGGTGTGTTCTCTGACTTTCCGATTCGTCTGTAAATGCGTACGAGCCCTGTCCTCAGCCAATTCCCACGATGGAAAGGGCGAGCAGCCGAATGCTGTGCTCGATGCGCTTATTCGGGTTGTCCGTCCCACGGGCGGACTGGGCGTCCCTGGCCTGTACTTGCCGATTGCACCCGGCTCGGCAGACAAGAATGCTGAGCAGTGCGTGTCTCTCTTTGACCCACTTTCCACCTCTTGCTGACGTATGATATCGCTTCACTAGAGGACTGCTGACGCTGCCGTTCGGTAAGTGACGTCACAAGACAGAATGAATATCGTGTTGTCACTCAGTATATCACAGGCAAATTTTTTGAAAAAGGGTTGTCGATGGGCAGCGGGCAGTGTGATGTCAAAGTATGTATGATTCTCCCGATGTTTTGCAGCTCCGCTGACGAGGAATGGATACAGAAATACAATCGCTACCTGCGGGACCTCATCATCTCGGGACGCGCAAAGCCCAGCTTCATCATTTCACATCACATCTCACTCGACGAGGCTCCTGATGCTTACAATAAGTTCGACAAGCGCGAGGAGGGATACACGAAGGTGTTGATTCATCCCTCGCGACTGCGGGCGTGAGCGTCAATCAGAACAACACCGCTATAACTTTGTAAACCATCAATTCAACTAACACATGTGCAATAAGATATTGATTTATACACAAGTTACTCACCCCGGTCATCTGAGGCCGCTCAATTAGAGTGTATCTCATGTCCCTGGGCAAAGTAGGACGTTTTTTGCCGCTTGTTTCACTGTGGCAAGGTTGTGTGTGTCAACATCGAGCTCATTTCCAACAGAGCGGTTTTCTAGGATAGGCTTTGCGAATACTCACTCTCCGTCTCTGGTCTGGCAACTTACCCTCATCTCCATGACGCTGGCCAAGACAATGGCCCCGGGGGTCCGATGCCTTATCTCTTCCTTTACGAGAAAACACGGTCAGCAAAGCCCATGTCTCCCGGACTTGCCTGATGGGATAGATGCAGAGGCTTGTATTTAAGCCTTGGAGTATTGCTAAGAACGATCAGCAACATCCCTCTTACAGTTCTATTGCAGCCACCCATGTTGTTCATCTCTGCTGTTCTCGGTGCGATCGTCGGTGCGAACGCTGCTGCGGTGCGTTTGTTGGATCCCGGATCGGTGCTGCGGGCGGAAAGTCTGATCGCCGTGGATTTTGCAGGTGACCTCGTCCTTCATCGACGTTGGCACTGTCAGAACCACCGCAGCGGTGATTTCGATCAGCCCTTTGGCTCCCGCCGTTTCTAGTGGAGTCATCACCTCCACCGCAGTTCCTTCGGCACCCACGGGCGGATATACGGTGCTCGGTGTCTACACGACTTGCATTGCGGTGACGTTCGATGATTCTGCTGCGCCGGCTGCTACGGGTGGCGAGTCCGTTGCTAGCACGAGTACCGTCTCTGGCTTTCAGGTCAGCATGATCAACTTGGACGCCTGAATGATCACTGACGCCCAGTCGCGTTCCTTTGCTGTCGTTCCTAGACCCCCTCTCTCTCTGTCCTCCCCGCTCCCACCACCACGGTCACCGGGCATGAAATTGTCAGTGCTAAGTCACCTCCTCACCGGAATCCCCTCCTGATTCTCATCTATCTTTGCACAGACCGCTTCGCTGGTCACTGCGCCGATTGTCAGTGTGACTGCGTCTCCGACCACCGCGATCTCTAGTAGCTCCACTTGGTCTACCGTGCGTCTCTTTCGCGCGCAAATTCTCCACTCTTCTAACCCATGTGCAGTCAGCAGTACTCGGGAACGAGCCCGTTGTCTTCACCACTTGTCTGGTGTTCCTTCCCACCGCTACCACCTCGGCCATCAGCGGCAGTGCAACATCATCGCTCATCAGTGTCACCGCTGTGTTCTCGACTTCGATCGAGCTCGCGAGTGCGACCACTTCGCTCTGAACTGTTGATGGAGGACTGGAATAGCTGATCAAAATGAAGCTCTGCGGCGTTCATGGACAATCTACATATTGGACTTCTCTCGAATTTGGTCGCATGTGACGCCGCGAATACGAACTTGCTTTCGTAATGCCTGTTTGTTGAGCACTGGGGAGAGCGTCTAGCAGCTCACCTGTGTGAGTGAGAGCTTAGTGTGGGCACTATGCGGGAGTAGTCAAGAGACTTGTTATTAAAGGGTAATAGAGCCCTCCTTATATACAATACAGGGGGCTATTTGTGTCTATTTAGGACGAGTCGACATGACTCTAGATGACACGTGATGGAGTCATAAGATGTGTATCACGACATCCATCTGGCAGATGATAAGATCATCATTTGATCAACAATGCCGACGGTTTGGACTTTGTATAACCATCGAGTATCGATTTCAGAGTACCTACCTTGCTGCAGGAGGTCCCCTTCAGTAAAGTGGAGATTAGGCTTACAACCTAATACAGTGCACAAACGCTCTCATGAACTGAAGAGAGGTATTCATTGGGGTCTGAACATGCGACACGTGAATCGCCCACTGCCTATTCACCGCAATGCCTGGCGCACTTGACAACACAAGGGGGACTATAATGACTTTGACTTATTCTGGAGAGTACATGTACATTGTGGCCCATTGATTCTCTCTGCACATTGGATTCTGAACGGATGGATGCCTCTAATACTGTCACGCGGAGTGCTTGCGGTGAAATATCTTGCTTAGTGGACGTATTTCGATTATCACCAACTTGAATCCATCTCGGGATGACTTTCGCTATAATGTCTTAAATTTGTAGCGACGTAACTTGATTGCGACCATCATTTTTCGTGTGCCTGGGTTGCCGTAGGCTTGACTTTGATCCCCTTGATGGCCTGGAGTCTACATTCGATCCACAGGCGCAGGGCTAGAATCTCCGCCGTACACCTTTGCGTCTCGTTACATATTGTACCAAAGGGCATACTTTCAAGATGAGTTCAACAGCATAATTTGCACTCAAACAATTCGGCAGCGAAAAAAACGACTTGCAGTCCTATCCAGTGGGCTATCGATGATAAGAGACCCAATGCAGCCATAACGAAAACTGGCTAGCATGTGAAAATGAAATGCCATCAGGCAGCATAGATCCTGATTCAACCTTGTCAACTCTCCAGTGCTTTTTCAGTGACGTTGAAAAAGCTGAGAAGCGAGCTCGAAGGTGTGAGTTCAGCGCATATGAGCGGAAAGCCCTTCCACCGGCTATCTGATCGATCGCGAACTCACTGCTCGATCTGCACATTCAGATCGAATGAATGCTCCTTCGGGCGGTGGCTACCCCCGAATAGACTGAAGTTGATATTAGTTTAGCCAACACGTTAAGCGAGAGTTCGACAGCATGGGCTATTGATGGCAACTCCGGCATGACGGCAAATTCATTGACCTGATTTTCAACTACTTGGAACTGCTTACGGAAAGTGATTCACTGGAACCGCTCGGTCAATGTCAAACCATGCTTGAGTCATACGGAAAGGCATCCGCGTAAGACATTCTCGTGAAACATCTTGCCATGTTGTGAAAAGACATGCACAACGTGGACCGTCCAGTTCTGTATCTTTGCCTCCAAGAACATGCGACACACATTGTCTGAAAATAGACTTGATTAATATTGACATGTGTACAGACGAGTTCGTCTCCTCATTCCAACCGTTGCGAGCAAGTTTCGAAAAGCAGTCCAGGCGAAGATCTGTTAGACCTAGACATGTCGGTCTGTTCTCGATGACAACAGCAGAGACGAGTCGAGTGACAAGTCAATCTTGGCCGGACAGAAAGTTTCGAGCATTTTCGACAGGATTAGACTGAGCTGACTACGAAGAATCGATCTTCATGAGCAGGCAGCACAAGGTGGCGCGTCTGAGCTAAGGTGTCAACTGTGGAAATTGCGACGCGCCGGTGGCCAATGATAAACTCTGCTCGACACGTCCATTCGAGAGCTGTGGGGATCAGTTCCAACGGTATGGGTCTGAGACAATACCGTATTCTCGTTCCTCCCTCGGGCGCCATCGTCTTCCTGCCTTGTGCGTCAGTTCGAGAAGATCTGTCAGAAAGTCGCGGGTTGGAGGCGGACCTTGGAGCGATCTTCAACCATGAAGCGATCTGTTCTTGCGACTCAACCAACAGACGTTTCGAATGCGCTGCTTTTATTGATGGTACAGGCTACGGATCTCAGGCGTTCTATTTCTACTGCTAAGTACAGCTGGTCCAATGCAGCTTCGGTAGCTGCCGCATGGAAATTCTAAAAGGGTCCGCCAATACAAACACACGAGTTAAAAGTACATGCCTACAATCGTCGATCAGTGCGCCCGGATTCAGCGTCTGAGGTTGTATCCGACCCCACCGCCTCCGCCTCCGCCGCGGGCCCCGGTCTGGACAGATTCGTTTGACAGTCTGCGGGCTTGCATCGGCCGTCGATGGGGGCCAGAGGCTGGGCGGCCGCCCATGCCGGCGTCCGATTGAAAAGCAAACTGATCCTCTGCGTAAGCACGCTCGTCGTCTTCTTGTCTAAATCTGCGTGTGTCGATGGGGGGCAGGCCAGGTGGATATGACGACGCCATGTGACGGTGGTCAGCGACCGCTGACGATGGGCGATACGAGCTGTGGTGCGCGAGGTGGAATGGGGCTTGTTGATCGGCGGCCATGTCGTACCACTGGTTCGCATGCGAGTTAGGATGGGCGTGACGAGGAGGTGCCATGTGCAGAGGCGATGCCTCGGGTGAAGTAACGCTGTCACCACTGCCGTCGTCTTCGAGTTCGATTTTCACGGCATCCAAGTTTCCGAGCCGATCATCCTCCTTGATTCCGAGGAGAACATCCATGTGCACCTCGCGGATAGATGCAGCGAGTGGAGGGATGTGGGCCGATGAGCGCCATCTGTTCACTTCCTATGGCGCAATTGAGAACTAGCGTGCGAGGAGAGGAAAGGACATCGCAACACTCACATGCCGCAGACTCTCCGTCTCCACAATCAAATCGCGCAGGACATGCGCTGTTCTAACACGGTGGCGCTGAGTAGCGACGACAGTGGCAATGCTGCGATTGTGACATCAGAACGACTCGTGGGCTTTTTTGATGATGGCGCTGCTCACGTAGAGTTGACGATTTGGGACCGCGTGGGCCGGGAAAGACCCGCGAGGGGAGGAAGAATCGATGCGAGAGTCTGAAGAAGCGTCAGTCTCATTAAGCTCCGGTCAGATCAAAGAGTAGACGTCGAAAAGCAACCCTGACACAAGTCGCTCTGCAGATAGAGCCACAAGCCGACATTCACATGCTTGCTTACGATCCCAATCAATAATGGACCACGCGCGAGCGCGAAGGTTGCAGAGTGTGGAGATAGTGGAGGGGGGACTAGACTACTCACCGAGAACTTGTCGTTCAATCTCTCTCTACGCGCCTTCTCTACGGCGTTATGCGTGGCCCTGCGATCCGGTGGGTTTTGGGGCGCTAACCGGAAACGGGACTGCTGCTTTCCCAGATCGCGTTTCTGCATGTCAGACGTCGTCACGGCCGGTGACGTCGGCGAAGAGGATGAACTGTGCGAGGAGGTCGGGCGACACAGATGCTGGAGGTCGTCGATGGGTGACAGCGGGCCACCCGCCTCTGGTGCTACTCCGGGGTGATCCATGGACAGATGACCAGGTGCTTGATCGTTGAATAGAGTGGATGTGTAAGGGCGAGAAGTTTCGACGGCCATCGCAGCAGCAGCGCAAGGACTCGGAAAGTGGGAGGAGGGGTGGCTGGGATCGACGGCGGTAACGCGGTGGTGGGTTGAGGACAAGGAGATGCGCAGCGATGCAAAGAATCTCCAAGACAAGCCCATGGTGTTCTTGTACCACGCCCACATCCGGAGATCTGCGTCGGTGGTGACAGGGTTTTTCCGGGAGCAGTGCCACCCGGATCAGAGTTTGATGGTGACGGCACATGGACCGGGGAGAAACCGCGACAGGAAATGCATGGCAGAACATGTGTTGAGCGGTTCGCTGTCAGGGAAGACGAAACCCAACAGCTTTTCGGTGCCGTCATCGACGCTAGGAAGTAAATTGAACACGACTCAGGCCCGGTTTGCTATGTCCTCATCCCGGCTTGACGATTTCAAATGCTACTATGTGCATAGATAGTGCCAAATTTCCGTTCGTCCCCGAGGAAGGATACCCGAGTCTTCGCCGAAGTTGCGCGGCTCGCGTTTTCCAATTCCAGACTGATGGACTTGCGCGGCTTTGATGTCACCCGCCGTCACTCCCTTCGAACAGGAAGCGCGGAGTCCGAGAGATCTTCTCTCCTACAGATCAGACAGTGCCTGTGATATTCTTTTCCTGGCCGGACCGTTCCTAGTGACAGGCTGAGTACTAAAATAGACCCAGACCACGCTGGTAACCTCGTCTCGAGTTCCTGATACATCGAAAGAGAGAGATCCTCGCTTTGCAACCGACATTAGTCGAGGCGGCCTACAGCGTGATTATACATGGGGATCCAGTCTTATCATCCTCGTTTGTCGTCAGGCGGACGGGAGAGAAGCCAAGCCCAGCAGGATAATAAAGAAGAAGGAGATGGACCTCGAGTTGCTTGACGTGGGAAAGCGGATTCGTGAGAGTGCTGAAGATAGGGCGCCGTTATGTGCAGCGCATCATGTGCAACTGCAGACTGCTCGCTCCAGGTGGAGACAAAGAATTCTGCTGGGGTTGCAGATATCCCGTCGACGTGAGACTTTGCACAAAGTTGACCAGATGACAGTGGAGCAAGCACACTGTCCGCGCTCTCTTCGTCGAATCCAACTTGTGATCGTGTTCTTTCTAGTCAATTTTCGTTTGGATAGAAGAACATAGCACTCGCATTCGCGCACGTTCGCGAGGCTCACATCATTTCAGAAGTTCCCAGACGAACAAAAACCGCCGAGTGCTGATCCTGGAGAACACCAAGAGGCGGAGAACGGCATCGATTTCCGGTGTCGGGCGGCTTGAAGCTTGGACACTTCGACCGGATGGGCTCCTCGATACTGATGAGATAATGCAGAAGCTCAGAAGAGGGCCGACTAGTACGCGCAGCCGCGTTCTCGGCAGCTTCCATAGACGACTATCCATTGCAACGAGAGCTGAAAAGAAGTGATTCTTGCCGCTTGGCATACGTATCAGGGGAACCTCGGACCGGATCGATACGGCCCGGTTTAGTTCCGAATTATTGATCTCATGATCCCGATACTTTGTTCGTGTGTGGCTCTCTTTGCGCGTAGTTAGATTTTTCCCAAACCTTTCCTCAAACTTTGCGACTCCCTGGGTGAAAGAATGACTACGAGGAGAGACTTTGAGATAACGATGTCAGCTCGCGAACTCAAGACCGTGACCCGACTCTCATTTCCAGCTGCTTCCAGGCACGATCCGGACCCAGGTCCCAAGGCTAGTTCGTTGCCTGGCCGTCAATCTGGCCGCGTGCGGAACGACAGAATTGTAGGCCTGCCTGACGAGAATCAATTGAAACTCACTCATCTGCTCTAGCCGCCATCCGAAGCCCGATCGGAGAAATCCCATTCCGCTTCGTTCCTAGGCAGAGATGAGCACAAGCACGGAATAAAAGTGAGCGATACTGGATTATTACGGAGCTCGCGCTCATTCGATCTGAAAAGCAGGAGGAGGAGAGTGAGAGTTTGAGAGATCTGACGGGCATCCGGAAGAGAAAAAAGGCATTCAAAACGACTGATGATCCAGGCTACGAGTCCCCAACGGGGGAGAGGATTATACCCTCGCTTAAGAACTTTGAGAACATGGAACCGGTCCCGAACCTTGCGTGAGTAATCTGAGCTCAACGGGTTCGATTTGCACTAGATTAATATGGCATAAACGCGTCAGTCACAAAGGCGAGCGAGCCTTCAATCGAGAGGGCCGAGCGATATGCCGTCGACTTCTGGATTATGAATGGAGTGCAGCAGATATTGCGCTCGTATTCTCTGCCTCCCTGAACACCATATATCGAATCAGCAGCAACAGTCTTTCAACTCCCGACGACATCAGAATGGACGACAGCCACATTGCCGAACGGGCCTTCAAAATGCGGTTTCCGGCGTTGAAGGAAAGTGGTACCAGTGATTTCGAGATCCTGGAGTATCTGACATTTTCTCAGCATCGATTGGCGGGAGTGAAGCCTGTTCCGCAACGTATCCAGCAGAGAAACAAGACTCGCAGTCGTCTCGACCAGGTTCAGGAGTTTCGCGCTTGCATGATGGGCCGTTTTGATTGACTCAATAGTTTCAGAGTAGTAGCTCCATTTCCAAGAGACGGATGAGACGCGAGGCTGACTCGAGTGACGAGGAAGAGGTCAGTCATGCGATGCGAGTCACGGCACAGGAAATTAGATTGAATTCCTGTCTCGCGGAAGGAACCAATCCGGCCAATGCCCAAGCCCAATGCTGACACTACGTCTTCCTTGGCTCGTAAGGTGCGATAGTCCACTCTTTGATATCGTTGAACGCTCAACTTCTCGGCAGAGGTATCCACCGCAGAGAAGCCACCCTTCAGCCAAGCGCTCTCGCGAAACTTCGGTCCGTCCAATTTTGGGCCAAGGTATCTTGATGCAGTCCCTAAGAGCGCTGTTTCAGCCCAATCGTTCTAAAAAGGATCCGCTGGCGGTCTTTCTGGACAAAGCTCCAGGTATGGACAGTGGCACGGATCTCGATGCGCTTCAATCGGCCGGACTAAGCCTGGATATGCTGAAAGCTCTTGCTGACGGATACTCGAACAACGAGCTGCTCCAAATCTTTGTTGATGCGATGGGGAAATCAGCCTACGGAAACTCCATGGTCTTGAGTCCTATCAAGCTCGCCGCCCTGAAACACGCTGTCGCGAAATTGCGGACGGACAAGTGATGCTTGATTGCTGATGTGATGGTGCTCTTGCCTCTTTTGCATTGTCTTGTAATTTGAACTCGTCTACATCCTCACAATCATGTTCTGAATAGTCTTTCCTCGAAAACCGATTTTGCGGCTTGACAGTCTGGTTCGGAAATCAAATTTCGCCGGAATCGGGTCATGATCTGATTGATCATCAGCCTCGGCTTCGTGGCTGGGCCCTCCGAATCCCACGCCCAGGATGATCTAAATGACCATTGGTCTACCGACATTTGCCACTCACACTCATCATGTCCACCGACACGCAGCGCCGCACACGCGCGTCTCGAGGGGCAGACCGGGCGTCATCGTCACCCTCGGCTGGCCCATCTACGCAGTCTCCGCACCAGACATTCAGCCTAATGTGCGGCACAGAGGTGCATGTGTCCGCGCACGAAAGCGTTCCCATGGAGGACATCTACGAGCCCGCGCTTCCAGGAGGTCTTTATTCTGGTGTGCGGATCCTCCCGGAGGAGCAGAGAGCGCCGAAAGAAAGGAGGAGAGTGCAGGTGCGCCGCACAGGGTGCGGCGCGCGCGTGCACGACAAAGCCACTCGGTGTCCGTCTACGCGTGCAAACTCGACGCTCGAGCCTCTCCCGACGAATCAGACTGTCAGCAAGGAGCTATGGAGCGTTTCAGCGGGTGGGTTGGCGACCACTGTTCTGCCACTCGACCCCCACTACTTTCCCGCGGACGCCGCTAGTGAGCTCAATCTAGATCGGAGAAGCTCTACGTGCGGTTGTGAAGTGCATGGTGTCGGGTGCATGATGTGGTAGGCGTGGATTCATCGTCTCTGTGCTCTCGCTGACGTTGGGGCCACCCTTTTAGTGGCAACGCTTTAGGTGCTCTTCGCACGTTTTGCCATGTACATGCTCCCCGCGCGGCTCCAAACGGGTATGTCATTTGGCCAGGTTCCGTGACAGCGACGGCGAATGCGCGAGAAGCCCGACCTCATATACCGCGTGAAGTGGCTGGTGAAGCGGTGGAGTGAGTGATTCAATGCACGCGGATGCATCCTTGTGTTGACGGATCCTGTGATAAGTGCACGACTGCCAAGCGCAGATGGTCGAGAATTCCGATTGCCACCCGACCGCGACACGCGGCTCCCTCTGGATCGAGGGTGCGTCCTCGACTATCCTGCCTCCCGCTACATGCTCTTCACATTACAGCAGCAGCACTTTGCAGGCGCTATTCCGACCCCCTCAGACCCCCTCCTCCCCTCCTCGACGGGGGTTCCTGAGGGCTCCTCTGCGTGCAATGGCGGTGTCAGCCACAGACAGCCTGCCTGCATCAGCTCCAGTCGAAGTTTCGGGATGGCCGCGACAGCCGGTTCGGCGACATACTCTACGCACCCAGAGCAGCTTCGAAGCTCATTTCGGCTCAGGGGAACCATCCGCTCCGGTTGTGGCTCCAGCAGCTGCGCGCTCTGGCTCGCGCCGCGATTTGGTTTTCGGAACCGCGTCGCGTTCTGCAGATGTCGATGCCGCCATGTCAGCTGAGGCCCGGCCATCTCCGGCCACCGGCGCTGGTCCACAGGACATGCCGCCGCTGTCTGCGGGTCTGTCTGAGGAAGGCGAAGACCGAGGCATCGACACTGAGGACGGTCTTTGGATGGATTCTCCTAGATCTGCGCAGCCCCGGATGCTTCTGGATCCCTACGGTGATTCGTCCTTCGAACGGATTCTCCGTGCTGCGCGCAGTCGCAACCCTTCTGGTGCGGGTAGCACTATCTTGATGGCGGATATCGATCCAGTCGCGGAAGAAGGGTCCACCGCGGGCCTGCACCGAGTGGGCCCTTGGACATCAATTACCATCGATGATCCTATGTTGCCGGCGCCTGAGCCTGGAAGCTAGCACATGGATGTGATCATTTGCCCATCCTTACTAATGTCGTCCATTTAGAAAGTCGCCGATCGAGCTGTTGGATGATTCTGCATTCTCGGATACGTGAGCAACCACCCTAAGCCTAGTCTTCGTCGGCACTTGCTCGGTGCGAGACTATCTCGACATCCTCTCGACATCCTTGGAATCGATCGCCGCTTAGAGTCTATGAACCTCAAAGATGCTCCGATCACGTTTCAAACTTGCCTCGGTGAACGTTTCCGCGCAAGCTCCCACTGGCGGGGAATAACCCAACAGATATGATTAGATAACGATCTGGGGGACGTAGCCTTGGGATCAGCTGTTGACGTCAACTCAACCATGGCACTGACGATGATTAAAGCTTCATTCACTCTGAGTCTTGGCACTGTTTGTGCTGTTGCTTCAAGCTGTTGGGATGCCTCTTTTGGTCGGGCTTCCATCCGCTGAAATGAATCCAAGTATTGCTTGTGTAGGCGGATGACATCGAGATGACTGTTAGCCTCCCCCAGGCTCATCCTTGGCAAATCGCAAGGTGCGCACCATCGGATGTGCTGCGCAGACCTCTCACTGCGAGTGGGTGTACTTGACTTTCCTGATTCGGTTTTGCGGGTTCTCCGGCAAGATGTCCCTGAAAACATGCGGAGACACACGCTCGTGTCTAATCCCAAGCCTATATGTGGACGGTGGGAATGAAAGCTATTTTCGTATGCGCTGTCAACTGCAGGCTGTTGCTTGCCTTTATTAAACGCCGACTAACTCCACCTCAGCATAGGCTTTGGATGTGGGCTTTAGTGGAGCCAAGCCGGATACGCCCGATCTCAGGGCATGAGAATCTGGAGGCGAAGTAAAACCGAGTCTTGGCAAATTCGCGGGGAGTGCTTGGGTGTCTTCGAGATGGATCTGCCAGTGGTCAAGGTCGGACATGTATAAAGTCCGAATACAGTGGCGAACTTGAACCCAGGGAAGCCCACACAAATGGCCTGCTCAAAGTCGCATACTGTTGTGTCGCGCCTAACGCGGAACATCCACGCCTCGTCGGCCGCCCGAGCTGCGACGCTCTCCGTCCCCTAGCAGCCTCTGCCCTTTACCATGCCTCCACCCGGCCTGGACATCTTCGACGCCCCAGTGCGTCTCAGGCGGCATGCCCCACTCGCCTCCCCGTCGATGCAGCCCCTACCCTATCACCCCACCCCGAGCCGAACCCACCTGTCCACCCCGCAGGTTCTGGTGTTCTCCGGGCCTGCAGGCACGCGGCCGGTCCGCGTGGAAACCCCATACCACGACGAGAGTGCGGCAGCCCCCAGTCCCAGCCGCGTCGTGATGTTCGACGGCCCCGCACGCTCGCCTCCGCGATTAGTCGCTCGGCCCCGCCCGAATGCGAGTCGGAGGAAGGGCCACTCCGCGGAATCGAGACTGAATCTGGTCGCAGTGGGCACTGGATTGGTCGCTGCCACCGCGATTGGTGTGGGGATGGCGGGCTCATGACATGTGCCATCCTCGATGCATTCTATCCTTTGTTTTTTTATTGGTTCTTGGAGCGAGGCATACTATGTACTGAATTCAACGGTCAATTGTACATATAGACAGTGTGTATTAGAGTGTAGCAATGTTTTGAAGATTTTTGCATTCATCTCGGAAGAAGAACTGACTGCAATACGACGAAATTTCAACGAGTTCGAGGACTCCGACGTGATCGATTTTATTATTCAGTATGCGGTTCCGAATCGCTTCCTGGTAGTGCGGTCGGATTTCACGAAACACTTCTCCAGCTGAGTGCTGCTGAATTGTTAACGGATGTGGTTCTGGCGTCCCCCGAGATATCGTTGCGCTGTAAGTGGAACTACAATCACCTGCATCCGATCTTTACTCCGCAAAGTCCGTGAGCCAATAAAATTGCGCCCAAAGAGAGAGTTTCATCAGGCGTCAGAGAAGCGCATGAGGTGAGATGAGGTGATTGCAGCGGCAGAGCCACCTGGTCCGCGGTTCAGAACGACTGTGGCTATATTTCCGTGTTCGTCAACTACCTGATAAAATTCCGGCTCGTCTAGATCACGAAGAATGGCAAAGAGGATGACAAAGGGGATCGGCCACATGCGGCGATATGTTCAGAAACAGAGCACGGGGATAGACTGGTTCGGATCCGCTCATTCGAAACAGAGTTTGAGAGCAGACCTGGAAGACATTGTTTTTCACGCCAGATCGCTGAAAGAGAAGCCCCCGTCAGCGCCCGTCAGTTCCATAATCTCGCACCCGCTTCGGTGATGGATCTAACCCCTAGCCTGGCGCTGCTTAGGGCAACATCTCGCCGGGCGACGACAGACTTGGCACGCACGTAATTCGCTTCTCTTTAGAAGGCCGGGCGCAGCTCACGGATGGATCCTGTGGCTTGAAATCTGTAAGCGCTCGCCCGTATATTATCACGAGCCGTGGCCAAATCGGAGACATGTCCGACTTGGCCCAAACTCGTGGACCGGCGGGTATCGTATGTGTCTAGTAAATGACGAGTCGGCGCCACACCCGGACTGCGCTTTCCGACTTCCTGTGCTCGGGCACGGTTTTGTTGGATCTGGAGAGCTGACCGATTATGAATGCCGATTGGTGCGGGAATCCGTAAGCGCTGACAGTCCTGCGCCGGTTTATGTCATCCGGACTCGGGTCTCCTAGGAATTAGCCTGCAGCGCAGAGAACACCTGTTTTGCGAAGTCTTCTTCTCATTGATTGTTCAAGCTGATGTCAGGATGAGTCGGATGTGCAACAAAGAGAAGATGCTCTGCACCGTTCGTTCATGGTGTCGATCGATTCCAATACTTGGCTGGAAAGAATCCACGAAGAGTGAAGCAGAGGACACCGTCGAAACGAGCGATATCTTGGCGGAAAGATGTCTCGAGGAATCCTGCTGTCGCAAAGTACCTGCATCTTTGCCTACGCGCATCCCAGGGGCTTTCCAGAAGAAACGAGATTGCTTCGCAGAGTGCCAGCGGTGGAAGGTCGATTGCGTCGGCTCAATTTACGCTCCGTCATCGATCATCGCTAGAGAATGTCTTTGCTATCGACAGGATCTGGGATTGAAAGACAGATGAGGGGATGGTTCGAGGACGGGTTTCCATAGTGGCGTGGACGGATCGGGGCAGGGATCGGTTGACTTTGCTCTGTATTCAACGCTCGCAGAAGTCAGAACTAGCTGTTGATAGGGAACTCAGTGCTCTCTCTCAGGAGCTGGAGAAAAAAAGAGGAATTAAGGGAAGGCGCTCGGGGGCTTGCGCGCCACGGCGTGGACCATAAGATGTGATGATGCATCGATCGGTACCAATTTAGCTGTACGTAAGCCGTATCCTGGTGCGTCTGGTCTCCAGTCCATCGGGAATACTACAGTAAATAATTGATTAATGAATAGAGACTTCAGTAATCATCATTGATGATTACCGAGAAATGTTTGAATCAGCACCCTCAGAATCTTGCTTTTGCAAATGGATGCAGCATTCCAGCTATAGAACGATGTGCTGACGAAGTCAAGCGGAATTTTGCGAAGCTATGACTCAGAACGTATTATATAGCTCAAATGATATTTCCCTAACTGGCCAAATATTCTCACAAGCGGAGCGAGACACGACAATTTTGGAGTTGCACGCTTACGATCACGTAGAAAACTCCGAATCTGGGCCTCAGGCAGGGGAGCATTGCAGCAGAAGCTCTCATAAAAGTCGGCAGTTCGATCTCGAGAATATTGGAATACGTGCCCTCATCTCCCGACCGTTTTATCTCGAAGTAAGCTCATAGCCTGATTGGAACAGCTTCACTGAGTTGATAGGCAGCACAGAGATCGCGCTATGTATGGGCCAGTGCCCCTTTCGCGTTCGGACAAATGTGGGTGTAGATTTAGGGCTTCGGCGACTTCATAGGTTCTGTGCACAAACCCACCTTGCGCCATGGTGTGGGGACAGGCGCTGTCTTAGGCCCTGTTCAGCAACCGGCGTAACGTTGCGTAGCGTAGCGTAACGTTGCGTAGCCCTACTGATAACAGAGATAGTCAATCGATCTGTCAATATCAGATGATTATCTGCACATCAGCGTGACATCCGTTTTGAGGCAGATCTCCCCTAATCACTCTGCGATCTTTTGGATTTTGCACCTCAGTTACCACCGCCATCACCCGGTTGCACCCCCGCGGGGGTCCTCCTGGGTACCCTCAGACGTAGCTCTGAGGGTACCTAAAAGGTACCCCCCTGCGGGGCCCGCGGGGGGATTTGGTCCATTTGGGGGCGGGGGCATATGCGGGGGTCAGCAGGGGGGGGTGAACGAAAATATATACATGTGACTTGTCTACATCTGTAAGAGCGGGTAGCTGGGCGGGAAAAAAAAATCAATCACGTGGAAGCACCGAGCGGGCGGGATGGCGGGCGAAAAAAGCACGTGACAGATGGAACCAAAAATTTTAAAACGCTGGCGGGGGCTGGCGGGGGTGCGGGCGGGGTCATTACCGACCTCCCGCATGCCACGGCGGGTGGCGGGCGCATATTCACGTGACTTCATCCCGGCCATTTTGCCACCATTTGGTCGGGTTTTTGCATGCTCTCCACGATGGCGCACAATGCAGCGGATGGCGGCCAAAACGGTCACGTGACTGGGCGCAAAAAAAACCAAATGGCTGCCGGAAAAAATTCCGATGCTATCCCAATTGTGTCTAGCTTCGATAATTAAGAAAGTGAAGCGCTGAGCGCAAAATGCCCGCCGCACTGCGGTAATGATGGGAATGTTCCCATCATTTTGCGGGGTCACCCGTGCGGTTGATCAGTTCCATGTTTAACCACTCGTGGTATTCGTTGCATTGTAGCCGCCTTTTTGAGGAAAAACAACAGCTTTTACAGAGTGTACTACTCTGCTCCCTGAGAAGCTCTGCACTGTGTAACTCTGCCTCACGCCGGGGATTATGATGTTGATCACAGAAAGAAATTCAAATAACCAGGGTAAAATAATCCTAGTGGTATTTCCACATGATTCAGGGCTCTGTATCATGGAATCCCAAAATTTTAGACCATTCAACTTGTCCTAAATCGCCCTTGACTATGAGTTTGGTGTTGTACACAATCTGTTGTTGTTGTGGGGTGCACGCGGGGGTGCGTGCGGGGGTGCGTGCGGGGGTGCGCGCGGGGGTGCGTGCGGGGGTAAGCGCTGGGCTGCTCCTAGTAATCTGCTGGCCTGGCTTGCTCTAGAAGCGTGAAGAGGACGGTTATGGAAACTTTCTTTGACAAACAGCGTTACACCACTTCGGTCTGGAATGAGAGCTCCCAATGAAACTGTTCACTGTCAGGGACTGGTAGGGGTCAGTGAAAGCTTGCATGATTGAACTCCGTGCACTGAATACTGCTGATTGACATTTGAGAGAATTAAAGGCCCCTCAAGTTCGATGAATGTTGAGGGAGGTGTGGAAGCATGAACAGTATGTTTTTGGGTGGGGTCAGAAGGCACTACTATTCAAGCATTCATTACCTGACCATGTAATGGTGCAACTCAGCTTCTGAAAATCCATCCCTTAAAATTCCATAGCCAGAAGAGGGGGGGGGGGCAGATCGATGTCGTGTATGAAAGATGTACAACAGGACGTTGTAAAAAAATATGTCGAAACTAATATACGGATGAATGTATGCAGATAAACCCCACGATCAAGAAAGGACATGCAAAATTGAACGTAACACCTTCATTTTTTTGCGAGCTCCTCCTGGACTGCGCTGCGAATAGCACCTGCCATCATTGCTTGGAAGGACGGGGCAGAGAAAAAGCTAAGCAGAGCGGTGGCGGGATCAGTCACTTGAGCAGCGGCGGCAGTCTCGGTCGATCCAGTCGCTGCCGTGGAAGTCGACGCTGTGGGTGCAGCAGCAGTGGCCGCGGGGGTATCGGCGGAGGTGTCGACGGGGGGTGCCGCGGGGGGTGCCGCGGGGGGTGCTGAAGAGGGTGCCGCCGTTCCTACGTTGGCTGGCGTCAACTGTGACACCAACGTCGGAGCTTGAGCTGAAACAACAGCCCCTTGCTTCTTGGTGGCAGCGCGAGGCGCCCGCGCAGCAGGGGGATCGTCCAGCGTTTGCTGTGAGCTGCTGGCAACTGCATTGACTTGGCGGGGGCGAGGGCGGGGGCGAGGGCGTTTCTGTGGGGGTGTCTTTGCCACTTCCTCCTCACTCTCAGGGGAAGAGAGCTCGGGGGACGGCGCGTTCATCTCTTGATAGCGACGCTTGTTCTGTCGCGGCAGCTTGCGCGTCAGAACTACTGGAAATGATTTAGATCTGCGCTTCTCTTTGGGGAGAATGAAGCCGAGGGGAAGATTGTCATGTCCATATAGGGTAGCGAGGTACTGACCGGCAGGACCTTCCTTTTGAGCATCCGATGTCTCCGAGAGAGCAGACGCAGTTGGGACGTATTCCGAGGCCGGTGTCGACTCCTGACGCTGCTTGCCTCCACCAACTTGGTGCGACGGTTGAGGTGGGGCAGCAGTGCTGGCCTTGGCACGCTTCGGATTGCGACGGGGAGCGGGAATGTCCACGGGATCAGCCTTGCGCTTCTTCCCACTGGCCTTGTTGACAGCAGGCGGGGGTAAGGCAGGCTGCGGCATGGGAGACGACGCTGCGTCAGTGACGGGAGGTGCGGCGGGGGGCGCGGCGGGGGGCGCGGCGGGGGGTGCAGCAAGGGGTGCAGCGAGGGGTGCGGCGGGGGTTGCGGCGGGGGGTGCGGCGGGGAGGTGACCACGGCGCTTGCGCGTTGGTGAGCTCAATACGACAGGAGCAGCCCCAGGTGCATGCAAAGCCGGTTGGGAGACCACAGGAAGAGCGTAGTCCCCAGCTTCGTTCTTCACCACGATGCTGAAGTCCAAGTATCGTCGCGTTGGGTCTGGGTCCAAGAGGTTCAGCCTGAAGTAGCACGGGTCCCCCTGTCCAGTCACCCCGAGGACGAACTCGGAACCACTGAAAGCAATGGTTGTTCCAACGCGCTGGGGGAACGCAGCGAGCACGGGCATTCCTGGAATGAAGGTCAATTCGTGCCAAAAGGTGTTTATCAGGAAGCGCTCACGGGGATCGCGGCAGTCGTTGCCAAAAAAGGAAATACCCGCTGGCTCGCGCCCCTCGAAGACCTCGTTCAGGGAGAACTTGATGGCGGCCGCCAGTGAGCTCTGTTGCGATGCCGGCAACGAGCGAATGCCCTTGTCTGCGTGTCCGAGCTTCGTCGGAAGGGGAAGAAGATGGGGCCATCCGAGGACCATGTACCCTGCCTTGAAAAGCGCCGGACCGGCGGTCTTCCATGGGAACGTCCTTTGGCTCATGCTTGTCAACGTACCAAGCGGTTCGCTCCCGACTTGAGCCATTGACAACGCGCTCAGGTCGTCAAGGAGGTTGTCCCACAAGCGGTTCACCTTCATCGTCCGTTTTGAGCGCAAGGTGGAAGGACCGTCCAAAGCATCCAAGATGTTCTGGATGCCCTCCTCAACCTCCCGCTGCGACATCGGAGCCGTCTCCAGCGGCTGAAGGGGGTGACGTGGGGGAGCCCGTGCCCGCAACTGAGCCAGGGAGTCAGCAGGAGACGAGGGAACAGTGGTGCGCGCAGAGGCACGGGTGGGGGTGTCGGCGGGGGCGCGGGCGGGGGTGCGAGCGGGGGCGCGGACGGGGGTGCGAACGGGGGTGATGGTGGGAGCACGTGCAGGGCTTGAGGTGGGGTCGTCCGCCCCGGTGGCATCTGGACCGTCTTCGCCTTCGAGCAGAGCGTCGCGTGCCTGATCTGCGTCGTGGATCATCAAGCCACTGGAATGAAGAAAAGTCAATAAACTGTTCCATCCACATGGGTAAAGGAGAGACTCACGCAACGTGATGCTGAGCTCGACTGAGCAGTTCTTCGTCGCTCAGCTCCCCATGGTACAGAGTGGACATGAACTGAGATAATCCCTCACTTGCAACAAGGGACGCAAGGCGGCTGTCATGCGATGCAACGCCTCCGAGTGCAATCATGAGCACTTGGAAGTTGCCACTGGTCTCGCCACGCTTGATCTGAATTGGATTAGAAGGGATGGTAAGCTGGATGGTAAGGTGCTCACCAGGGCCTTCATTTTGCCCAGCCATCCATCAAAAAGTTTTTGCCGGTTTCCCAGCGTCTGCAACTCCGTCATTTGCTCCCACTCGACGAAGGTGTCGAGAATCTCCTCCAGCCCAGTGGAGCCGTAACGCTTCTGGAACTTCAACCACGAGTTGGAGAGCTCTGGAGATCGTTGGCGCGGTGGGAGCTGGCCTGGGAACTGGCTGAGATCACCACCAGTGCCCCGTTGCCACTCGCGGCCTCGATAGCGGGGATTGTTCGCGTAGCGCTGGTACACGTTCCAATAGTAGTTCCGAGCGCGGAACAGCCTCGGGTATTGCTCGTGCAACTTGGCTTCGACTTTGGCCTCGCTCCAGCCGGTCAGCTTCGCGGTTTTCACGATGAGGAGGCCGATCGCCTCTGCGGTTTCCGATACGAGTTCGCGTTGCTCTTTCGAACGTTCCTTCAAGATCCGCATCTGTTCCACATCCTCAGCCGGGATGTCAGGGGAATTTTCGCGGGAACCAGCGGTGACGGCGTCTGCGGCGGGGGTTGCGGCGGGGGGTGAGACAGGGAGTGCGACATTGTCGTCAGCATCCATCAGAGAAGTGGCGGTATTGGTGACGGGGTCGGCGGCGGGGGGTGCGGCGGGGGGTGCGGCGGGGGGTGCGGCGGGGGGTGCGGCAGTGTCACCAGCATTCATCGTAGAAGTGGCGGTATGTGGACTGAGAAGCGAGGGCCCGGTTTCGTTGCCATAACCACTGTATTGTCATCAGTAAACACGTCAGGGAGGATCGAGAAGTTTTCGCCACTCACTCGTCATCGTCCCAATGTTCGGCGAATGTCTGCTGATGGCCCGAGCCCAGAGCTGGCTGGATATAAAGGGAGGGCCGTGGATAGTCAGTTGATAGTTGGGGGCCTGGCGTCACGTCTTCCTCTCCCTCCGCGTCGATGTCAGAAATCCGCGAGTCGTCCAGACGTGAGAGGCTGGCAGGATCAATTCCATACTGGCCGGTGGTGGCCATGTCCGGCGGGACCTCCGGAGAGGAAAGGGAGATGTCGGGGTCGGTCTCGAAACGTGCGCTGGCGAGCAGCCGAGCCTGACGCGCCGCATTAGCCGAGTCGGCCAGATTCTGGCCTCTGCGCGATGCGGTGATCTGCCGCCGGAGCTCGTAACCACCCCCTTCCTGCATCGGGAACTGCTCGTTGTCTTCATCACTCTGGAGATGAAAGAGCCCCCGAAGAGCTTCCAAGGGGGGATGCTCAGGGGAAAGGGTAGTAATGGGCGGAACGGAGAGCGGAGGCGATCTTGGCTGCACCTGCGGGGTCGCCAGGCTTGCATGAAGTCGTTGGGAGAAATTGGGGAGGGGAGAGATCGAACGAGGGACGGAAAAGGGGACATCTACAGCAGACCGTGCATCCACGGCTGAAACAAGGCCGGGCGGGGGGAGATTCGACAGCAATAGCCCCGTCGCGCTGTCCGCATCAGCCAATTCGTTCTGGGGAGGCGGCAGGGGAAAGGAGAAGTTGTTGGAGAATGGGTCGAGCGTGTCGGTCGACATTGCGGACGCGTTGTTATGCTCACTGGGCACCTTGGGCCTCGACGTGCCTGCACTTCCTCCCCGACCCTGCGATGCCATTCTTGTCGAGTTTGGACGCGTCAGCAAGTCGGGGGTAGAGGCAGAGGGTGTGAAACGCGAGCTTGGTCGGTTGAGCAGTGAATGGACGCGTTGACCTTTGATGAAAAGAGGTGATCTGTGAGCTGGTTTTTTGAGAAAAGAGTACTAGAAGGTGAATGGATGGTGAGCAGATGCGAAATGAGCTCCAGAAACTCACCTACACAAAGGGCACCCCTGCAGACGAGGGAGAAAGAAAAAGCGCGGGGGAGGGCTATGCACGTCACATCAGTCGCGACATGTCACAACCCGTGGCAATAGCGAACCCCCGCGGCAGCCCCTGCAGTGACCCCGCCATATTGGGCGGCCCCCGCCGCACCAGGTTTTCGCCCCCGCGAACAAGCAGGCGGATCCTTCCGAATCTCAGACGTAATTTTCACACACCTGACATCCCGGAACACGTCACCTGGCAGCCAATCGGATTGGGAATAAACGTCGTACATTTATCTATGAAGGAGCTATGAGGCAGTGGAGGGCCCTCAGGCCTCGGAAATGAATGGGATATGCTTGAATTACCCCCCTTTTCTTTTGTGAGCATGACTTCCACGCTTTCCGGTCAGAAAAAATACGGCACTTGAAAGTTGGTTAAGGACACTTGAGTCTCACACTGACTGAACACTCACCGTCATCTTGAAAATGGGTCGCCGTGCAAACTACCTCACACTTGCCGATCGGAAAGCTTCAAAGGCTGTCAGAGATGCTAAATATGTGTCCAGCATGCGGTGAGGCCTTATCGTCACTGCCGATCCTTCTCTAATGCAGCAGATTCACAGTGGTCAAGCCCAGCGCAGATTGACCAGATTGGCCAGAAAGGACAAGGAACTAGAGGAGATGAGGACTCTACCTGACACTGTTACACCCCCCCAGCAGTTGATCGACTATGGGACACGCGCAATACCCACAGAAAATGAATTTTTCCAACGTGCATTTTCAGATCCTGGAACATTGGATCTGTCGGATTGTAATCGGTGGCTTGGCATACCTCCTTTCATTTCCATGCAGGACGACACTCCTACTCACTCACCCGACTACCGTGCCTACACTTCAAATCTGAAGAATGTCATGCATGGAGTTCGAGCTGGCCTCCAGCAGTCCATGGACGCAAAGAGCCGCACGCTCTTTGAGAAGGGACAAATGAATTGTCTGGCAGACGATGCGGGCGAAGCTATTGCACGATGGGAGAAGGCATACAAGCTGAGAGAGCAGGGACTTTACCGTGAGGATGAGTTCTCACGGGAGTATGAGATGTTGGAACATTTTCTGCAGTGGGAGGCGAGAGGTTACTTGACACTATATAACATGGCATTCTTGTCTGAATGAATTCGATATACCATTTTACTACCCTGACAGCACCCCCAGCGTGACACCCCGCGGCACCCCCACGGCACCCCCCGCGGCACCCCCCGCGGCACCCCTCGCGGCACCCCCCGCGGCACCCCCGCACCCCCCCTGCGCTTGTCAGCAGAGAGTCAGGACGATTTGCATGGAAGTGTCAGCATGAAGTTGGTGAGAGTGTGTCGTAGAAAAGGAATTTCCGGTTCAGTGATGTTGGATCCCAGCATTCCACGGAGAACAGCTGCAATCATGACAAGGACCCAAACACCGCAATCGTAACTGTTGCACTGGACTGCGATAGAAATCATGGGCTCTGCAGTCCAGGCCTCCCCGTCCATGCTCAAAGGGAGCGAATGTCCGTTTCGATGTGCCAGGAGTGTCATCCGGGTCACCAGTAACATAATATTCTGAAATTTTTTTAGCTGCTATGATGATAAGAAAAATGAAACATACCTTTGTATCAGTGTACCACGGACGCTTCTGAGCCAAGCTGTCAAAGAGGAGGAGCTTTTGTTCGTGTACAAGGACGATGACAAGAGCCCAGTGCTCCTGGGCTTGTCGGTGGACTGGAACAATCCAGACCGACTTTTTCCAATACTCTGTAGGAGCCAGACTTTTCCAGATAGCTTTATCGGGAGCATTGAAACGAACGCGATGCAGATCATATGTCGATAAAAGAGCACATCTCTGCGCAGACTGTGCATGCAAGGAGAAGGGTTGCATGCACCATGAGAGAACTGCTGCTGACACACCATTGAGGATGTGTCCATTCAGTCGGGCTGTGGAATCCGTGAGCAGCGCTAAATCGTTGGGATCTACGACAACGGTGGGAAGGTTTCCAGGGAGAGCAACAACACGGGGTTGAAGATCACGTATCACAGGAAATCTTGTGACGTGTGCTGTGAGATCTCTCACGAAATGAGTATCACAAGTGGATCGAGACTATTCTCGATCAGTATTATTTGTTGTCATGGATTCATAGCACATACTTTTGCAAGGGAAGCCCAGGAAACTTGGACATGGCAATGATCACGCTCGAGTGTTGCTGTGTCTTCATCGTCATCCGTTTCCATCATATCTGTTACAGCAAGGGCCTCTTCGGAGTCTGAAGGACAGGCCTCAACTTCATCCGGGGATATATTCTCAGAATCAGCCCATGGGGACTCATTCATATCATCTTCAACAGGTTCAACCATTGACAAATTGACGGCAGGGTCAGAGGGTAAAGCGGCGGCAGGGGGTGAAACGGGGGGTGCCGCGGGGGATGCCGCGGGGGGTGCCGCAGGGGGTGCCGCAGGGGCAGAATTTTGCGAGTGGGTGGTCAACCTTGGATCAATGGCCAGAAGCAGAGGTTGTGGAATTTGCAACTGACGACGCCATCTAGAAGAAACACGCGAGAGGAATTTGGCTTCTTGTTCAAGCTCATGGTGCAGAATATGATCTGGTGTAAGAAATGTCAGGAAACTTGTCACAGAATAAACAGCAACGCACTCGAGTGGCGCTCCTTGGCCGACGCGAGCAGCAAAGACTCCTGATCAATCCAGCGTAGCATATTTTCACTCTCTCGGGACAGGCGGAGGTCTTCCTCATGACAGCGATCAAGTACATGGAGACTGGAAATTCCCTGCCGGACATTCTCATCACACAGCCACAATGGAACACCCCCCTCGGAGGGAGTGATCCATATATCTTCGAAGAGGTTGGTGTGAGACTTAAGCTCGTTCAGTTTGGTAGGCAGTGGGAGAGGGATAGGAACAGAGCAGTGTGGGGGCTGAATTTCTTCCAGTCGAGAGCAAAAGGAGTTGAACTTGTCGATTAGACGATGCAGCGTGGGCTGACGTTTTGAAAGGGCCTTCCGAGCTGCTTGATGAAGCTTTGTACCTAGATTACATATGGAAACATGTCAGTGTTGTGACGAGTGCGCATGGGGTGCGGCGGGGGGTGCGCGCGGGGGTGCGCGCGGGGGTGCGCGCGGGGTGCATGGAAAGGAACTTACCCAGTGGCTCCCGACGTCCTTGGACAGCACGGTCTAAATTCTCCCATTCTAGGAATGTTCCAATCGCTTGTTTTCGTATCTGTATTTTGAGATCCCTCATCAGCAGCAGTGTTTGAACAAATTCAAAGGGAAGTCCAGCCAGTTCTGGGTAATGAGTCTCCAGGTCAAGGGAAGTGTACAGATGCACAGCTTGTTCACTAAGCTTGCTATGAGTGCATTGTAGATCTTTGATCGCAATGTGCGCTGAATTAGAGCTCTGTCGATCGTCAATGGTCTTCTGGAGTTGCTCCAGAGTGTCATCGATATCTTCGATTTGATTTTGAAGGCTGACTATCTTGCCCAGCTCGCGTTGGACACGAACAGGTGGGCCTGTAACACCGTGTTGAGAGCAAATTTTTTATGATGGGAAATGATATACTGGACTGAAGTGATACCTGGGCAGTCAGCTGAGCCTGCCAGTGAGATCGCAAATCCACAATGGTCACGCCTGCAGTGCTGATCCGTCGTGTTGCTTGATTATATTTCTGTGGAATGTTCTTATTTCGTTGCCGTTCAATCCAACTCCCCAGACTGGTGATGCCTTCACGATTGACAAACGAAACAAATTCATCCAGGGTGGCTATTCGACGCGCAGCCTGCATATGTTTCAGAATCCTCGATTCAAAAAGGATTTAAAGAAGATACCCATTGATTTCGAGTCAGAGGAATTAACCTTCGTATCCTGGACCAAAGTCTTTCTACACCTTCTGAATCAGTAAGACCCATACCCGACTTCATGCGTGGGTTGAAAATCAATTGGCAGACCCATTGATGACCAAATGCATGCATCACATTCAGAGAGAATGATACACGAGATCGCAGATGGGCAGAAAGGATAGGGAACTTCAGAAAATAGTCAGCATTGTTATGGACTCTGTAGCGGGGGTGCGGCAGGGGGTGCAAGAGGGGGTGCAGAAGGGGGTGCGGCGGGGGGTGCGGCGGGGGTCGCCGCGGGGTCGCAGCGGGTTAAGATATGTGATGGTGGCGGAGAAAGCAGTCCATGAATGGAAATGCACGCACCAGATTGTTACTCCGGTCAAGAACACAACCAATATCATAGCATTGTGTAATGGTCGCATTGGATGGCAGCAGTGAAGCCACCTTCTCCAAGAGCGCAATTATGTAGTGCTGCTGCTCTCCTGGTGTGTCTATGTCACACATGAACAGGACTTGCGAATGACGACATGTCAGTGCAAAGATGCCAGTGGAGTCATAGCGCTTTGGGTCCCCCTTTTGTTTGTTCTCATTTGCAGCAGTCCATGACTCTCCACAGGCCTCCACAATATCAGCAGAAATTGGAAACTCTTTTAGGGGCTTCGGAGATTTCCTTGCCAAAAGCACAGTTTCTTTGACCTTGTGAACCTCTTCAGGTGTCAAGAAGTACTCCTGACTGAACAAAGACGGTCCGTTGCCAGCAGCGCGGAGATGGCGATAGTTGAAGCAACCATCAGCACCAAACTGTACATCCCCACCACTGAGCAAAACATGTCAGTCACTGCTGATCAGGGTTTGAACGAAAATCGAACATAGCAAGTGGACGGCCCCATTCCTTCAGGGAGAAGCACGAAGGACACCGACTTTGTAGGACTCTATTTGCAGATCCAGGAATCAGTGAAAACTGGTCATCAGATTCAATGGTGCGGTTGGCAGGGATGAACGAGGCGGGGGTTGCGGCGGGGGGTGCAGCGGGGGGTGCAGCGGGGGGTGCAGCGGGGGGTGCAGCGGGGGGTGCGGCGGGGGGTGCCACGGGATGCCCAGCAGGGGGTGCAGCGGGGGGTGCATCTGACATGGACGCCTGGCAAGGTCCTGTCATCGAGACTGATGGAGATGACTCCGCATGTTCGGGGGAACTTTTGTAGATGGAAGCTATGGAATCCGTGGAAGATAATCTGGTGTTGATTTGACTATATTCCATGGCCAAGGCATCATTGACCATTTTTCGGATATGCCGCTGGATGCTGCTGTAAACATGCACAGCCTGGGAGAGGGCTTGTCGTAGAGGATCAGTAGCATGTTCGCCATCAAACTAGGGTGTATATCAGATGTTTATTGCGAAAAGCAGGTGGAAAGAAGCAACTTACGGTCTTGGACATGAGCTCGAATCCTCTGGTGTTATAGAGGGTTGTCAGGGCATTGGTGAATGCTTGAATCGCAATGCAGGAGCGTTCAAATAACGCTTGGTATATTTCCAATGTATTCACTGCAACAGCAATCTGTGGCTTGCTAGGTGAGGTGGCGAGAGCACCATGTTCCAGTAGGACAGTGGCAGGTGAAACACAAGAACATGCTTGCACATCGATATGTTGAAAATCTGGTAATTTGTCAGACAAGATCTGGCAAGAAGAAATTCGAAACATACGTGCAATGTGGAGACATAGAACCCGAATTTTATTTTGGGTACAGGAAGGGTTGTCACAGTTTTGATAGATGGTTGCAGCAAGAGATGTGGGTGGGCATGCAAAAGATGATTTCCGAAATGCCAGGAGAGAGAGGGCAAGGTCAGGAATGAGATGGATCCAGACAGAAGAGGCTTGTGTAGCACGTGGTTTCCTTTGAAGACCATGGGGCCTTGCAAGAATCTCTGGAATGTATGGCGGCAGTCCAGCCCCCACACCCAACCCCGCGGCAGACCCCGCGGCGGGCCCCGCAGCAGACCCCGCGGCGGGCCCCGCGGCAGCCCCTGCACCTGACGCCATGTCTTCCCACACATCTTCGCCCGTCATATTGGTTTCATCCACTTCCATTTGATCTTCAAGCATTGTATTTTGCTCTTTCCCGAGTTCAGAGGCCTGTGCCACCAATTCTGGTGGCACCAATTCTGGTGGCTCTGGGTCAAGCAGGGAATTCATCTTTTGAGCAAGACGATTTGCACGAGCGTTACGGCCCATGGGGATTGTCAGCACGTTTCGGAGCTTGTGCCGTCCCTTTACTGGACTGGTGGGTCGAAGGCTTTGCCCTGAAAGTCTTACTGTCTGCTTTCTTGGTGGTGGCTGTTTGGGGGGCATCCTGGGATAAAGAGCCAAGGAGGACCTTCATGAGAAAATACATGAGTGATTTGTCAAAGAAGGCGGCATCACCGTAGCATGAGTGGTGGTTAAACATGGAACTGATCAACCGCACGGGTGACCCCGCAAAATGATGGGAACATTCCCATCATTACCGCAGTGCGGCGGGCATTTTGCGCTCAGCGCTTCACTTTCTTAATTATCGAAGCTAGACACAATTGGGATAGCATCGGAATTTTTTCCGGCAGCCATTTGGTTTTTTTTTGCGCCCAGTCACGTGACCGTTTTGGCCGCCATCCGCTGCATTGTGCGCCATCGTGGAGAGCATGCAAAAACCCGACCAAATGGTGGCAAAATGGCCGGGATGAAGTCACGTGAATATGCGCCCGCCACCCGCCGTGGCATGCGGGAGGTCGGTAATGACCCCGCCCGCACCCCCGCCAGCCCCCGCCAGCGTTTTAAAATTTTTGGTTCCATCTGTCACGTGCTTTTTTCGCCCGCCATCCCGCCCGCTCGGTGCTTCCACGTGATTGATTTTTTTTTCCCGCCCAGCTACCCGCTCTTACAGATGTAGACAAGTCACATGTATATATTTTCGTTCACCCCCCCTGCTGACCCCCGCATATGCCCCCGCCCCCAAATGGACCAAATCCCCCCCGCGGGCCCCGCAGGGGGGTACCTTTTAGGTACCCTCAGAGCTACGTCTGAGGGTACCCAGGAGGACCCCCGCGGGGGTGCAACCGGGTGATGGCGGTGGTAACTGAGGTGGGATTTTGATGCGCTCCGTCCTCCTTCTTCCCACCATGCCACCGCCTCAACGCACTCTGCAGGAGATTGTCCGGATGCGTGTCATCTTGCTTGCTGCATCCTTCTTCATGTTGATTCAAATGGCGGTTACAACCTATGCTTCTCCACTCTACGGAAAACAAGACTATCACACATCGGCTCTTACTGGACATGCCTGGGTCATGGAGCTCCTGAATGGCCATCCAGATCGAATTCGTACTGAACTGGGGATGAGGAAGGAGGTGTTCCTGTTGCTCATCCAGCAGTTGCAGATTGTCACGGGACTGTCTGATTCCCGATATGTGTCAATCAAGGAGCAAGTAGCCATCTTTCTGTATATGTCAGGGGACGCCGCGCTCCTTGGGCACGTGACCATGCACGTGACCCACTGCACCCTCTCTGCTGACCCGTGCCTGCTCACCTGTCGATCACCCAGCCTCCTCCTCCTCCTCCGATCCTCATCTCCATCCATGCCAACATCCGCCCTCTCCCTCCTTCTCCCGGCCATCTCCCTCAAATCCCCGCAAGCGGTCTAGCCAAGCCCGATTCCTTGCACCAGGGAGTGCTACTGCCGTACGCACTCCTCCCCCTTCACTTCGGCCTTCTCCCCGCGGATGTGGTCTACTGCCGTACAGGCTCGTACCAGATGCCCTTGCGCTCATCCGCACCACCCCTCTTCCCAGTCGGGCATTGGTCCTCGCCTCCGATGTCTCCACTGGCCGGCCCGGCACTGGCCTGGCCACTGGGCTCCTCCAGTGTGGCCTTCCACTGTTGGTGTCTCAGGAGCTGGCCATCACTGGCCCCTCTGAGCCACTCACTATCTTATCTGGGTTTGTCATTATCTACTTGTCATCTGCCATTGTTCCATGGCAGTGATATCCCATCATCATCGGTCACTTGTCACAGCTGACTATATAGTGTGACACCTGGGCACATGGATCCTTGAACCGTTCTCTAAGGATCCCCCTCTGTGCTCAGGTGAGTAGTATACCTCCCTTGTATTTGATAGTCTCTAAGGATCCCCCTCTGTGCTCAGACTCATGTGAGGTTGTTGTGTGCTGTGTGCTCTCTTCCTTCGGGCTGGCAGGAGTTGCCCTTACAGCAGAACGGTTCCACCCCATTGGACTCCACCCAGCTGAGCGTCAGGACAGTGGCAGTCTATGGCGCCCTGTTGCTGCGCACTGGTGTGGCCTCCAAGCTGGCTGGCGGCTAGTGGTTTTGTAATTGGTGTGTCCCTGTCGAGTCCCTGGTAGTGTTAACTGGTCCACTCCATACATCGCATACGCATCACCCACGAACCCCCGGTCATCCCCCCCCTCCTCTTCCTCCCCCCTCATCTCCCTGGCCTACTGCCGTCGAGGCTCGTGCCATCCGACTCCGACCTCCTCCCCCCTCGTTCCCCTCCTGGATTTGGGACTTGGCCCCCTCTCTCTCCCCCCTCCTGGCTGGATGTTGGTTCTGTGGATTAGTGGATTTGGATGGCTGAGCTGGGTTGGATGAGTTGGTGGTGGGATGACTGTCATATGTGCCCTGGTCTCTGGTTGGGTCCTTGTGCCCTAGATATGTGATTCTGCTCCTCTCCTATGCTGCTGAACACATTCTACCCAACCTGCTCTACTCCCCCTCCCCCATGGGCACCTCTGTGAAGCTGGACCCCCTGGTCTTGTGTTCCCTGCCTTCCCACCTGCCTCTACCCCTCTCCACCTCCTAGCTGGCTGCAGCCCTGCTCTGCCTGGGTGCCCTCTGTGTGCCCTCTCTCCATCCCTCCCATGGACTCCCCTCCCCCTGCCCCCTGCCAGCCCCACTCCCCCAGAGCATTTTCGAGTTTTTGGGGCAGTGGCAGTGCTCGAGTTTCCCACGCTGTCAAAAACCCGGCCATCCTCGGGCTTGCTGGCAGTGGCAGTGTCTAGTCACCTGGCTGCTCTCTCAGGTGACCCCCATCACCCCCGCCCTCTGTGGCAGTGCCCCGCTCCTTGCGCAGCCACCGCGCCCCGCCCCCTGCGCAGCCACCCCGCTCCCCGCCCTCTGCACAGCCACCTGCCTCTCCGCTTTGGCAGAGTTTGGTCCGCTCTCTGCTCCTGTGACCTCATGGCTGTGCTCTGGATCCCCACACTGCCACCTGTCTCCAGTGGCAGTGCACTGGCATAGCCACAGTGACAGCCCATTGCCTTTGAGGCAGTCTGCTGTCTTGTGTAGCCACACTGTTGGTGCTCTGCCCCTAGGGCAGTCTGCCACTCTGTGAGCTGCTGCTGTGTGCTGTGTCATGTCCAGGGAGTCATGTGATGTGTGGCTGCGCTATGTCACATGCATATCACGTGACCGTCCTCTATCCCCAGCTGATTGTGATGTCGCACCTGGCGCAGCAGACCCTCTCCCTCCGTCCCATCATCTCCTCTGCACTCCTCCCTCTGTTCCCATCATCTCCGCCTTGGTCCATAACCTCTCCCCCCGCTGTCTCGCCTCTACGCACGTCTCCACGGGCATATACCCCGGCTTTGGCCGGCGGAACATCCGCTACGTGCCTCCGCTGTTGTGGGAGGCCTTGCGCTAACCGTGTGATGGCTGGCCCCCTTGGCCGGCTTGTTACGTCTTGAGCGTCAGAGCAGTCGGTCCTTCTGTTGGCTCTGTCCCCCCTACGTGTGTCTCCATGGGCGTATACCCCTGACTTCGGCCGGCGGAACATCTGCTACGTGCCTCCGCTGTTGTGCGAGGCCTTGCACTAACCATGTGATGGCTGGCTTGCTGTTGTGGCCGGCCTGTTACACCTTGGCTCCGGACATCCACGGCAGGTGGTAGACCCGTGCATCACCCGCCGACCCCATCTATTAGGTGGCTGGTGCACGCAACATCCCTCCCTTCTGCATCCGACACGTGCCTTTTTTTTCGGTTGCCTCTATTGCTGCTGTGCAGCTGGGACAACCGATTGGTGCGTCGAGGGCGCCGCACCTTGAAGGGGGGATGAAGGGGCAGTGGAGGGAAGCGACCGCAAGGGAGCTTCTCTCTACAAGTGGGACGACTTCAGGAGTCCTGGTTGCCCTTACAGGCACCTGAGCTTCTGGGAGGAGCAGAGTGACGACCACCCTGACCATAGGGAAGGTTGTGGTACAGCTACACATGCATAGCTGTGGGGCTGGACCTTAGAGCGGGACAGTGACCGACCACTAGGTCATAGGGAGCTGACACGCAGCTCAGTGACGACGCACCGGACGACAGAGTAGGATGCGCAGCATCCCACTGGAGTAGTGCGTCCTTCTTTTTCCCCACCCACCCTCCCCTTTCTCCCATCTGCTTCGCGCTGCCTACGTCGGGACGCCGTAGCTTGAAGGGGGGATGATGTCAGGGGACGCCGCGCTCCTTGGGCACGTGACCATGCACATGACCCACTGCACCCTCTCTGCTGACCCGTGCCTGCTCACCTGTCGATCACCCAGCCTCCTCCTCCTCCTCCGATCCTCATCTCCATCCATGCCGACATCCGCCCTCTCCCTCCTTCTCCCGGCCATCTCCCTCAAATCCCCGCAAGCGGTCTAGCCAAGCCCGATTCCTTGCACCAGGGAGTGCTACTGCCGTACGCACTCCTCCCCCTTCACTTCGGCCTTCTCCCCGCGGATGTGGTCTACTGCCGTACAGGCTCGTACCAGATGCCCTTGCGCTCATCCGCACCACCCCTCTTCCCAGTCGGGCATTGGTCCTCGCCTCCGATGTCTCCACTGGCCGGCCCGGCACTGGCCTGGCCACTGGGCTCCTCCAGTGTGGCCTTCCACTGTTGGTGTCTCAGGAGCTGGCCATCACTGGCCCCTCTGAGCCACTCACTATCTTATCTGGGTTTGTCATTATCTACTTGTCATCTGCCATTGTTCCATGGCAGTGATATCCCATCATCATCGGTCACTTGTCACAGCTGACTATATAGTGTGACACCTGGGCACATGGATCCTTGAACCGTTCTCTAAGGATCCCCCTCTGTGCTCAGGTGAGTAGTATACCTCCCTTGTATTTGATAGTCTCTAAGGATCCCCCTCTGTGCTCAGACTTATGTGAGGTTGTTGTGTGCTGTGTGCTCTCTTCCTTCGGGCTGGCAGGAGTTGCCCTTACAGTATATGTGTGTCACTGGACTCTCAGTGCGTCATGTTGGCGAGCGATTTCAACGGTCAAATGGGACAATATCAAAGTACGCTCCATAAATACTGTCTCTGGTTCAATTTAATCAGTTCATTTGCCAGATATTTCTGCCTGGTACTCTCAGCAATTGCAGATACAGCATTCTACAATGTCTATGTTGCGCTTCCGGAGGCTACTGAGCCAGTATCATCCATCATACGGAACAATCCACGGTTCTGGCCCTTCTTCAAAGACGCTATTGGTGCTTTGGATGGAACACACATCAATTGCGCTCCATCTGCTGCTGACCGTGATGCAGCTCGGGATCGTAAAGGCGGGATGTCTATGAATAATCTTGCCTGCTGTTCTTTCCTCATGAAATTCTTGTACATGTTGAGCGGATGGGAAGGATCAGCTGCAGATGCCACCCTCTATTTTGATGCACGTACACATGATTTCCGAGTGCCACCTGGAAAGTACTACCTGGCTGATGCTGGATTTGCAACATGCGATGCTGCCCTAGTTCCATATCGACGTGTCCGATATCATCTTGCAGAATGGAAGCGGGCTGACCTGCGGTATATTTATCTCATCTTGTTTCTACTTTTACTGAACACTCAAATGTAGTCCCGCAAATCGAGAAGAACTTTTTAATCTTCGTCATGCACAACTTCGGAATGTCGTGGAGCGAATTTTTGGGGTTATGAAGAGGCAATGGGCAATCCTCACACGTGCTCCAGAATTCGACATGGACATACAGGTCAAGATTCCACTAGCATTGGCAGCCATACACAACCTCATTTTGGAGTTTGATCCAAAAGAGCGTGAAGAAGCCGAAGCTGATCATCAGACTGTGGACCCAAACCCAGGTGCACGCATGAATGACCTGCTTGATCTTGGAACCCTGCAGGCTACCCCGATCTCCTCTGCTGAGAAGCGAAGGTCTGAAGAACGACGGGATAGGATTGCTCAAGAGATGTGGATCAGTTATCAGGCCGAGCTTCAACATCGACTAGAAGATTTGTGAAAATGTAGTAAAGCCATGTGTATTGACATCAGAACCCTCCAGAAACACCATTGAATCCAAAACCAGTATTAAATCCACTGCTCGCATTTCCAAACAAATTCCCAGCTCCTCCAGCATGCATCCTCTGATAGTCAGTGATCTGCTTTTGAACCCATCGAATGCGGACAGCAGGATTTGTCAAAACGCTGTAGGTGTCAGCTTTGTTGACATCACCCAGAATCTCGATGAGAATGACCATGTCATCGTCATCTAGATCCGTCTCGAGCTGCTGAGCACGTTGAATCGCACCTCTGCGACGCTGAGGAGAGGGCTGATTCTGAGAGCTGCCACCCGGCTGACCTCCAGCCATGATGTCGCGAACATCCCCGAAGATGCTGATGAAGTCTCCAGTCTGTCATGCGATCGAGGACAGCACCCGAGCCCCTTCAGATGTGCGAGCTGGACGCTTTGCAGGTTCAGCCGACTCCGGTGTCTCGCTCAGGGCACGCTTGTGACCACTGTTGATAGGAGTCGAAGCTGGAGCAGCCAGAGCCGACAAGAGTGGGCCAGCCGGAGTCGAAGGTGGAGCCAGAGTCTGTGAGGCAGGCCGCAATGACTCGAAAATCAGAGAGGTGCCTTCGCAACTGATAAATCCATACCTTATACGCAGTATCTTCGTCCGGGAGGGTGCCACTGGGGTTTTCGATATCCCAAGTAGGGCTCTCTGGACGGCAAACGGCCGGACCGTTGGTTGCTTCCGCAGCAGCAGGAGCATTCAACGGGACGGCACTTGCAGGACTGGCCCGGTAGCACGCATGGCCACCACCGCTCTTCTTACTCTTCAGCTTGTCCATCTGTTCCAACCACTGCCAGCCGGTGCTCCGGAACGTTGCGGCTGCCGGATACTTGAGCACAAATTTGTCCCACACATCCTTTGTGCTGTCGTCGACTCCGGCACCGTGCTCCAATGTGAACTTCTTGAAGCCGGACATGTCGCGAATCTTATTTATGATGCTGTGGGTCGACCGAAGCTGGATAATCACACTGAGCAGACGCAACAACAGGGAGATGACATACAGTCCGGTAGCGGGTTGCACACCTTGCCCCGTTGATTACAGCCCCGGAGACGCGATGCTTGTCGACGTCAGTTGCGACCACTCTGTATGTGGTGGGCGTGAAATTGCCGCCGTTGCCAGACTTTGCCTTTTCTTCAATCAGCCTATCAAGAAGCATCTCCGTCATGGGATCAGTCCAGACGGCACGCGTCCCAGAGCTCTCATCTCCGGACTCCTCGACATCTCCATCAGATCCTTCCTCCTCCGAAACGGGTTGTGCACGAGCACTCTTCTTTCTCGCCATGCAAGGTGGAGTCGTCGACGATGGTGATGGCAATCTGTCGAGAGGTGTCACAGATTGTCACAGCTCACCCAAATGACAGATTAATTGATTATCTTTGCTATCAGTAGGGCTACACAACGTTACGCTACGCTACGCAACGTTACGCCGGTTGCTGAACAGGGCCTTAAGGATCAGATGCCGGCAAGCCAAAAACTCAAAACTGGAAATCGGATCTGCGTCATGACCAGCGGACCGCAGCGGGCCGACTGCTTGCTTCGTAATTCATTGCTTATCAGGTACACACCGTGCTCGATTAAACTTTCATCATTCATGATTCTAGCTTGCTATAAATCGACATCAATTTCGCACATCACGCACTCGGCAAGCTTGAGTTCCTGATGCTGAACACACTTTTACCGCAACCTCTCTCCAGCTTCTGGCGATCAAAAAAGCAGATGGATGGCTTGAGGTTGAACAAATGTTTGTGAAGAGGGATCAGTGTCTTGACTTTCTGGATCACAAATTGTGAATCGACGAACGTCGAAGTGATTTCAAGGTTCGGAGCGAGCCTCCTGCGGACCTAGTATCGTTCTGAGAAGTAATTCTCACGCCAGAAATTACACATTCCACCGTGCTAAGACTCATGTTGCAGACACTGAGTTTATTTTTGAAGGCATACAATGATGTTATATACCCGGGACATTCGAAATTTGGAAAACGGTTACAGTCATGACTTTGTACATCTCTTTCCTATCATACATCACTTCCTACTGCACAAACTTACACTCAAATTTCAAGCCTAAAAACGCGAAATGTCGGCGGTAAAGAGATTCGCGCCAGCCAGGATCTCTTTCGGGAGCTGAGCGAAGAAATCTTGGAAGGTCTGATCCTCAAGAATCTGAAAAAAAATGCATCAGTGGGGTGCCTTGCGTGATTCTATCATGCTCACTGATTGAATCGCAGCTGCATCCTTATGCCAAGAAACTTGTGAGAAGAGAAATTTGGGACAAAGGCTTGACGCACCGAGAGCTGGAACAGCCAGACCAGTTGCGGTCGAGCGGAAGGGTATCCTAGTTCAGAAATATGCTGCTCCATAGCACCATGCGGGGGCGTCGGATAAAACTGGTCTCAAATATTCAGTTCTGCTCCTGTCGGCTGTTTCTATATGAAAGACATACCATCATACTGTTGAGCAGACGTGTTTTGATGATCGGGAACTCTTTGGCTGTGTTCGCCAAACCATCGACCTTCTGACGCATCGCCTGCATGCCCGCAGGCTCAGACGGGAAGTTGAAGATACCTGCGGCCCACATGCCCGAGTTGTCGAGCGACTGAGTGGATTGGTATACGACGCGCTCGGTGGCGAAAACCGAATCGGAGCTCTTGAATCCGAACTCTTCCTCTGCAGTGGCGAGGTCCCGAGAAACCGAAGGATGGTCGAGAATCTGGTCCTTGTTTAGCACCCTGGATTGGAGAGGAGACGGAATTCACCTCACGGAACGCGTCTGGCGTCTTTTAGATGGGCACTGATCAGGGCGGGGAAGACTGAAATAGAGCAGGAACCATCTCACCTCGGCAGAGAGGAGGCTAATGGTCAATGGACCTTCGGGTGCTTGGATGCCTAGGTTGGCGATCAGCGACGCCGCGTTCTCGTTTGGGTGTATCTGGGAGTGGGCGATCAGCAGCGGCATGGAGAGTTCTATGGGCATTTCACAATCTGGATTGGGCCGGTGATCTTATCCTTCACAAAAGGCTGACGAACGGCGTTCTGGAAGATCGCATTCACTCGTTTCTTGAGTGCGTCTCCAGGTCCCGCATCGGCGGCTCTGTTGATAAATACGAAAGTCGAGCTAGATTTGTCGGTAGAGGCTGGCATGGGAGGGAGGACTGTGTTTTGTGGGACATCGAGCCATGCCCATGGTGCTCTTTATAGACGTGTCCCCCGTCGGTCACCATGTGGGGGCTTTCGAGGGAGAATATCAGGAGTCGAAGGGCCACAAGCAGGAATTAGAGGAATTAGAACACAGAGAAGCTAAGAAAACCACCGAGAAAGAGCCTAACATAGATGGTGCGAGTCGGGAATCCTATGGCTTGAAGTCGATTGGGTCACGATTAGACGGCTTTCGGAAGTTGCCGATATTGGCTTCGAGGGTGCCAAGTTGAGATAGATCGCATGGGAACAGTTCGCGATCGTCGGAGGGATTGTACAGACCTTTGGCGAGTGAAATCTGAGAGGCCTGCTTCGATTGGTCTGCTCGAATACAGATAGATTTTTGATGGATGAATGATCAATCGATCGTTGAAGCCATTGGCACAGCATCCGGCCGGCGACTTCCCTATGTTGGGCTCTGCTGCAGATAATCTGAGATTGAATCTCTCCTTACTATGCACTTGGAAAGGAGCTCCAGCGCAGAAAAAAACGGATTGAAACCATTCAGTAATTTCTCATGCGGTATTCCGTCCAAAAAATGGGCAAGGAATTCGTGTGCAAATTCTGGCGATGTGATCCGGTCATACTTGATTACACTGCCAACTGTCGCTGATGGTGCGCTCACTGTGGACGTTCACCTCGCTCGGATTTCCACCGTATTCAAGAGATCTCCTACTGCCCTCACAATTCATGCGCTCGAGATCGAGTCTAGGGCCTCTCAGCGCTTGATTCTGGATCTCGACTGGCCCAGCGAGCCCGAAAAGTCACCCTTGCACGACGGGGCGGATAGACGATGAATGGAGAGTGTCTGAGACACTGAGGCACCTTAAGAGGTCGGACGATAACGCTCCTTACTCTCCAGCTTGTTGCTTCTTCACCCCCATCTGCTTCCACTTGTTTTACCTGCATTTATCCTCCAAACCTTCTTCACTGCTCTTACATCTGCTGCGCATTGCTTCACACCGTCTTCTGCTCTCACAACATCGAATTCCATTCACCGATTTCTTCATAGCTTTTCGTCTGTTCTGTCTCTCTTCCTCCTCTTCCTTATGTCTCCTATCTCGTATGCCCTCCCTGACCTGACTGGTACCGTCGTTAACGCCGGCCGCCTACAACTCGTTCGTCTCCTCGGAGTGGGTTCCTACGGACGAGTTTATCAGGCCAAAGACACCTCCTCGTCTGAATCCTCCCCTATCTACTATGCCGTCAAATGTCAGATCCACTACGACCCCGCTACGTCCTATGGCAACATGCTCGACAACGAGATCGAACTGCATTCCTCCATTTCGTACGACGACCGGATACTCGCCTTCCATCGTACATTCCTCAGCGACGACGACAAGTTCTTCTTCACCGTCCTCGACTACTGTGCTGGCGGGGACCTGTACGGGGCCATTCAGGAAGGTCGCTTCGACGGTAACGTTTCTCTGGTCAAGGTCTTCATGAACCAATTGCTCGATGGCGTGGCCTACATGCACCGCAACAGCACGTACCACCGCGACCTCAAGCCTGAGAACATCCTTCTCAAGTCGAGTGGTGACGAGCTGGACGTCAAGATTGCGGACTTTGGATTATCCACCCGGGTTGGTGTCAGCTCCCAGTTTGGATGCGGCAGCAGACTGTACATGAGTCCCGGTAGGTTCTTTCCGTCCATTCTCTGCATTCATCGCTGACCGGTGTAACACAGAGAATCTGGATCGACTTGTTGCTGGCGGATCGTACTTTGCTCGCGACACGGATCTCTGGGCCTGCGCTGTCATTCTAGTCAATGTATTGACGTCTCGGTTCCCCTGGTTCAAGGCTGAGCGCAGTGACCCGGGTTACAAGGAGTACCTGAATGACCCGTCTGTCCTGCGTGACGCGCTTAACATCACCCAGCCCACGGCGGATCTCTTGAACTGGTGTTTCTCCAAGAAGGCCGCCCTACGCCCGACATTGGACGAGTTCCGAGACGCCATGAATGCTATCGACGAGTTCGTTCTCCCCGGCGACAGGACACCCGCTCCGCACTCTCGCTTCGAGATCCCTTCGCTTGGCTTTTGGCCGGCTGCTGGTCCTCCTCCTCCCCCGGCCGTTCTTGACTCCCTGTTTGCCTGTGACTGCTCCCTCATGTGCTCCAAGTGCACGCCCTCGGCAAGTGAGATCGCTTCTCTGCTCGCCTCTGACGGGTACATGCTCCCCGACGACCAACCTCCTCCATTCACCGCCGCCATCCGCATCTCACGCCATGTCGTGGCTCAGACTGCGAGCAGCATGAATCTGACTGTTCCTATCTATGACGACACGGATCTCAGCGCCAACGACGCCTTTCTCCGTGCTGAGCAGAACACGACTCCACCGACGTCACTCGCCACCTCTGCTGGCTCATGCCCTCGGTTTCCTCCCGGCATTCTTCTCCCCCAGACGATTCGCGAACCGCCTCGGTATCCGCCTGGAATCTCGATTCCCGTCGCAGCAAATCGCGTCTCGCCTCGGTTTCCTATCGGCGTTCAGATCCCCACGGCGAGTGGTAACCTCGCTTGCCTCCCGCCTGGTGTCGGCTGCTCGCGGCGGTCCGAGTCGTATCGCTCCTTCGAAGATCAAAAAGGGCGGTGTTCTTCGTCGTTCTCGACTTCAGCTTCATACTTTGATTCGTCTGGTGCGCACTACGAAGAAGACGACTTCGTGATTCTTCTGGGAGACGGAGACACCTTGGTATTCCCCAGGCCACCAAGCTACATCCCGGACCCGCAGATGAAGAAGGTACCGCCGTCTCGTCACGCCATCGAGCAGGTCGAGTTTTCGCGGGCACGAGAACTCCTTCGGTCGTGTCATTTGCTATGAGCGGGTGCGCCAGCCGGATATTGCCGAGTCACGTGGGGACGATGAAAATGAGAAAATCACAGAAAAAACACGGGATCTTGCTTGCTGCTGGTTTTGCTTTGCTTCTTTCTCTTTCTCTTTCTCTTCTATTCTCCTCTTTCTTTTTCGAATTCGCGATTTCGTCTCTGGTTTCGGGGAATATGTTGGGTACTGGGTTCAGCTTCGATTCCTCTGGGTTTTATGGGACATCCGACTCATCTCGCTCTTCTCCTCCGCCCCCGTACTGCATTTCTGGTCTCAAGTTTCATGTCTCGGATTCATTGCCCACTCGCGAGAACTGGACCGCATCTCGGTGAGTCTGATTCGGCCTTTCATGGACGCGCCGATGGCTCACGTACAATTGCTCTAGAACCACGATGATCCCTCACTCTAGTGGCTCAGCTCGCGGTTACTTTTCCTCTCATCGTACGCAGTTCTGCGTGCCTCATCCCTCGTTCATCGCCTCGTTTTTTTTTTATCGTGTGCTGGTGGGATCTAGGTTGCATTTCTGTCAATTTTTACCCTCCCCCACCTGAGTTCTTGCTCATGTTCTTTCAGACCCATGATGATCCCCTTCGCGCAAGTCTCTGTCGACTGTCCTTCGGCTTACTGCTCGCGTTGCGTCTCGCCTCGCTCTCGGTTGGGACCTTGGTTACTTGATGTGATGGCGGAATCTAGGTCGCATTTCGGTCGGTCGTTACCGCCACCTGCACGGTTCATATTTTTTTGATGCTTTTCGACTAGACTTGAGATGGTTCCGCACGCCAAGTGCTCTTCCACGGCGAAACTTGACCTGCCCTGGTTCAATGATGGTCGGAGAGTTATGGTGGCGGGGTCTAGATTGTATTTCTGTGCGTCTTTCATCCCTCGACCTGCCTGATCCAAATTCTGACGAATCGAACCACAGTTCGAGGATGGTCCTATCTGTTCGATTGGCGACTTGACCTGGGTTTGACAACCCCTCGTCTTCTCACCGCATCTCGATGAGATGACGGCAACAACGAGACTCGTAGCCTGGCAAGCTCAGTCTCGGATCAGACCTGGGTCTGCTTGCAGACTCTCGTCTACCGGCGATGTCTTTCTTGACTGGGAGATGTTCCGGTTTGGGCTTGAGGGATTTCGTGTGTTCCCGAGGCGGGTGCAGTTGTGGCATTGCGGGCATCGGCATCGGCAGCCGTGTCTCGACGTGCACTACTGTATCTGGTAAGGGAACTCACGGGGCGCGCAGTCTGACAAACTCGCGCTCGGTCGTTGGATGCAAAGTACTTCATCTCACGCGCGGTGACGATCGCAAGAGTGTGCATGGTGTGCTTTGGAATTCATCGGACAAGGGAGAGGAACGAGCAGATTCCATTCGGGACTGGTCCACTCACTTCTTCTCTTTATTTGGGAATCCGGGGGAAAAAACGGCTACCGTCAGACGAGCCCAGCGTCTGGCGGAAACAAGTCTCGGACTGACTATCCGAGACGGGGCGGAAATTGACGTGTGAATGCAGTCGGCAATGCATTCACATGGAAATTGAAACTCCCGCAAGTTGTTTTTTGGACTTGTCTCCCTGTCAGCTTGCGCCGACCAGGAGATGGGTCCTTTTTTGCGTGAAGAAACTGATCCTAACCCTAACCCCATCCATGGTGGACACACCGGCGCGGGAACTCTCGGGGTTTGTTGATGCGGGTGGCTGTGCTGCCAATGCAGCTCTCTCCGCCGGCGCTCATGTTTTCTCCACACTTCCTCTGCGAAATGTTCTGCTTAATCTCGGGCAACTTCTCATGCGGTGGTCACTTGCCTTCTCTTCCTTCTGTGCCAGAGTGTGGAAAGCAGGTACACACAGCAACTCGAAACACTTACGTAACCATGGGCCTTGGCGCCAAGCTATGAGCACGACGTGCGCGACCTTGGCATTGACAGGGGACTCATGAAAATGGCAGGCAGCGTGCGGATTGAGGTATTGTAGACGGGTCGGAGAACGTTGAGAGAGGCTCTGGGACAACTAGTAGGACCTTCGGCGGGGAGGATCGGCCTTGCGAGCGTCAGTATCGGATGCACTGGAGGCAATTATTGTCTTGGACGTTAACATCGCATGTCTTTACCCGCTTGTGTGACAACTGAAGGGCTGGCTGGGCACGTAAGAAAGACTTGAATATCGACCGTCTCTTCCCTTTTTCCTCATCATCTCTCTCCGGTACAGAGTCTCCTCCCCTTCCCCTCCCCCTCCAGCTACGATGCGCTCTCTTTCCGCAGCGGCTGCGTTCTCTGTCGCCCTCCACCTCCGTGCCGTGCATGCATGTAAGTACCCCCTTCCTGTGCCTTGGTCTGGCATCTGACCCTCTACAGCTTGCTCCGGCACCGACTTCCCCGCTGGCCAAGCTGCGCTCAGCTCGGGCGCCCTTCCCCCGACCTTCACCCCTGTTCTGCGTATCTTGCCCTCCGACACGGACGGCCAGAACCTGTACGCTTCGTTCAAGGATAGCATCCCCAACATCGCCGTCCGCGGTAAAGACGGTGTCCCTGACCCCGCGGTGGCCGCTGCATATGACCCCAGCGACCCTGACTGCTGGTGGAGCTACACCAAGTGTACGCAGCCGAAGATCGCAGGCCTTGAGCCCGATGTGGGTATCGTGCCCGAGGTAAGTCGGTTTTTCTTGTATCTGGGGTTGCCCTGATGCGATATTATGCTATTAGCCGCAAACGATGGGTTACGGATTTGACGACGGCCCAGCATGCCAGCATGAGGCGTTCCTCGACTTCATGGACACAAAGAAGCAGAAAGCCAGTACGTGTTTTGCTTCGCTCGTGTGCACTGGCCTCACTGAGTGCGTCCTCTCCAGCTTTCTTTTACATTGGCTCGAACGTCATCTCGATGCCACTCGAGGCCCAGCGTGCCGCCACAGACGGTCACGAAATCTGTGTTCGTGCGTAGCCCATCCTGATTTCCCTTTGACATGCGCGGCTGAAGTCGATACGTGTAGACGGCTGGTCGCACCACCCCATGACTTCGTTCGACAACGAAGCGGCTTTTTCGGAGCTGTACTATACCATGAAGGCCATCAAACTCGTTACTGGATATACCCCCAAGTGCTGGCGCGTACGTGTCTTTGTTTCTTCAGTCTTTTTTCGCTTGCTGAGGAACTCGCAGCCACCCACCGGTGACGTCGATGACCGAATCCGGTTCATCGCTCAAAAGCTCGGCCTGACCAATGTGCTCTGGGAGTACGACGCCAACGACTGGCGCTTTGGCGACGGCTCCCTCACGGCGGACAAGATCCGAGGTAACTACGACGCATTCATCGCAGATGCCAGCGCCGGCAAGTTTGCTCAGGTGCGGGATGTCTATCAAAACGTGTCCTTTGCGATACTGAGGACGGGGTTTCACAATAGCGAGGCACAATCATCCTGACGCACGAACTGGACAACTTCACGATGCAGACCGCCGTGGACTACCATCCTAAGCTTAGCGCTGTCTTCAAGGTCAGTTTGGGTTCTCCTACGTATCAAAGACATGCCAAAGCTCATGCCCCTCTTCCAGCATATCGTGCCCATCGCCGTCGCGCTGAACCGCACCAACCCTTACGTGGAGACAACGATGACCATGCCGACATTTGATCAATGTGCGTTGCACGTCGCCGCCCTCTTTTCCTTTGAAGCTGACCGTGTGCTTCCCTAGTGATCGGTGCTGCTGGACCGTCGACGCCATCGACCAGCTCTGCTGCATCCAGTTCCGCACCCAATCCGAGCCCACCCATCTCGAGCGTATCGTCGCAGAAAGCCGCACCCGCTGGGTCGAAGTCGAGTAGTGCTCCAGCCTCGACGTCCTCCACGGCCTCGACACTGAGCGCGAGCTCCAACGCTCAATCTGGCGCCTCTCGCACGACCATGATGTCGTCAGCATTGTTCGTGAGCGGATTGCTGTTAGCGGGCGCTTGGTGTCTGTGATTGATTTGCTGTGTTTTGCTGAGTTAGAGAGCGTTTGCTCCTACGGACTATCCGCTTGTTGGTTCTATCTGCCGTTCAGGCTATAATTGTGTAGTCGTCGAGTGCTACTTACTCTCGTTTGAATTCCAACTTTCTTTTCGGTTCTTATCTCTCTGCCTTGCCGTTTGTAGGCACAAGATCTCAGGCGTTAATGAGAACACACAGAAATGGATGTGTCATGTATATGACATGAGCTTGTGCACTTCAGCAGCATGGCGCAGTCTGGGAGCGCGCGGGGCCCATAACCCCGAGGTCACTCGATCGAAACGAGTTGCTGCTAGCAACGAGTGCAGAGCTGTTCTTTTTTGTCTGCTCTCTGCGAGAGTGTGACTCATCTGTGATGCTCAGCCTAGTAGTGATGGCTGATGACATTTTGCCGTCTTCCCCACAATCATGCCACCACCGGACTCTGACAAGGCCCCAAAGCCTCGCAACCTGCGCGACTACCACCGACCTCCGAGGATAAAGCTGGGTGCGGTAGGCAGTCGCATCCCCGCACTCAGTGCCGATTCAAAGCGGTCCGTCCAAGGTCTCACACGAAACAGCGCATGTGCTCACTCGTTAGCTCCCGGCAAGATGTCTGCGGAACCTTTCAGCGTACAAGGCACCGCCGGAGCGGATACCCTTTCCGCGGACACGGTGTGCGGCTGTATTAGTCGCGTTGTTTGTCGGGCGGAGGGGGGATCTACATGTCTTGTTGAGCCGGTGCGTGTCTCGATGCCGTTGAATGCGCATTTACATAGGAACATCACAGGCGCTCCTCGACGCTGAGATCGTATGCCGGAGATACCGCGCTGCCCGGTGGGAAGGTCGATCCGGACGATGGATCATTGGAGGATGCCGCGGTAAGCGATCCTTGTCTTCGTCGGATGAGGATTTCTCAGTCTCGAAGCGCAGGGAGGCATTTGAGGAGGTACGCGTGCAGTGGAATGATGAAGGGCAGGTCTCTGAACGTCTGCGTGCGTATGTATTAGATTGGCCTTCCTGCGGACAAACTCAAGGTCCCATTACTATGCATTCTGAGCCCCGTCGTCGCCTCCAATTACCTCGTCGTCACACCGTGCGTCCGGGGACATTCCCTCAAATATGGTCCGTACTGATATGCAGACCAGTGTAGTCGTGCTCATCCTCGACAACACTCTGCGTGTACGTGTCTTCCGCCTACTCGTTTATCTGACAATATTCAGCCATCTCCAGCCAATCCTCAACACCGCAGAAGTCGCATCCCTCTTCTCCCATCCACTGGCCTCTTTCCTGTCCTCTTCCCCGCCGTTTTCTACCGAGCCAGAGCTTGTCGAAGTCCCGTACCACACCACCAGTGATTGGCGCTACCCCGGGCCAAACGGCCAGATGTACTTCTCCCGTGGGCACCGGTTTCTGACCGGTCGCGAGGCCGGTGGGATCAAGCCCGTGTTCGGGCTCACTGCGTATGTGCCCTACTGTTACCGTCTCACGCGAGTCACCGGGGGCTGATATGTTGCAAACCCGCTAGCGCGATTCTGATCGACGCTGCATGCATCGCTCATCGACGTGCGCCAGATTTCGAGCTCACGCATCCGGAGGGAATGACGCGTGAGGCCCGGCTGGCGTGGATTGTCTACAGCCAGCCGGCCTTCCGGACGGCGTATGAGGCGGAGGGCATTGAGGTCGATTGGGAGCAGATCCGGAGGCTGGCAGGCGTGGTTGATGACCGGGGAGATATTGATCGAAAGGGGGACGAGAAGAAGGATACTCTTTCAAAACAGCGGAGGAGAATTCCAAAAAACAAAAGTAAGCTCTAGTCGTGCAACGCCAGAGTCAATGTCGTATCTGCACAGTACTTCATCTGTGCATCTGTGCCATGGTGCAGGGCCGAGCCTTACATATGGGAAGGAATCTTCAGATCAATAATCGTCGGAGATTTGCGAGAACCTCCGAACTAGATGAGGATGAGTATTGAAATCAATGCTTGGGAACCCACCAAGAAGGCTCGGAGCAGACGCACGTGGCGGATCAAATTCTCATCGGGAAAACCGAAGCTTGTGTTAAGATGAAGTGTAGACATGAATTCACTTCCAATTATACAGGATACAACAGAGCGAAGCTAATAGGTGGATATGTACAGGTATCAATGAGGAATTACAACACTTTGCAGCGTGCGGTTGTGCGTGTGAGAGTGTGAGTAAGAGACATAACATGGAGCGCCTGACGGCGGATATAATAGGTGATGCGGTAAGATACATTTGAACGAGGAGCGCGGAGTTGAGGACAATTCAGCCGCTCATGACAGGTCATACGCCACGATGTGCCGCATGATAAGCAGCGAGGCGAGTATCTCTGAACACAAGACGATGAGTACTGGTCTGTATGTGATCGGTATCACCTCCATGCAAGGCCACTCACCCACGGCCAGTCCACCGGATTGTTCGGCAATTTCCAGGATACAGCCAGACGAAGTCGTGTAGTCCGGCTCGCCTGGGGACTTCAGGCTGTACGACGCAATGACATATCCGTTCAGGTCCGTGCACTGAGTGAGGAGGAGAAGAGTGAAACATGTATGAGCAGGCTGGCGGAGGTAGACGCATGATGCAATGAAGGGTTGCGTACCGTCCATTCCTGATTCACATGGGTCTTCCTAGCCCATTGGTACACCTGCCCGTCTGAAGCGAGAAAGCGGCGAACGCGGTGCCCGCCACTATGGATCCTGCTGCAGAGTCAGCACGCCATTGAGCAACCTCTCGCTGGCATACCCGAACGAGATGACTTTGCTCTCTGGCCTGACGAGATATTTGCGCATCGGCACCCCCTCCGATGAGTAACTGATCGTCCCCAACGCGTGCTCGCGCCCGAAGTCCAGCCCCGCGACGGGGAGGGGAATCGCCACGCGCCCCGGGTTGGAGCTGTGGTGGGAGTTGTAGATCATATATGCGGTGTGTTGAGTGTCTTTTGCCGTGCACCGGACACGGAAGTGCATCCGCTCGTTGATGTCGATGAATTCAGACCCGGTGAGACTGCCCGTCGTGTCTTCGAGGATGTAGGGCATGCCGTAGCGCGTGGATGGCATCGTGGACAGATTGAAGGGTAAGCAAGCACAGAGAGGTGAGGCGTCTTCATCTGAATGGTATTCCGAGCAGCTTTATCAACGAGGTGTCGAGGGAAGATGGATGAAAGAGGAAGGTGCGACGGTTCACTAATGTGAAACGACGTCAAGATGCCGCTTCCGATTGCCGATGACTTAGTTTGATTATCGATCCGGCATTTGCCTGCCGACAGGTCAAATGGTTGCCTCACAAGCAGCCCATGACGCAGAGATTCAGGGCCCTGACATCTACTCAAACAAAATGCGAGTGCGTCGCATCGCCGTGCTAGTTATTGCGTTTTTCGCGCTCATTCGGAATGCCTAAACCTCCCCGATGGGTTCCGGGATCGATAGGACTCGTGTGCGCAGTTGATCGCAGGAGCCTTTATGATCTGCATGCAGCCTTGAGGCCGGCGACGCTCGCGCGCTCTCTCAGATGGTTTTTCAAGGTTTGATGGTGCCACGCGTCGCTCAAGTTATCGATTCCTCCTTCCGCTTACCCGAGGATTATTGGTGATCCGGGCGTGCTCGTCCAATGAACACTCAAATCCCGCTGTTCTTCGGCTTCAAATTTTGGCTCCCACACACGAATCGGAAATTCCCGAGCCTTGCATACAGACTGCAGCAAGGATCAAACGCACATGTTACTTCCAATCTCCACAATGATCGGGCAATTACACATGCGCGTTGACTTGATGCTTGACATGTGAAACGATGACGTCAATGAACAACTTGCAAGGGAAGCAATACGGAAATTCTACTCTATTAGCCCTCAAACAAATTGACATAAACTTTATATACATGAAGTTGCTTGCCTGCCCTCTTGATCAGTTCAGCTTCTGTTAATATCTCATGCACTCATGGCTTTTGAGCCTTAGTATACTTGGAGAAAGCTCAACAATGTTGGCCTGGGAGCAAGGTGAATGTGAGTGAAGTTTGTATTAGTATCAAAAATAACTCAAATTGCTTTCAGGAAAGGCTCATGTCCTATCTCTGGACAGACGGGGGTGTTTTCAAGTTTTTTCAAGATGAGGAAAGAGAGGGAAAAAGGAGAGATTCATAGCATTTTTGTTGTAGTTACATGCATTTTGACCCGGAGTATCAGTGCCAGAAGCGTCTCCCCGTCCCCAATGAGCCCTTGAAAAGTTGCATCACGTGGGGTCAATAGGTTTTCAAGCCTATTTGCCATCAGAGATAGCTGCCGGTTCGGGTGATAGGACCCAGCCAACCGCTTTCAAGATGGCACGTGCTCACGCACCCCAGGGACCTCCAATTATTATGTAAAATGGCTTCGAGGCCCCCTCCGGAGGCCATCAAACCACCCCCTACCCCCCCTGATCGGAGGCCATCCTGGAGGCGCCTTCCTAATTGGTACTCTGCCCAGCCATTCATCCACAGCCAGCATGGTAGGCTAGGCATTGACCCGAGTGTTTATATGTGCTTTAGTAGTCAGTATAAAGCCTCAGACAATGTCTTAGCTCACAAAAGCTTGTATTTCTTGCTTGCAAATGGCAGACCACTGGGCGCACAAAATTTGGGATTTGAGCACATGAGCACTCCTCAGGTGCATAGAGCAGCAGTATATATATTAATTCGAGATTGAGCATGAGGTAGCTGTGCCCACACGCAAAAATGAGATGTTGCTGAAGGGATGGTTTATGGCCTCCACAACCTCCCAGGGGCAGAAAAAAAGGTGTTGGGTAGCCCACAGGCCATTGAATTCTGCTTCAATAGATCAATTTGACGCTTATGCTTTGTCAAAACAACAGCCCAGGATATAAATTGGATGCTGGAGCAGTGGCAGAACAAGCCTCCACCGCCTCCAGGACTGGGGACCAAAAGCGGTTATTGTAGATTCAGCCACATAAACCATATTTCTGATCTTGTTTGTCCTAGTTGGAATGTCTAGGTATTCAAGAGAGACAGGCGGCTACATAGATCAGATGCTAGCACCAATAGCAGAACTGGCCTCCATGGCCTCCACAGCCAGTGACCAAAAGCGGTTTTTTGGGTTCAGCCATATAAACCATGTCCATGATGTTGAAGGTCTTCATTATAATTATGAGGGTCCTTTAGTTAAATTGCTCACCACATGAATCAGATGCTGGAGCAAATGGCAGAACTGGCCTCCGCTGCCTCCACAGGTTATCACTTGAAGAGTCTGAATGAGATGACAATGTAACAGATATATATTCTCCTGGCTGACCGCATTCTGTCATTTTCACCTCTACATGCTAGTTTAATTGCTGCAGAATGTTAAAATTAGAGGATGGGAGACCCTGGAGGCACTGGAGGCACATGCAAGATCCAATCAATGTCATCAATATCATCAGTGCCATCAATAGCATCAAGAGCATCACCGATCATTGGTAGATTGATCAGCCAATCAGATGATGAATAAACATCGAACATCTAGTATATTCACTCCTGAGAGACACAGACTACATGTATGCTCATACTGAAAGTGGATTAGTGGTCCCAGGACATGCCCCAATGACATATTACATCCTTGTCTCAAGAACATATCATTGAAATTCGGAGTTGGCAAATGAACTGAAAGTCAACTGAAGATGAGTGGTACAGTGGAGTACTTTCAGTTCATTTGCCAACTCCGAATTTCAATGATATGTTCTTGAGACAAGGATGTAATATGTCATTGGGGCATGTCCTGGGACCACTAATCCACTTTCAGTATGAGCATACATGTAGTCTGTGTCTCTCAGGAGTGAATATACTAGATGTTCGATGTTTATTCATCATCTGATTGGCTGATCAATCTACCAATGATCGGTGATGCTCTTGATGCTATTGATGGCACTGATGATATTGATGACATTGATTGGATCTTGCATGTGCCTCCAGTGCCTCCAGGGTCTCCCATCCTCTAATTTTAACATTCTGCAGCAATTAAACTAGCATGTAGAGGTGAAAATGACAGAATGCGGTCAGCCAGGAGAATATATATCTGTTACATTGTCATCTCATTCAGACTCTTCAAGTGATAACCTGTGGAGGCAGCGGAGGCCAGTTCTGCCATTTGCTCCAGCATCTGATTCATGTGGTGAGCAATTTAACTAAAGGACCCTCATAATTATAATGAAGACCTTCAACATCATGGACATGGTTTATATGGCTGAACCCAAAAAACCGCTTTTGGTCACTGGCTGTGGAGGCCATGGAGGCCAGTTCTGCTATTGGTGCTAGCATCTGATCTATGTAGCCGCCTGTCTCTCTTGAATACCTAGACATTCCAACTAGGACAAACAAGATCAGAAATATGGTTTATGTGGCTGAATCTACAATAACCGCTTTTGGTCCCCAGTCCTGGAGGCGGTGGAGGCTTGTTCTGCCACTGCTCCAGCATCCAATTTATATCCTGGGCTGTTGTTTTGACAAAGCATAAGCGTCAAATTGATCTATTGAAGCAGAATTCAATGGCCTGTGGGCTACCCAACACCTTTTTTTCTGCCCCTGGGAGGTTGTGGAGGCCATAAACCATCCCTTCAGCAACATCTCATTTTTGCGTGTGGGCACAGCTACCTCATGCTCAATCTCGAATTAATATATATACTGCTGCTCTATGCACCTGAGGAGTGCTCATGTGCTCAAATCCCAAATTTTGTGCGCCCAGTGGTCTGCCATTTGCAAGCAAGAAATACAAGCTTTTGTGAGCTAAGACATTGTCTGAGGCTTTATACTGACTACTAAAGCACATATAAACACTCGGGTCAATGCCTAGCCTACCATGCTGGCTGTGGATGAATGGCTGGGCAGAGTACCAATTAGGAAGGCGCCTCCAGGATGGCCTCCGATCAGGGGGGGTAGGGGGTGGTTTGATGGCCTCCGGAGGGGGCCTCGAAGCCATTTTACATAATAATTGGAGGTCCCTGGGGTGTGCTCACGCATCTAGCCAATTTGCATCAATGCAGTCAGGCCGCACCTCTGCTCAATGCTAAACGTTTAGACCACTTGCCCGGTTTATATATGCATAGAAGGACTGCTGTGTGCTGCAGATTCTCCTATTTCATCACCATTGCTGAGTTGAGTATTAATCATTGATGTTGTTGGAGCGCATGAAAACACTCGACTCCTGCAGATCACGTGCACCAATCAACACGCGTAAGGGTATGTGTTCAATTCTTGGTGTTCAAACTTGGAGTATTTTATTTTTAGGGAGCATAGATAAGATAGTGATTATTCCAGCCACATAGTGGCACTCTCACTATCAGCATACATGTGTTGGCTCATTCAACGCCACTTGTGGGCCCAGATGTCACTGCCCACAGCCTCCACCTGCGCCCCAGATCGTCTCTTGATGGTTCGGCCAAATAAACAAGTGAATTACTGTCATAATTCAACCTTTTTTCATCTTATCATCGACCATCTTATCTTATCTTGGCACGACTTATCTTATCACAGATCACGGCATCAGACGATCTGGGCGAGGGGTTCCAGGGATTATCCTTATCGATTCAAGGCTGCGCGACATATGCTTCCGGAAGGTTCTACTACAACCCATGACCAGTGCACCATGCACCAGTGCTCCATGCGGTACATAGCCTTATGACTCATTAGTTGTAGATATGACTCAGACTGGACCGGGGTATAAATACTGTAGCTACTTGGTTGTATTCTCCAGTCTTCGAATTCACTTCTCTTTTCGACTTGTTTTTTTGGTTGATTGTCACATAATTCGAAGACTCCCCTCATACCCTCCTACCTCATACCTCTTACCCTGCATCCTGCACCGCTTTGTTTTTTTGGTTGATTGTCACATAATTCGAAGACTCCCCTCATACCCTCCTACCTCATACCTCTTACCCTGCATCCTGCACCGCTAGTGAAGAGCTAGGCTCGGGATCTTTTTGCTAGCAAAAGAACCTTTCCTCGAGTGCTTGTACAGCACACGAATCCACCATTTTGTTCCGATTCCCATCATTGTCTGGGAGTCCATCTCCCCCTCCCATCCTACAATTGTCGCCTGATCTGGCGTATCAAAACCAACCAGGGCCCTCCAATCCCTACCTTGCCCTCCCGCCGCATGAAGATGAGATCCCCGACCTTGACGAGTTACCCTCCGAACAACCACCCTCGCCCCCACCTACCATGCCTGCTCGTACCATGTCAGGACACCACTGCATCACCCTCGCCGCCAACCCCCCCTATTTTGATGGGGACAAGACCAAATACATGGGCTTTGTGGACTCGTGCACCACCTACATCGGTGCATACCGGTCGGAATTCTTGCTGGATGAAACCAAGATTCTCTTCATCCTCTCCTACCTCCGCAACAAGGCTGGCACAAGCTGCGCCGCCTCGAGATGGGCAATGAACTGGAAGCAGCGCAACTTCAAAAGCCTTAATGGAATAAAAGCTGGGGTCACCTCGGCAACCTTCTTGGAGGAGCTTCAGAGGGCCTTCAGGGATTCCAACGCGGAGCAAGTTGCCGCCACCCGACTCATGGCTCTGCGCCAGAATAGATGATCCTTCGCGGATTATATCTCCGACTTCGAGATGCTGGCTGCGGATGCAGGGTACAACGTGGTCACCTCCACCGACAGCAAGGGCGTGTACAAGAAGGGGGATCAGGACAACATCCTCATCGAGTTCCTCGAGCGTGGACTGAGCAGCGAGATCGCAAGCTGCCTCTACAACACAGGTGTTCCCTTGCCCAAGGTGTATGGTGCCTTCAAGGACTGGTGTGTCAACATCGAGGCAAATGCTCTGCGCAATCAGCTGCGCAAAGTGTTGCATGGGCACTCCACGCCACGACCACCTCCCCCATTCCGTCCACAGGCAGCCCCAACAATGCCTGCACCCGCCCCGCCCCGACCCACTGCCAACGAACCGGTTCTGATGGAAATCAATCGCACCCACGCCCGCAGCCGCAATATCATCTGCTACAACTGTCAGCAGCCTGGGCACATTGCGCGGAACTGTCCAGAGCCAAGGAAGAAGCGCACATTCTTCAATTGGGCCACGATGCTTGAAGAGATTGAGAATGGGGACAAGGACAACGAGTTCCTCAAGGAGATTGCCGAGAAGCTGCGCAAGAAGGGTTTTTGAAACGCTCCACTCCTCTAGCCAAGGAGGTGGAGCGTCCGGACTATGGACGATTTTCTGTACTGATTTCGATTAAAGACATGAACAATTCTGCACATACATACACAATCTCGGACACACTACGTACCAATATTGATGATTTTCTCATTGCCAATATGGAAAAAGAACGCCAAAGAAAAATAGCTTTAAATAGAGAGTATTTACAGAGTAAAAAGGATCAGAAAGCTGCAGATGAATTAATTTTGGACTCCTATGTATTTATGGCTTGTGGAGAAGGAACCACGTCAACAAAGACCGAAAAGGGGAGCACTGCTCCGGAGGCTCAATCCTTGGAAAAGGAGGAAGCACCTAAGGAATCTGCCAAAATCAAGGTTCCAGAAGCACCCAAATGCACCAGGGTGCCAGATGCCGTCCAGAGAAAATTGGCGGCCGAGAAACAGAAGGGCCCCCAGCCCAGCAGACTGGCGCAAGAATTGCGCAGCTACCAGGCCGAAAGGAAGAGGCATTCAATGGACGTATATGTCCAGATCACAGGCCTGGACTCAGGAAAAACGCGCGGAGTCAAGGCGCTACTTGATAGTGGCTGCAGTACCTGCTGCATTGATACCGACTATGGCGGGCAGAGAAGCTGGATATCCAAGAGCTTCCACAACCTATTGTGGCTCGTAACGCTGACAACACCGAGAACATCAGCGGTCGGATCACGCATTATGTCGACCTAAGGATGAGAATCGGTCCTCATGAGGAGACACGCACGTTCCTTCTGACGTGTCTAGGGAAGGTCCGGATCTTCATTGGTCTTGATTGGCTGACGGAACACAACCCCGAGGTGGATTGGCAGGAGCAGACCATGAAATTTAGTTGATGCCCAGAGCGGTGTCACATGAGGGGTCACGAGGAGCACCAAGCAATGATTGACATGGATGCAATCGACCTGGACACGGACACACCGGATCTGGAAGAGGGTGAATCGATCCTGTTAATTGACTTTGGGACGGAAGTGGATCTACGGCTGAAGGAAACGCCGGCACAGAAATTCGCTGAAGAAGCGGAGAAGGAGAAGGAGAGAATGACCAAGGGAAAGATTCTGGATCAATACCGGGAATTTGTCAAAGTAATTGCCAAGGAATTGTTCGACTCACTACCGGACCAATGAACATGGGATCATGCAATCGAGCTCAAACCTGGTTCCAAGGCAGTGGACTGCAAGGTGTACCTGTTATCACAAAACGGACAGGTCAAACTCGACGAGTTCTTACAAGAGAACCTAGCCAGCGGACGGATCAGGCCCTCAAAATCACCCATGGCATCAGCATTCTTCTTTGTCAAGAAGAAAGATGGCTCCTTACGTCCCGTCCAAGATTACCGGAAGCTCAATGAGATGACGATCCGAAACTGATACCCGCTACCGCTGATCTCCGAACTGGTCCATAACCTTTGCGGTGCCAAATTCTTCACCAAGCTAGACATCTGGTGGGGATACAACAACATACGGATCAAAGAGGGCAACAAGTGGAAGGCTGTGTTCTGCACAAACCGCGGACTGTACGAGCCCTTGGTCATGTTCTTTGGCCTCACCAACTCCCTGGCAACCTTTCAAAACATGATGAACAACATACTCCGAGAACTAATCAACGAGGGTCATGTGGTAGTTTATCTTGATGATATATTGATCTTCACAGAAACCTTGGACAAACACCGACGGATCACGAAGCGAGTACTTGAATTGCTCCAAAAACACAAGTTGTACCTGAAACCCAAAAAGTGCGAGTTTGAACGCACGGAGATCGAATATTTGGGTGTAATTATTGGACACAATTCAATGCAGATGGACCCAGTCAAGATCAAGGGCGTGATGGAATGGCCAGAACCAAAGAGCGTCAAACAGGTCCAAGCCTTCCTCGGATTCACAAACTTCTATCGGCGCTTTGTCTGGGGATACGCAGAGGTTGCCAAGCCGTTGACACGGCTGACAGGGAAGGCAGGATGGTCATGGGGTACGGGTGAGCGTGCAGCATTTGATGGGTTGAAGAAGAGAATTGCAGAGGATGTGGTCTTAGCACTGCCAAATGACACTGGCCAATATTGTCTGGAAGCCGATGCTTCGGAAGGGGCAACAGGATCAGTTTTGAGTCAAAACCAAGACGGCATTTGGCGCCCAATCGCGTTTATTTCACATGCATTGACCAAAACCGAGCGAAATTACGAGATCTACGACAAGGAAATGCTCGCAATCATGCTATCATTGGACGAATGGAGGCAGCTACTCCTAGGAGCCACGGAAACATTTGAGATCTTCACCGATCATCAGAATCTTGAGTACTTCCAGAAGCCGCAGAAACTCAACTGACGGCAAGCACGATGGATCACGGAGTTGGCGGAGTTCGACTTTACCTTACGACACCGGCCCGGCGCACTCAACAGCAAGGCGGATCTCTTATCTCAAAGGGCAGATTACGATCAGGGCAAAAACAACAACAAGGACGTCACGTTGCTGAAGCCCGAGTTCTTCCGATCGCAAGAAGTCACATTTGAGGGGCAAGATCAGCAGCTAGTTGATGAGGTCAAGGTCGTTCGATCGATTGATGGAAGCATCAAGGCAGCCCTGGAGAAGTCACTCGTCGGATGGAAGAAGCAAGAGGGGCTTATCACGTATCATGGGAAGCTCTATGTACCAAGAGACGAGGAGTTGCGGGACAAGATCATCAGACTACACCACGACACACCTTTGATTGGACACGCTGGGATCAACCAAACACAGGAAATGGTGGAAAGGAACTACTGGTGGCCAAGGATGGGAAACCAGATTTGGAAATACATCCAGATGTGCGAGGCGTGCCAACAGACCAAGACCAGGAGAGCAAGGATGGGGACTTTGCACCCGCATGCAGTCCCAAACGCACCGTGGGAAATCATCTCCATGGATCAAATCGGACCCTTACCGGTCAGTAATGGGTATGACGCAATTCATGTGTGGTGTGACACCTTCACCAAAATGATCCATGTCGAACCAATTAGTACTGACATCAGCAGTGAAGGAGTCGCACGATTAACCAGGGACCGAGTCTTCCGCTACCACGGGATCCCTCGCAAGATCATCACCGACAGGGATTTGCGCTATATCAAGGGCTTCATGAGGGAGACGAATCGGATGTTGGGCGTGGAAATGAATCTGGGGACCGCATATCACCCAATCACAGATGGGCAAACGGAGCATATGAATCAAGAGATCAAGCACTATCTCTGCATCTACGTCAACTATCATCAGACAGACTGGTCGGAGTGGCTGGGAATGGCGGAGTTTGCATATAATGACAAAATGAACACGTCCATCAAAATATCACCATTCTACGCGAATCACGGATATCAGCCATGGAAGGGAGTGGAACAACGGATGGAATCGAGGAACAAGTTGGCAGAGGAATTTGTAAAAAGAATCAAAGAAATACAAGACGAAGAAAAAGCAGCATTGGAAAAAGCAAATGAAAAAATGAAAAAATATTACGATAAACAAAGAAAAGAAGTTCCGGAGTTGAAGGTTGGGATGAAGGTGTACATAGAAGGGGAAAATATCGAGACGGACAGACCATCAAAAAAGATGAGCGACAAGAGATTGGGACCATACAAGATACTGGAGAAGATTGGAGCGGCCGCATGGAAGCTGGATTTGCCGGATACGGACCGAAGACACCCCGTGTTCAACGAGTCACTGTTGACACCCTATCACGAACCACCCCCCCATTGCCGAGAGAAGAGACCTGTAGCCAAGATGATCGGAGGAGCAGAAGAGTGGGAAGTCGAAGAGATTGTGAAAGAGCGAAAAGTCGGCCAAGGAAAACAGTACTTGGTCAAATGGAAGGGATGGCCACACAGCGAGAACACCTGGGAACCATCACACCACCTTACCCACACGAAGGACATCCTGAGAGACTGGCAGAGGAAACAATCAAATCCAGACACACGCATTCACCTCCTGCCAATGCTCGAAGCTGGACATTGGGACTATCTCATTCATTGCTACAAGCCCCGGGACGAGCGCCTTCCATATCCCCAACGACAGCTCTTCGACCCTTACGAGAACATCTTCACGCCCATTGGCCTAGTCGGTGAGGACATTGACCCTAGAGAGGGGGTAATGTCATAGTTCGGCCACTTTTTCATCTTGTCATCGACGATCTTATCTTATCTTGGCACGACTTATCTTATCACGGATCACGGCATCAGACGGACTGGGCTAGGGGTTCCAGAGATTATCTTTATCGATTCAAGGCTGCATGACATATGCTCCAGAAGGTTCTACTACAACCCATGATCAGTGCTCCATGCGGTACATAGCCTTATGACTCATTAGTTGTAGATATGACTCAGACTGGATTTGGGTATAAATACTGTAACTAATTGGTTGTATTCTCCAGTCTTTGAATTCACTTCTCTTTTCGACATTATTCCTTGTTGATTGTCACAAAGGTGTCTCAATCAATATCTTCTATGCGACCAAAATCAACACTACTGTGGAGGTACAGGTTGTGGGACACTTAAGGATGTATTACCTGTAGGGTACCAATGAATAGCCACGTAACCTCGGACACCTATGATATTTCATGGACATGCTTCCTAGAAAGACCCTCAACAACTTTCCAGGACTTACTTATGAGTGTTGCTGACACTAGGAATATTTTGTCGCGTGATGTCCAAAAAGGGACAGTATCCTAATGTGGGACACTTCATTTGTTTGACCCAGACCACCAACTCTGTACCTCAAATTCAACTACTACATTACTTCTACAACTTTGAACACTTCCATGAGGGTCCAAACTGTCAATCAAATATCATCTGTCAAGATAGATGTTGTGATACACATCTATGACTCTATCACGTGTCATCTAGAGTCATATCAATTCGTCCCAAATAGACACAAACAGCCCCCTGTATCATATATAAGGAGGGCTCTATTACCCTTTAATACAAGTCTCTTGACTACTCCCGCATAGTGCCCACACTAAGCTCTCACTCACACAGGTGAGCTGCTAGACACTCTCCCCAGTGCTCAACAATTCTCAATGTGGCTGAGTACTTGACTGAGCTGGGTGAAGATGGGTGCCCATTCCTGTTTGATTTCCTCTCAACTTGTCTTCTCCGGTGTCAGCAAACTTGCTCCCAATGAAATGCTGAGGGCACGCTCACAAGTGAATCTACTGTGAAAGTAAACCCAAATATAAAGACGTTCACACTCCTCATAATCAGCTTCTCAGTGTGTAAAAGATGCAAGGGCTTTGGGGAGGACAAAACACCAGAATCACAACTCTCAATGGATACAGGATCCAATAGTCGCAGAAGACAAAGTTGATGCGAAGAATTTATATAGTAAGAAATGGTGTCTCAACCAATATCTTCTATACAGCCAAAATCAACACTAATCCAACCACAACCAACAATATTACAAGTCAGAACTTAATACAAAGTATTAAGATCCCATGTAGCGACAGTGTCCATGTAAGGGCAACCTCGAGGCCCACTCTCAGAGTCCTGACAAGGGAGAGTCCAAAGCATCAGATAAGGGGATCGACTAATACAGGGGACTCAGCAAACCTGACAAGGGAGAGTTCAAAGAGAAGCCAAGTTGGGGACTCTCCTTGTCAGGGCCCACTATATATAGCCTACAGGACAATGGATGACCAAGCACAATGGAAGTGCCAGACAATGGGGCCAGGGAACAATGAGGGGCCAGATTGGGGAGAACAATGGGAGCCGGACCGTCAGAACAATGGGGGTCTGGGCCAGAATGTCATGTGGACGTGCTTGGCAGGGAAGTCCGGACCGAAGCATGCAACACCTGACAGATGGTGCATGCGCGGTCACATGCAAGATCCCATGATGATCAGACAAAAGCAGGGGTTCCCCTGAGATCACCCCCCCTCTTGATTGCGGCGCCTCGATGCAAGGCATGGTTGGGGGTCGACGAGTCCCTGAAGGGCAGCGAGTGGAATACAGCCGTTGCGATGACGTGTGGCTTCCCAGGGTATCTGCAGTAAAATGCTGCCACCGCGTCGTCCGCAAACACATCTGAGTGCTTGACCCACTGGTCATGAGACAGGTCATAGCCCTTCCATTGTACTCGGAACCAGACACTTCGGTAGCGCATCTTTGCGTCTAGGATCTCCTCCACTTCCCACTCCTCTCCTTTGCCTTGTCCCAGGACAGGGGGTGGTTCTTCATGACGCGGGCAAGTGGGGAACGGGTCATCCTTGACCAACTGGAGCTTGACCACGGGGAATACAGGGTGGAGGCGAGAGAGGCTGCTGGGGAGGGCGAGCTTGTATGCGCCTTGACCTACGACTTGGGTGACCTTGAAGGGGCCCAGGCGTCGGTGGGAGAGGCCACGAGAGGGTCGCGTTGTTGTGATGTCCGAGGCGTCGAGCCAGACTCGGCTGCCAACCTTGATGTTGGGAGTGGTAGTCCTTCGTTGGTCGTAGTACCTCTTGTACTTGTCCTTTGCCTTGACCAGTGCTGATTTGGCCTCTGTTACGCCTGATGCGACCTGATCTAGAAACTTGTTGGCAGACTCTGCTCGGGTGGAGCACTGCTCTGTTGGCTCAAATCCCATGCATGGTAAATGTCCTGTGTCTGTCATGAAGGGAACCTGCTGGGTCGAGGAGTGGACGTGGTTGTTGTAAGCGAACTCAGCTGCGGGCAAGAGCTCGTCCCAGTCGTCCTGCTTGTAGCTGGTGAAGATCCGGAGGTACTGTTCCAGTTCCTGGTTGACCCGCTTGGTCTGGCCATCAGTCTGCAGGTGGTAAGCGGTGGACATGGCAGGGGAGACGCCAACCAGCTTCCATAGCTCTTGAGTGAAGTCCGCCACAAACTGAGGCCCATGGTCCAAGACATACTTGATCGGTAATCTGTGGTATCGCCAGACATGCTTGTAGAACAACCAAGCCATCCCTTTGGCCGAGAGGCGAGTGTGGCACTTGATGAAGTGAGCACGCTTCCCTAGCATGTCAACAACCACCATGATGGCGTCATAGCCGTGCGCCTCAGGCAACTCCACAATAAAGTCCACTGACACTGATTCCCAACGCTCCGAGGGGACCTCCGTGGGGTGAAGCTCTCTGGTGGGGAGTTGTCAGAGGGCCTTGGTCCGGCAGCATAGGTCGCAGGTGGCCACGTACTGGCCGACGTGCCGTAAGAGCTGGGGCCACCAGTAGTTGCGAGAGACCAGCTCCAGCGTTTTGAAGCGGCCAGCGTGTCCCGCAACATGGGTGTCGTGGTGTTGCTCAAGGATGCGTTGTCGGAGGTCCCGGTCACATGGAACCACTAGTTTCCCGTGGAAGTAGAGGAGGCCATCCTGGATGCGCCATTCCGCTGTAACAGCGGAGCGGGCCCCCTTCATCCCTTTTAGAAGCCGTCGCGCTATAAGCGCAAGTTCTTCCTCAAGGTCAGGGTCACCGGAGAGCGATTCCCAAATGTCACAGACAAGCAGGGCTTCCGGGCCAGAGACAGACAGTCCCTCAAGTGCTCGTACGTGGAACAGTTCCGGTTTCAACAGGGTAACGTCTGTGTTGTCCGAAGGGGCCCCGTGGTCCGGACATTGGGAGAGTGTGTCTGGGCATCCCATGAGCCGGCCAGGTTGGTGGTGGAGCGTGAAATCGAAGCGGGATAAGTAGAGCGACTATCGGGCTTGCCGGCGGTTGAGGTTCTGGGCCTTGCGGAAGTATTCCAGGTGCTTGTGGTCAGTCCAGATCTCCATGAGGTGCTCAGCGCCTTCTAGGAAGTGCCGCCACTCCTCCAGTGCACATATGATTGCAAGCATTTCCTTGTTGTGGATCTCTTAGTTGTGTTGGACGTCATTGAGGCTCTTGGAGAAGAAGGCAACTGGGTGCCACTTGTTGTCCGAGGGGGACTGCTGCAAGATGACGGCTCCTGTGGCAAAATCGGAGCTGTCAGCCTCGAGGCGATAAGGACGGGAGGAGTCTGGAAGGAGGAGAACCGGCGTGGAGGTAATGGCATCCTTCAAGGCCTGGAAGGAAGCGGACTTGTTGTCGCCCCAAGACCATGGTACGTCCTTCTTGGTGAGGTTGAAGAGCGGGCGCGCGACATGTGAGAAGTCCCGAATAAACCTCCGATAGAAGTTAGTGAACCCGAGGAACTGCTGCACTTCCTTCTTGTTAGAGGGAGCCGGCCATTCGGCTACTCCTGCCACCTTGACAGGGTCCATCTCGACGTGGTTGTGGGAGATGATCATGCCAAGGTACTCAATGGACTCCATCTCAAATTCGCACTTCTCTGCCTGGAGGTACAGCTTGTTTTCGCAGAGACGCCGGAGGACTTTGTTCACGATACGGCGATGGAGGTGAAGGTTGGAGTGCGCAATGAGGATGTTGTCCAGGTACACCATGACATCGCCCAAGAGGATGAGGTCCTGGAGGATGTCATTCATCATGGTCTGGAACGTTGCAGGGGAGTTGGTGAGGCCGAAATACATCACCAGTGGCTCGAAGAGCCCACGGTTGGTCCAAAACGCCGCCTTCCACTCGTCTCCTTCTCATATCCGTACGTTGTTGAAGCCCATTGAACATCGAGTTTGGTGAAGAAGCGGGCTCCCTTGAGCTTGTTGATGAGGTTGTTGATCAAGGGAAGGGGATACCAATTCTTAACTGTCATCCCATTCAGTGCGCGATAATCTTGTACAAACCGTAGGCTGCCATCCTTCTTCTTGACAAAGAAGATGGGGGAGGCCATGGGGGACTTTGAGGGTCGGATCCGGCTGGTGGCCATGCCTTCTTCTATGAAAGCGTCGAGCTGCTTCTACTCCAGGGGGGAGATAGGGTAGACCTTGCAGTTTGTTGGCTTAGCGTCAGGCACCAGTTCAATGGTGTGATCCCAAGGGCGACGTTCCAGAAGATTGTTGAAGGATTCCTTACTGAAAACATCCTTGAACTCGCACGCCCACTCGGGTATGGAATCCCGAGGGGGTGCAGAGTTCTTGGCAAACGCCTCGGCGAGACGCTGGGAGACGGTGCTAGTGGCTTGGATGTCTTCAGAAGGGTTGAAACGGGTGTAGAAGATACGGTCACCAGTTTCCAGACAATCTTCTTTGTTGTCGGAATCCTCTCCATTGTCTTCCTGGAGCGGCGGCATAGCCTCGTCTTTGCGGTCTTCCATATCAACAACGCAGATGGAGGGGGCGGGACCTTGTCGGGCCGAAAGCCTGGCTATCCGTCTCTCTTGGCGAGGTCGATCTCCATGGGGATGCCTGGCGGGAGGACTACCGGGGCTGGTCGGGGAGCAGGAGGTGGGGCAACCACCGGAGGAGCCATGGGGCGGGGACAGGAGCCGCAGGAGGCAGAGCACGGGGTGGAGGGAACGCCTGTCCTTGTGCAGCCTGGGCAGCCACCTCGGCATTGTACTGGCGGAATGCGTGGGTGCGCCACTCCGAGTAGTTTGTGAGCCTGGGTGAGTTACCGGAGGTTGTGATTGCCTGATTAATTCTGGGGTCTAGACCCGCCCGGTACTTGGTGACCTTGATCAAGTTGTCGGAGTACCCCGCCAAGTCGAGGAGGTCGTCGAACTTGTTTGTGTATTTGAACACGTCGCGGGACCCCATGTAGTAAGCATGGGTCTCCAGTCGTGCCAGGGCATGGTCTTGCTCGTTCTCCTTGACAAACCAAAGCTTGAACTCGGCAACGAAGGAAGACCAGGTCGGGAATGGGAAGACAAGGTGCTCTGACATGCGTTCTGACCAGGAGGCCGCCAAGTCCTTGGACATGTAGGAGAGGGCAAAGCATACCACCCGCTCTTCTGATACTACGCTGTTCACATGGAAGGCCTCGGGAAGGAGGTGCCAGTACTGCTTGACGGAATGGAGAAATGTCTTGCCCTGGGTGTGATCCCTGTTGAACGCGAATGGGGGGTTGGGGCGGATGAGGGGTCTCGAGCTGGCCTGTTGTCCAAGAGATACGCCTGGACCCACTGCCAGAGACGGAGCAGGGGCAGGGGCAGGGGAAGGCTGTTGCTGTGCAATTATGAGGTTGTGGAGGAGTCCCTCCATTCGTTGCATGTCTTCCTCTAGATTACCAAGTCGCTGCTTGGGGGAGGAGCCATTGTCTTCTCCTTCCATGTAGGACATGATGATTGTAGAGGGGGAGGAGGGGACAAGATTGGAAGTGAGAGGCGTATGACGCTATCAGCGGTCTTCACAAGCTTGTCCAGTTATCCCTAGGAACTTGGTTTCTGCTGTAAGGGCAACCTCGAGGCCCGATCTCAGAGTCCTGATAAGGGAGAGTCCAAAGCATCAGATAAGGGAATCGACTAATACAGGGGACTCAGCAAACCTGACAAGGGAGAGTCCAAAGAGAAACCGAGTTGGGGACTCTCCTTGTCAGAGCCCACTATATATAGCCTACAGGACAATGGATGACCAAGCACAATGGAAGTGCCAGACAATGGGGCCAGGGAACAATGAGGGGCCGGATCGGGGAGAACAATGAGAGCCGGACCGTTGGAACAATGGGGGTCCGGGCCGGAATGTCATGTGGATGTGCTTGGCAGGGAAGTCCGGACCGAAGCATGCGACGCCTGACAGATGGCGCGTGCGTGGTCACATGCAAGATCCCATGATGATCAGACAAAAGCAGGGGTTCCTCTGACAGTCCAGATGACAACGCAAAGCCCAAAATATCAAGTTGATGCACTGCCAACTGATACAACCAAAGTACTGAGTTGACGCACTGCCAACTAACAGCCAAATCCAAAGTCCAAAACCCAAGCACAACTTGTTGACGCACTGCTAAGCAAGAGGTGTGGAACCAAAGTTCTCAAGTCAATGCACTGCCAAACTAGAGGTGTGGAATGATCTCAACAAAACCCAAAGTAGCAACGCAAAATGCTGCAAAGAAACCAGAAGCGGCAAAATCCGACTTTCTGATGTCTCAACTCAAAACTCAAATCACAGTAGCTACGAGTGCTCAGGGAGCAACTTGTTGCAACTGGGCAGGAATAATACAACTTCTTAAGGAGGAATCATGTGGCATGCAAATTGTGGAAAACAATCTGATATGGGTATGATTCACAGTCCAGGGGAAAGCTCCCCAATACAAACAAATGTTGCGCTACTTATACTGTCTACGATAGTGCTTAGTAAAGTCCTGTACAGCTGCATAGTAGCTACACTATCTAAGATTGGTTGCTTTTTATGGTAATGGAAAGTTGAACAATCAGACAGGTCTTGACCAATCAGGACCCACCCCCATCATCCATATGGTGTTTTTGATGCATGGAAACCCACCACATCATACTCATTAGAATACAAAGTGCTGTATTAGCCAGTTGTTATGTCTTGGCAAGTGAGTTCAATGTGGGTGCCTCAAGAAGCTGTATAGTCCTAGGCACACCAAGCATCACTCCCATGGTTTGGCTCACAGACCTTGTCTGTGTTGCTTATGGCATGTTTGGGTGTGGACACAACCTATTGTGACAAATAAAAGAGTCACTGCCATGTGTCCACAGTATCCCATTCAAATGCTGAGGGTGTGCTTGCAACTAGATTGACAATGAAATCAACTCAACTCAACTGCAAAATACGTCACACTCCTCTAATCAGCTTCTCAGATGTGTGAAAGTGCATGGGCTTCAATGGTCACAGAACACCAAACAAAAATCTCTCTTGAGCTGAGGACTGGATCTGAGCAGTCGCAACACGGTAGTGTCATGCAAAGACCCAAATCAAATCAACAAATCCCAAATCAACTAAGGCAACAGAAAACTCGGTATGGAGTACTGAGTGCTCTTGTTGCAACAGCGTCCAAGTATATGATACCAAACACAGATATAAACCAAGTAAACCTTGGTACTAAGTACTCAGGTCTCTTTTCTTAACAGTGTCCAAATAGTTACCCTAAACCCAAAAAACATTCAACACTGTTAACCAAATCAATAGATTTTATTTGGATAATCACGTGGTTGTGATTATAAAATCCTATTGACACAAGAGCGAGGTTCATTGTGACTCTTATATAATGGGTCCAATATCCAGTAGTTGTGAATTGTTGAATATACCAACAATTAGAGTACTCTAATATTCACAGATTTAGCAAAATGTGAACGTAGAATAATATATCAATAAATTACTGGTTTAGCAACACAGTAGATGTATTTGATAAGTGTTATGAAGCTTGTAAGCTTCAAGGGCAGGTCAGAATGTGAATAACAGATATGATCTCAAAGGTAAGATGCCCCTCCACTAAGAGGGTCAATCGTTCATATAATTAAACTAAAAGGCTGTGTACATAGCCTGTAACTGCGCTCTGTAGTAAATATCAGAAAAGCTATGTATGCAGCGAGGCAGTGAAAGCCTATGCAAGTAATAGCATATAACTAAGAGTTTTGATCCATTGATCACTAAGAAGCACTTGATCAATCAACATTTACAAACAATTATAAATTGTAAATGTCTATAATCTATGACAAATGCACTGCCAACTACAGCACCACCAAAAACCTGAGCACGACTGTCAACACACTCACTCCAACAGATTGTGATTAATGTGGCCCGCAATGAAAAATTTATATTGCAGATATTGGAGTACAAATGGTTGAATACAAAACACATTACAATATTGAAACTAATGTGTTGTGTAAGATGTAACCCGATTCACACCACACATAATGCAGCCCACAAAGGATAAATTATATTCTATATATTGGGGATAAAAAAAATGAAGTGATCTGATATGTTACATATCAGGACCCGGATCATACCCAGCACCCGATATTTGTGGTATCAAGACGTTTTTGCACTGATATGTGACATATCGGGTCAGCTTATTTTTTTGGGTCACAATATATGGAATATGACTTGATCTTTGTGGGCCTTGTTGTGTGTAGTGTGAATTGTGGTAATTTTTTTTTACATCACATTAGTTTCAATATTGCAATGTATTTTGTATTCACCCATTTATACTCCAATATCTACAATATAAATTTTTCATTGTGGGCCACATTAATCACAATCTGCCGGAGTGACTGCCAACAGAAGTGTGGATGAAACCAAATGTTCACCGCACTAGTAACTCAACTAATCAGTCATGACAACAGCAGACACAATGTGTGGTTGCAAAAAATATCAAGACACAACAATCAAATCCCAAAATCTCTAATCTCAACTGAAACTCAAGCAACAACAAACTTTCAGAGAGAGTTGGTTGCAACCAGGTAAGGATGTTTGGACTCCCAAAGTCTCAAGTTACAAGCACACAATTGGGGTTGTCAGAATCTGACTAATTCACTGATAACTGGGTGATTCATAGCCTCTAGTATGCTGTCTACTACAGAGAATACTCTTTATAGTAAATCCTGGTCGTACTTGGTAATGCTGCAATGTACTGTACAGTTGCTGTAATCCTCCTATTGATTCCCTCTTATAGTAGCCAAGCATAAACAATCAAACTGGTTCCTGTGTTCAGGAGCTATCCTGTCTGTTCCACATGGTAGGATAATAGTTATAGTGGTTTTGTATCATAACTTTGTAACCCACCAAGTTGGATTGGTTGGAAAGAGAGCTTGGCAGCCTGTACCCACATGGGCGTACAGAAATGTCCACAAGGCCCAGGCATGTTCAGGTGGTGGACCATATGAGAGAGTCTTTGCCAAAGACTAGCTCCTATATCCAACTGAACCTCTAAGAGTTCTATTAGCGAGTGCAAGTTGAAACATTGCAACGGGATGGTCTCAACAGTTCTGCTAGTTGTGTTGGTTGCAAAGAAGTTCTTTGTGATGTACAGATAACTCAAAGACCAGCAACAATCCTTCTTAGTGCAACTCATTATGTTTGTGTAGGACTAGCCTGAAAAATATGGCAACACAGATCTTGTATTAGGCACATTTTGTCTGGCACAATAATTCCTTACATGGGTTCAAGTTCAAGCAGACCACAACCAAGTGGTCTAGTGAATTCAAACACATGTCTGGCCTGCTAACCCCACTTCAACAAAGATGGTAAACTGCACTTGTTCAGTCTTAACAATCCCCAGGTTTGGATACATCTTGACAATTCTTCATCTCAATGACTATATGGCTTAGCCATATTGCAACGTATTAGTGTTGCAACACATCCGTGTTCTGCTTTTTTTGTGGACTTAGTCACTAGAAGTTCTCAGTCTGGTATGGCCGATTGAACTGTTCCACAGCAGTGACTTGAGTGCCTTCCACGTATTGGTGCTATCCAAAGACACTGGCTAGACACTAAGCCCTTAAGTCCTGCTGAACGCAAAACTGGCCATCATGACCAGATGCACCAAGTAGGAACAAGGGCAATCTCTGAAAGCACAGAATTATTGACCTTCTAGAGGTGGTGCAGAGCAGGCCTGATAGCCAGCTTATCACTGTGATCAAGTTGGAACATGGCCCATGACAGGTCATTGCCGTGGCGTGATCCGAGAGAATGTCCAACCCAGAACTGAGAGCCACCGCATCAAGGTTGTTCCTAATCTTGTAATGCCACATCTCTTCTAGTGGTAGTTGTTTCATTGAGTACATTGCACACAGCTAAGCCCTTTAACATGGGTTCCTTATTTGAAGAGTAACCTTTTTGAAGAGTTGCTGTGACCTATGTGTCTGTTGCTACTAGCTGTTGATCAAATATCATTTGCCAGATGAATGTTGTGGGACACATCATATGACTTCATCACGTGTCATCTAGAGTCATGCAGACTCACATCAAATCACTGTACTATTACAGCCAAGTGTTCAGGTCACAGGTCACAACAGTGTCTCAGCTAAATTTTTGATGTGCTCAAAATTTGTGATAAATCAAAACAAAAATCTTTGGTTCCAGAATTTTGAAAATTTTTGGACACTTGGTTGTAATAGTACAGTACCCTTCAATCTAAGTCTCTTTCTGACTACTCCTGCATAGTGCCCACACTAAGCTCTCACTCACACAGGTGAGCTGCTAGACACTCTCCCCAGTGCTCAACACTGGCCCTGAGCCTGGTATAGACTTATAAGACCAATTCCACAGTAGTGGTCTGACTGCCTTGCCATTGTTGACACCATCCACAGTTGTTGACTAGGTGTCATAGTTCAATCACTTTTTCATCTTTTCATTGACAATCTTATCTTATCTCAACACAGGTTATCTTATGATGGATTACAGCATCACACAGTCTGGACTAGGGGCTCAGGGGGGTTATCTCTATTGATTCAAGGCTGCGCAACATATGTTCCAGAAGGTTCCACTACGACCCATGACCAGCACTCCATGTGGTACATAGTCATATGACTCATTAGTTGTAGATATGACTCAGACTGGATTTGGGTATAAATACTGTAGCTACTTTGTTGTATTCTCCAGTCTTCAAATTCACTTCTCTTTTTGACTTTGTTTTTGCATTGATTGTCACACTGGGCCACTAATTCTGCTATCAGTCCCATCATGTGTGTGTGCATCTGTGGCGGAAGCGTCTTGAACGAGTTCCGTCACACGGGGAATTGGGTCGTCAATCCGAGAGAGACAGGGATCAGCTCTAAAATTGACTAGGGTACCTTTTCCTACACCCTATCCTACTTATACTACGATCATTTATCTGTCTGCAAACAGTAGTCTACAAGGAGTTGAGTAAGCACGATGATATAATCAGTCAGAAGATATGTTTCCGTCACATACGCCCTCCAGCTCGGCGCATGCGACAAGCTCACACCATCGCCTCGTCGCCCCCCTCCCCCGCCGCTCCCTTTGCGGCCAAACGGTTCGCTTTCGCCTCCTTGATGCGCTGGCGGCGCTTGGCGACCATAGCGCCCCCGTTCACACCGGTGGCGTAGTCCTCGGTCGAGTTCGGTACGTTCTTCTCCGCCAGACGACGCTCCCGGGCCTTGCGGATGGCACGGTCCCGGCCGATAACAGCTTCACGGCCCTCCTTGTACTCGGTGATGGGGATGGTGATCATTCCGGGAGCGACCCGGCCGGTAAGGTGATCATCAGAGCATAACCCATCATGAACTGTGGGAACGTATCCTTCGGCGAAGAGAATTTCTCCCTGCTCTCCCACCGAAGCGAACGACCAACTCTTGTTATCGAACAAGTTGCACGACGCCCCAAGCTCGGCGATTCCGATCGGTCCTCGGCCGTAGATGGTCCCGTCGAAATCCGGATCGTTGACCACTTTGTTCCAGAGGAGACATTGTTTGAATTGATGCGCGGTGAGGACAACGTCTCCCTCGTTCAGATGAACGATGAGGAAGCTAGGGGTGATCCATTTCAGCGTGCCCGTGTGCTTGGAGTTGAAGTCGAGGTGAGCCGAGGTCAACGGTTCATCAGCGGCGGTGCGTCCAACTACCACGTTTCCGGCATACGCGTTTGGAACAGACATAAGGGACAAGGGTCGGTTGCAGGGGGAAGAAGAGCAAGGTACATTTCCCTTGCTTGGTTCTTTGCCCGCAGCTTTTGTCTCGAGGCCGGCAACCCCTGACCCCGTCAAAACCACACATCCGACCTGCATTTCGATCGGCGGGGTCTCCTTGGTCCCCTTCAGCAGTTGGGACACATCTGAGATTCCCAGCGTGTCGAAGTAGTCCTCTAGCACGTTCAGTTTACTCACCTGTTGATAGGGCATCCACGTCAAGTTGCCCGACTTCCACTTCACTTCGAAGAGTGCTCGTCGGCGGCTTCCTGCGTGCCCCACAACTCTTTCCACCGCCCATTCCGAGTCGGTGGCCGCATCCGCTACGTTCAGCTGACTTTCCAAACGGCCCGGGAATCGTCGATCGTCGTTGGGCACATGAATCCTCAGTAAAGACGCGTGGAACACGTCATGTACCCCTCTCTGCGCTAAGTTAGGGGGCAGGTCCACCTGGAAGGAGGAATTGCCGAAGTCTCGCAATATATGGTACGGCCCGATGAACTTAGGGAGCAACTTCTGGGCGAGTCCCTTCTCGAAATGTATGTTTTTTGTGCTCAAATACACCAGGTCGTTCATCTGGAAGGGCGCAGGCGCCCTTTTTCTATTAGCGTTCCGTATTTGCTTAACCCGGGATCCTAGTATGGCGTCATGTGCGGCCATTATCGCCAGACAACGTTGCCCAAGAAACGCCGCTATCCCCGGGAATTCTTTCGTCCTTTCGGAGTTCCACAGGAGCGACCGGGGCATCATCCCCGTGTTGAGGAAGAACGGAGAATATGTTGAAGCTTGTTTGTATTAGCGACTATCACAGTATGTAGACATGACATCATAAGTAGTATTCTTAGATTACTTTGGCTCGCTCCACAATGACCTCATACCTGACATCATTATTGCGTCATCCATTACTCATCTATGATATCATTACTCCACTATGACATCATGATATCTGCTCCAGACTGGTATATAAACCTAGTACTATACGCTCCATATCCTCAGCTCCTGTGTCTCTACACTCGCTGAGGTATGCATTCTCCCTTACGATCTAATGACCTTACTTATGACTTGTACCATAGACTCTGTCTTATAGGTACAGCTAATGATATAGCTCCTGTGTCTCTACACTCGCTGAGACTCTGTCTTATAGGTGATCGCTACTGGTCGTATCTCCACTGCGCGGTATTGTCTGCGACAGGTTATGGGCCCCGCCTGAACCACTAGCCCAGATCAAGAAAAATCGAACTACTCCCTTTGCTAAGGCGAGTATCTTTCACTCGTTCAGCCCTTCTAGAGCGCCGTCTTTGTGCGCTCGTCCCACTTGCTGGATGTCGGTCCTCGCATTTGTGCCCTCACCCTCAAGGGGTTACGCGAGCGGCGTCAGGGAGTCATTCAGTTGGCAGACGCGCCGTTAGCTATTCCGTCCATGATTGCTCGCGTGCGTTTTACGTTACATCTTTTTATTGTACAGCGGACATACCCACCAGGCACTGGTCCTTTGGTCAATCCCACTCCTGAACCTTGCGCGAAGCGCCTAGGTGGTGTGGTAGCTCTCAACAGCTGCTGGAGGTCGATCCCTCCGCCAGGCAAAACAATCCTTCGGGGTTGACTCGCATTCCTCACAAGGGACCCTGCGGGCTGGTGACACTACGAGGATTCATGCAATGACGCTCTGCGTGTATGCATGTCTTTAAAAGGGAGAAGATGGGCGGCCAAACCCGGTGCTTGGGACAGCCTTGGGCACGTGTCCCTTGGCCAGTGACGGACTGCGAGGGCAGTAATCACTGTTGGGTACTGCCGCCGCTGACGTATATAGTTACGTTACTTTGATACAAATATGGGCACTTACTATACCGCTTTATTTCGTTATCATTCCCCGCGCGTATATGGGCATCATGGATGGGATGGGGACGCTTGGTCATTCTCGTTTCAGAGTTTTTTTGGCACTTGGGATTTTGTTTCTTGGTCTGCAGAGAACTTAGGGCTGACTGTGTCGCTCTAGTCTCTATCACCCTGTCATCAACAAACGACCCTCCCGTTGGGGTTATCCTATTTCCTGTTGTCCGTTGGGCTCAGGGACCTTCTTACACTCCTCTTCAAGACACTGATTGGGAAGACGTATACGAGCTTGGTGAACACGACAACGAAGATCTATTTCACCATCAGGACAATTGGACTCCTGAGCTTCGATCCCTATTCGGTGATCCTCCCTATATCGAATTCCCCTCTCTTCACTACCAAACCGCCGACGTCATCGAGTATCTCCCCACCATGTCGGGAATCGAGAAACTCAACAACTCCATTCTGAGTGTCTTCGACGGCACCAATTGGAATACGTGGTCGGACAACTACATGAGCATCTGCATGCATCAGGGCACTTGGGGAGTGGTTAAACCCACTCATATTACGGTTAACGGCACATCTACCTCGAACCCTGGTTCTATGGAGCGTCCTGGAACGGCTGGCGACAGCCAATATCAATGGGACGTTGCCAATGAAAAGGCACTGGGTCTTGCGCGGGTTTACATCACCCAGAATCTGCGCAAGGGAATCTTTATGGATGGTCAGCGGGAGCGCACTGCGCGCGAGGTTTTTGCGAAAATGGCGACGGATTATGGCCAGCCAAATGCCATCGATGCTTTCGTCGAGTACCGCCTCCTGAACACCACCACCTTTCACGGTGGTGATACCATTGAAAAACAGATCATGGAAATGGAGACTCGTCGTCGCCAGTGTTCAGAAGGAGGAATCGAGATCCCCGACTACCTCTTTGCTACTCTCATGCTCGCCGCCTTGCCCGCTTCCAGCAGAGGTTTCGTCACCTCTTACCTGGCCAATCGTCCTATCGCTTCCTTGAACCCGGTTGATGTCAAGAACAGCGTCATAGGGAATATCAAAATCGAGAACCTCGACACGACGTCGAACTCGAAGATTTCCACCGTTCCGTCCCTTGCCACCCGCTGCACTCATTGCAACAAGTCCGGTCACGTTGCAGCATCCTGCTACAAGAAGTATCCCAACCTCAAGCCTAATGGTCAATCATCTGACAAAGGCAAGGGGAAGCAGGATGAGGGGAAGAAGAAAAAGAAGAAGGAGAAGAAGAGTGGTGATGGTACTAGCGCTGTAAAAGAAGTTGTAGCCGCTCCCGCGGTTGCAGCTGCCTCCAATGGAATGCACATTTCGTCCTATCTCATGAGTGACTCCCTCAAACACATCGATGATGGAATTTTTGTTGAAGAAATGGGAGACGACTCCAAAGTTCGTTTTCTATGGGACTCGGGTTGTACGCATCATATGACAAACACCCGATCCGATCTTCACAACATCAGACCTATCGACACCTATGTAGTCGTTGGGTCGGGAGCTCGCTTCAAGAATGAAGCCATTGGAGATATTGTGTTGCGGGGTCATACTAGTAGTGGCATGGACTACACCTTCACGTTGAAGGATGTCATCTACAACCCGCACATAAGAGGGCGCTATCTTTCTGGGTATGCGCTTGATCAGGCTGATTACTACACCGTGGTTGGTGACAACAAGGCAATCCTAGTCACCAAGGATTGGCTCAACAAGGGAAAAGCGCATGGGGATGTCTTGATGACCTTTAAAGCAAGCAATCGCTGCTACTGGTACTACCCCGAGGAGCTCGTGGCACCATCTGTGTCTGCATCTCACGAGTCTACCGCGCTCGCTTCCCTGGAAACTACCGATCGTGAATTGTGGCATAAGCGTTTTGGTCATGCGGCTCGGAGGACCCTTTCTCACTTGCCGACACAAGTTGAAGGTGTTCCCCCCTTGCGACGCAATAAAGACCAGCGCGGCATGTGCGATGGATGTATGCTTGGAAAACAGCACAAGCATCCGTACCCTGCATCAGAGAAACGTGCTAGCAAACCCCTCGAGCTTATCCACACTGATTTGATGGGCCCCTGGCCTACTCAGTTGTTGGAAGGTTCACGCTACACAATTTCGTTCTACGACGATTTCTCGAGCTTTGGCATGATGGTGTTCATTAAATCAAAGGACCAAGCCTCTACTGCGATTAAAAACTTTGTTGCCCTTACAGAGCGTCAGCTTGGCACAAAAGTACTGGCCTTCCGGTCAGATCGTGGAGGCGAATATATGTCCGATGAACTCACAGCCTGGCTCAATGCACGTGGTATTATGCACCCTAAGTCCGCGCCACGCGAACCACAGCAAAATGGGAGGTCTGAACGTTGGAATCGCACAGCCTACAAGAAAGCGGAATGCATGCGCCTCGATGCCGGCCTATCCAAAGGCTTCTGGCAATGTGCTATGGATGCATCTGTCCACGTTCATAATAGACAACCTATGGCACGATTGGGATGGCGAACACCTGCGGAACTGTGGCTTGGAAAGAAGCCAGACGTCTCTTATTTCCGTGTGTTTGGATGCAAGGCGTCTCTCTATGTGGATGTTGAAAAACGCCCGAAAGGGTTGGAGCATGGACGCCCCGACCACATCTTCGTTGGATACGAACGAGAGACAAAAGCTTGGAAAGTGTGGGATCCAAATCAACGCAAGATACGAATCTCTTCAAACGTCGAGTTCGATGAGCGAGTATTCCCTGCCAAGTCCAAGCTAGTCACCGGCAATGTGTCCTCTGGACCGGAGCCGTTCACACCATTCGAGGAAACCTTCCCTGACCTTATCAATAATCCTGCGCCTGCAACACCTTATGCAAGTGTACCACCCCCTGCTCTTCCACCGCCCCCGGCACCCCTCGCGCAACAAGGTCCTGTCACGGGATCGCGAGAAGTACCCCTAATGCCTGGCCCAATAGACGATCGCCCGATTGCACATCGCCGCCCTCGTCGAAATAAGCCCCGCATTTTGCCGGATGGAACTACGTATCAGAGGCCTAGCAGCATTGAGTCCATGTTGTCAGCTGCCCAAGCTGAGCATGACTTGCCTCAGAACGTGCGGGACGTAGCAAAGAGCCCGGATGCACTCAAGTGGGAGCGCGCAATGCGCGAAGAACTGGACTCTCTCGAGGAAAACTGTACTTGGGATTTGACCAGCCTTCCACGCGGTGAAATGCTGAGGGCGTGCTCACAAGTGAATCTACTATGAAAGTAAACCCAAATATAAACACGTTCACACTCCTCGTAATCAGCTTCTCAGTGTGTGAAAGATGCGAGGGCTTCGGGGTGGACAGAGCACCAGTATCACAACTCTCAATAGACGCAGATCCAATAGTCGCGGAGACGGAGTCGACGACAAGAATATATATATATATAGCAAACAATGGTGTCTCAACCAATATCTTCTATACGATCACAACCAACACTAATCCAATCCACAACAACAATATAACAAGTCAGAGCTTAATACGAAGTATTAAGATCCCTTGTAGCGACAGCGTCTAGATGGTGACGCAAAGCCCAAATATCAAGTCGACGCACTGCCAACCGATACAACCAATATACTGAGTCGACGCACTGCCAACTAGTAAAACCAAAATGTCGAGTCGACGCACTGCCAACTGACACAACCAAAAGTACTGAGTCGACGCACTGCCAACTAGTAAACCAAAATGCCGCGTCGACGCACTGCCAACTAACAGCCAATATCCAATGTCCAAAACCCGAGCACAACTTGTCGACGCACTGCCAAGCAAGAAGTGTGGAACCAAAGTTCTCAAGTCGACGCACTGTCAACTGACCAAAACAACCCGAGCACAACTAGTCGACGCACTGCCAAGCTAGAGGTGTGGAACGATCTCAACAAAGCCCGAAGGCGACGACACTAAATGCCGCGGCTAAACCAGATGCGGCGAATCCGACTTTCTGATGTCTCAACTCAAACTCAAATCACAGTAGCTACAAGTGCTCAGGGAGCAACTCGTCGCGACCGGGCAGGGGTAGCAGAACTTCTTAGGGTGGAATCACGCGGCACGCAAATTGTACAAAACAATCTGAAATGAGAGTGATTCACAGTCCGGGGGAAAGCTTCCTAATACAAAGAGACGACGTGCTACTTATACTGTCTACGACGCTGCTTAGTAAAGTCCTGTACAACTGCATAGTAGCTACGCTATCTAAGATCGGTTGCCTTTTAGGGTAATTGAAAAGTTGAACGATCGGACAGGTCCTGAGTGATCAGGACCCCGCCCCATTGTCCATACGATACTTTTGATGTGGGCCAACTCACCGCGTCATACTTTCGGAATACGACGTGCTGGATTGGCCAACGGGTATGTCTTGGCATGTGAGACCAACGTGGGCGCCCCAAGAAGCCGTATGGCTCTAGGCACGCCAATCGTCTCCCACATGGCTCGGTTCACGGATCTAGCCGTATCGATTTTAGTGTGTTTGAGTATGGACGCGACTCGCCGTGACACTTGGAAGTGTCACCGCGACGCGTCCACAATGTCCCGTGATCGAATGGATCCTGACATGTGACAAGTCGTCGTCGTGGCATGATCTGAGGAAACGTCCAACTCAAAACCGGGAGTTGCCGCGACAAGATGGTTTAAGTCTTGTAACGCCAAGTCCTGTCCAGTAGTAGTTCTATTATTGAGAACGTCGCGCATTGCTCAGCCCTTCAGCCCAAGTTCCCATCCGCAGAGAATGACCCTTTTTGAGAAGTCGACGCAACGACATATCCCTTTTTGGGGAATGGTCGCGGTCCAAGCGTTCGTCACTAATGGCCCTGAGCCTGGTGTAGACTCGTAAGACCAGTTCCACAGTAGTGGTCTGACTGCCTTGCTATCGTCGACACTATCCACAGTCGTCGACTGGGCAGTAGACCCATAAGTCCTACTGAGCGCAACACTGTTAACCGCGACACGATACACCGAGTGGTTCAAGAGTAAACTCTGTAAAAAGCGCAAAAATACGCCCTTACAGAGCTGGTGCAGAGCGCGTCTGGTAGCCAGCCTATCATCTCCCAGGGACACTAATTTTGACCTCCTGGTCAATCCCACGACAGTCTCACTGCGTCAGGTCTAAGTCCAACAGTCGACGTCTCGTTTATTTATTATTAAAGCCGCGGAGACATAGAGTTATGTTCCCACGTCTTATTCATTTGGTTGTTCGGTTCCTTCCGTGATCTGCCGCGATCAAACTTCTTCCGGCATGTTCACCATATAAATGCCCTCAATTTTCAGGGTCGAGAGTCTCCCTAGTACGAGACACTCTTGCCTTTTGACCACCATGTCCGCGCCCGACCAGAGCCCCCGCCCCCAAGACACCAACCGTGAGTGACGCCCAAGACGGCTACCGCGACTTTTCAACCACGCTAACCATCCATCAGCCGTCACCGAATCAGCTGTCTCGGGAGCAAACCTGCCTGCCATCGACTGGCGGCAGTTCATGCCGTCCGTCAAGGTCTCTCCCATGGCTTGTCGACTCAACTCACCACCTGCCTAGCCCCGAGGCCTACAACCAGATGTTGCGGCAGATGGCCGTCGACGTCCGCCAGATCCAACAGGTGAGCTCCGTCTTAAGCCCGCTGGAGCGAATAGTCACGGCGATCAATGATTGCCGCGTCTGTTCGCTTTGGCCTTCCATTCTTTTCACTAACGTAAGGGCTAGCCGGCGCCTGCGCCCTTGACCACCAACGCTCCAGTCGAGGAGTCGTCGCCGCCCAAGAAACGCAAGCGAGTCATCGAGCCCGTACGTGTAATCTGTTTCATTCGTTTACTATGTTCTGATCGACCCCCAGGCGGCTCCAACCGAACAAGTCGCCGCCCCTTCGTCGTCCCGGCCTGCCAAGCAGAAGGGGAAGGGTGACGGCTCCAAGCCGCAGGCCCCTGCCGCCGTCGCGGGCAGCAAGGTCGCCGTCGCCAAGAAGTCGAGCGAGAAGCCGCAGGGGAAGCGACCCAAGGCGACTCCTGCAAAGGAGCCCAAGGCATCGTCGCATGCGCCTACTCGTAAGTGGCCTTTTCATTCGGTTCACCGAAGTCGCGGGCACTGATCTATTGTAGCTGCTACTCCGGTCCCTGTTTCACAGGAGGCACCCCCCAAGCGCGTCCCCAAGAAAACGCACGCAGGTGTGTGCACCCTATGTCTTATTTCTTTGATCCTGAGACTAACCACTTGGTCCCTCCCAGCCCGGATCCAAGCACAGCCCGTGCAACCCGAGTCCCTCAGCGATGAGGAAGCCGCCGCCGTCGCCGACACTGCGATGGATGTCGACGACGAGGGGGTCCAGGAGGGAGACGCGTCATCGGCCGACGAGCTGGCCCTTCAGGTAAGTGACCCAGTTCGTCGATCGCGATTCTTCGTCTCATGGTTGGTTTGTTTTTGACAGGGGCCCAAGTCCAAGGGGAAAGCGCGATCGAATTTGAGTGCGTTCTTCCTCTTGCCCCCTCTGTCGATTACTCACACTTTCGTAGCCCCGTCCGTCATCGTCATGGACGACACTTCCGAAAGTGGGGAGGAGACCGGTAACTTCGTTGTGGCCAAGAAGCAGGTCAGCGAGACCCGCGTCAAGCCCAAGGTAAGCCGGCTCCTTTTTCCCAGACCACGCCCCTTAATCCAGCTTTTTTTTTTTAGCCAATCAAGAAGGTCGCGGATGGATCATCCAAGTCGACCAAGTCCGTGCCTCCCCATCCGGTGCCGAAGGTGGAGGCCAGTCGCAAGGCGAGCGCCCCGCGAGCGACGACTACCCCGACCCCAGTGGCTAAGGTGAGACACAGATCTTGGTTCCCAGACGTCGACTAACTCATTTTTCTTTCTTTTCTAGGTTGCCCAGGCGGCCCCCGCCGCTACCAAGACTCCACGCAGTGAGTTGGGCAGGGTGGCCGCGACCCTTGGTCGCGAGCGGAGTGTTGCGGCGGCCAAGGCCGAGCTCAAGGCTCAGAAGGCAGAAAAGTCCGTTGCGGCGGCCAAGAAGAAATCTGACTCGGTGAGTCGCGACTTTTTCTTGTCGTCGACTTTTTACTGACTTGACTGTTTCTAGACTCCTGCGAAGGCGTCGGCCCCCACGCCCCGAGCTCCGTTCACTCCCGCCGCCTACGACACCGAGGCGCTCCTTTCGGTGGCACGCCAAGGTTTCGCGGGGAAGTTGGAAAGGGCCGGCGTAGAGGTGCCCACTGACTTCGTGCGTTCTTTTATCTTTTTCTCTCATGCCTCGACGACTGACTCCCTTTTTCATAGGAGGTCGCGCCAAGGCCCTGCGCGATGTGCGTGACGCGGCAGCGCGTCTGCTTCAAGAGCGTCGACGGGCGCCACGGCAATCGGTGCGCCCCGTGCGTGCTCTATAAACAGACTTGCACCAACGGCTACAAGCCCGCGGAGCAGCTGTATATGGGGCAACGCTTCGGGTACATCGCGCAGATGAGCGCGGACGGTAAGAGTCCACTCTTATCATTCATTTCTATTTTTGATCGTTTCTGACGACGTCTTCAGATCTCAACAAGTCCGCCAACCGTCTCGCCGACACCTTGGACGCGTACGGCGGGCTTCTTCGCACGGCCAACGAGATCCGCGTCCTGGCCATTGGCCAGTTCCGTGATTTCGTTGGTCAGCTGAAGGAGCACTTCGACGACGGCTCGGACGAACGCATCAAGGCGATGTTCGTCCACACCGCGACCGAGATCGACGCCGCCGAGATGGCCGACATCCGTAAGGGTGTTCGGATGATCTTGACCCACGGGGACTTGTTGGATGGCGAGGCGAACGAGCGGTTCGCGGCACCCCCTGCCTTCTTCGATCCCTTTTTCTATCGCGAGATGGAAAAGATGGAGAAGCAGTTCCAGAGGGAGATCGAGAAGGCCCAGGAATTCGACAAGTCGGACCCCGCGACCGTCCAGGATCAAGCGTTCCAACCTGGCGAGGACCACGAGATCGACGTCGCCCACTTGGCGAGTAGTCGCACCCGTGCGCCCTCTTCGTCGCCCCAGCCTTCGCCATCGCCGCCTCCTGTTGCGTCGTCGTCCCAAGCCGTCTTACAGGTCTTGGACTTTTCCGACAACTACAGCGAGACCTCGGCCGAGTCCACCAAGGCCGCTTCGGATGAAGACGCGGAGGGTGAAGAAGAAGACGGGTCTGCCGGCAACGAGAACGCCGACGACGGGAAAGTCGACGACGAGAACGTCGACGACGAGAACGTCGAGGACGAGGGCT